GGGAGGAAGAGAGAGGGAGAGAGAGAGATTAAATGAACCTATAAAAAGATAATAATTAGCTTTTTTTTTTTTTTTTTTTCTCCTTTTTACATAAATATATTTTTGCTTTTTTCAATTTTAAATTAATAAAAAAGAGAGAGGAAAAAAAAAAAGAAAAAGAAAGAAAGAAAGAATTGTGTAATTTTTTACCTTATTTATTAATTTACTAATTATTATCATTCATTATTATTAGTATAATATTATTGATTAGTGATAGTGATATAAAAGGATTATGGAGATTATTTATAATGATAATGATAATGATAGTGATAGTGATAAGAATGATAATGATAAGCGATAAAGTTTTGAAAAAATGATGATTATATGAGAGAGAGAGATAATAGAGAGATTATAAAAGAATATGGCCTATAATGAAGTAAATTCTTATGGATCAATGATAGAAGAAAGATTATGAAAGTTTGCTTAAGTTGTAAGTAAACAAAATAAACAATGAAAGAAGAAAACGGAGAGAGAGAGAGGGACGGAGAGAAAGAGAGAGAGAGAGAGGGAGGGAAAAGGGACTTTATAAAAGATATAGCAATCAACCAACTAACAATAAATTTCCAAATGTATATTATTAAAAGAAGGTTTTTGAGAGAGGAAATAGGTGATAAAGAAATCAGTGATAATATCAGTAGGAAAGATTGATTGATATTTATGATTGGTATACAGCTTTTAATTTAAAATATTAATTATAAAAATGAAGTTTAAATTTTATGAAAAAATTATTTCGTTTAATTTTAGATAAATAAACATATCATATTGTTATTTAATGATAAGCATATCATTATCATTACTTAATATATGTTATCACTTAGTGATATATTCATTTTATCATTATGTAATTCCTCTATTACTATAAAAAGGAAAGTGAAGAAAGGGAGAGGGAGAAAGGGAGAAAGAGAGAGAGAGAGAGAGAGAGAGAGAGGGAAGAAATATTTGTTTGAAAATTATATATGAATAAATAAAACAATTAAAATACCTATGTTAAAATTTTGTATATTAAAATTAAAAAATAAAAAAAAACAATTTTATTTATAACTTTTTTATGATTTGTTCATATATATATATATTTAAACTTTAAAGTTTAAATTTAAACAAAAATATCATTAATATATTGTTAATATAATTAATTTTAATGTTAATATTACTTTGTGTAAAGTAAGTGAAAATATTTAGATGAAAAATTATAACAAAAAAAAAAAAAAAAACGTTGTAATAGAATACATATATATACAAATTACAACCATTTTTCTTTTTTTTTTTTTTTTTTTTTGCATAAATTTTATTTGTTGTAAATAAAAAATTTGAAAGGAAGGAAAAAAGAGAGAAAAATGAAAGGAAAGATTGAATTACAATAACATTACCTATTGATGATGTGAATGGTAGTAAAAAAAAAAATTAAAATGAATTTTAGTTGAAATGTGGAAGAGAAGGAAAGAAAAAAAAAAATGAAAAATAAAATAAAAAAAGAAGAAAATTACATTTTAAAATTTAAGAAGCAAAAATATTTATTTTGTTGAAAAAATTTTTTTTTAAAAAAAAAAAAAAAGAAAAGAAAAATTAGAAAATATAATTTTTATCATTTACAATAAATGAATATTTAGTCAATCCTAAATGAACATTTCTGTTGTTGTTTTTTTTTTTTTTTTTTTTTTGTTATTATTTAATATTTAATAATTTAATTAAGAATAAAATTAATATTTTAATTAATAATAACAACTGATTAGAATAAAAAAAAAAAAATGAAGAAATGAAAAATGGAAAGAAAAAAGAGAAGATGATAAAGTATAATTATCATTTAACCAATGATAATTTTGATAAATTTAAAAAAGAAATATTTTAGTTATCTATTTTCAAACTATATAATATTTATCGATTGATACAAATTTAAATCAATCATTTCCAATTAATATTATTCATTATAGTTTCATTCTTTCATATAAACATAAAATTTCATATATTTCTTTTTGTTTTCTCATTAATTTACTGATAAATTTGTTTATAATTAGAAAAGAATTAATTTTTGTATGGATGAACAATTATAAATATTTTTAAAATAATAATAATAATAAACAATTATTAATATTTCTCTTGAAAGAACTCAAATTTATACGTTTTCATTAGCAGTGATAATATTGATAATATCTTATCACATATCACTCACAATATTGCATAATGATAATTTGAAATATTTGTTGAAAAATAAATTAATTTGTAAAAATAGTTACTAACAAATATGATAATATAATAAATTAATCAACAATAATGCAAGAATATCTTAATAATACTAATAAAAATATATATTTGTAATAAAAAAAAATATTCGAATAATTTTTTTTTTGCAATATTTTAGGATGAAATTTTAATATGACATTTGAATTAAGACAAATCGATATAGCATCATTTCATTTTTTAATAAATATTTTATAAGCTACTTTTTTTTCTTTGGTTTTAAATTTCATTTAATATTTATTTAATCTAAATTTGTGATAAGAAAATTTTTAATTTACAATGGATGATATTTTTAAGCTATTATTATTACTTTACAATGTTACTTCACTAATTCATTACTTTACAGTGTTACTTTACTATTTCATTACTTTACAGTGTTACTTTAATAATTCATTACTTTACAATGTTACTTTAATAATTCATTACTTTCCAGTGTTACTTTACTTATTCATTACTTTACAGTGTTACTTTAGTAATTCATTACTTTACAATGTTACTTTAATAATTCATTACTTTCCAGTGTTACTTTACTAATTCATTACTTTACAATATTTCCAAAAAATAAAAATTAAAAAAAAAAAACAAATATCATTTTTCATCAAGCAAAAAGCAATCGATTATTGTCGCATTAATGATTAATTATTTACAAAGATTTCAATTTATATAAATTTCTTTTTCAAATTTCTTTTTTAATAAAAAATTTTGCAAAAATAAAGGAAGAAAAGGAAATTGAAGAAATGAGCCATTGAATTTAATGGATGAAATTTATCAGCAAAGATAATCGATCATTTCAAATTAAATTCGAGGATGATAAATATAATTAAATTGTTAACTACCATCAAAAATAAACAAAATTAACAGTTCACATTAAAAAACAAATTTTTTGAAAAGTTTGTATAAAGTAAAAACCAATTTTAAATTCTTTGAAATTTTTGTGTCTTCTTTTCTTTTCTGATATTTTTTCCAAATTCTTTGTCATCCCTTTTCCACTTTTTTTTTCCTCGATTAAATCAAATATTTGATATTTATTTTTTGAAATATTCAAATTCATAGAATTTAATTGTAAATCAACGTAATGTTCAATGTGTATAAACAGATTTGTTTACAGTGTTTTTTTTTTTTTTTTTTTTTTTTTTTTTATTTCAAAGCTGTGTAAAAATTTAAATACTTCAAAAGTAATCTGTAAAAGTAATTATTGACTTTATTGGCTTTCTTTTAATTTCTTTTTTTTTTCTGCTTATCATTTTAAACGATGAAATACCAAAGTAATATTTTAATTTGGTTATAGCCAAAGTAGAAATTAATTTACTTATAGCCAACAGAAATTTACGATTATTCAAATTGTTAATCTTATTACTTACAAAATTATATAAATAAATGATTCGATAAATAATTATGAATTACTATTATAATATTTCCATATTATTACTTCATTGGATTGATCCAAATTTAAATTAAAACAAGCATAAAGTATTATTTAAAGAAACAATTAAATTTAGCTAATTATTCGATTAATCTTATAAAAAAAAAAAAAAAAAAAGAAATGAAAATTATGAAGATAATCTCTAATTAATCACGATTTAGTACAATATTACCTTATTATTACTTCAATGAATTGGATCAAATTTAAATTAAAACAAGCATAAAGTATTATTCAAAATAGAGAACTAAATTTAGCTAAATACTCGATTAATTTTTAAAGAAAAAAAGTTGAAATTGAAATTATGAAAGCACTTTATCAAAACTATTTTAGGTTAAATTCGAAACATCTAAGAAAACAATATTTGTTATTGAATAATTGCAAAAAATTTACGCTGCATTTAATGATTATTTTCAATTTTTCAGACAATTCAAAATACTAAATTAATATGAAATAAAAGAATGAAAATTAATTATGCAAAAAATACTAAATCATTTATACCATTACAAATTTACCTTTTATCAACTTTAATATGTGTGAAATTCTGTCAAAAATAGGATAAAATAAAATAAAAAAGTAAAAAGATAAAACTTATGATAAAATTTTGATTAGCAAACTTTTGATAAGCTAGTAAATTCAAAATTTCTACAAGAGTTTGAATTTATATTCATGACATATATCATTATAGTATATGAAACTAATTATCAATGAATGCAATTTATTTATTTATTTATTTTTACAAACAAATCAGAAGGTGAAAAATTAATAATAATAAAATCAAAACGTATAATCAAACAAACATATGAAAATATGCATTAAAAGAAGAAAAAAGCATCATAATTGATGCAAAATGCTTTAGTATTAATATATACAAATGAAAACAAAAAAAAAAAAAAAAAAAAATAAAAAATGGAAATTAAATTTTCAAATACTTTTGCAATGATAAATGAAAAATCAACATGAAAAGATGGAAATATCTTAATAATTTTGCATAAATTCATATATTTACTATTTTATCATTAACCAGTATATAAGTATATCAGTATCTTATCACTATATCACCGGGATTTTTGTAATCAATTATATTAACAATTTCATTGTAAACAACAAATTTGTATTTCTCTAATTTAATCGCAAAAAAAAAAAACTCAATTCAGGTTATTTCCATCCTGATTATGCCTTTCTTCGAGAACACAGGAAAATGATATAAAATCAATACGAAATCAATAATTTAAAAAAAGAAAACATAAATGAGTTTAAAAAATAAAAAAAAAATAGGTAGATAATAATCAAATGATATTTACAATTATTTTTTGAGCAATTCTTCAGATAATAATAGTGATGATGATGATGATGATGATGACGATGATAATGATGATAACAACGATGGTGATGATGATGATGATAATGAAAGGCCTGATGATAATGCTATATGTTCCTGTTTTGTCTTTTCATACCTGTAAATATTTAATTATCAATGAATGCAATTTATTTACTTGTTTATTTTTACAAACAAATCAGGTATTATTAGAAAGATACAAAGTAATGATAAAAAACAATAGATAGAAAAATAATACTATCATAGTTTTTATCAACAAAAATAAATTATTAATAAAGAAAAATCAAAATAAACAAATTACCTATAAATTATTAACTTACCTATGAGTATAATGTGAAGTATATTTAGCCACTTGAATTGCAACATGTTCAAAGCCACCAAATAAAAATTGAGAACCAAAAAAAATTGCAACTGTCAATATTACTAATAAATATTGTGAAGGATAAGAGAAGAATGCATATATTAAAAATATTGATGTAAATACCCAAAATATTACAACAGCACCATAAACCATAATAGATTTAGCTGTTAGCTGTTAAATAATATCATTATCATATCAGTAAAAATGAAATTTCAAAAGAAAAATTTTCAAATTTATCTTTTATTATATTTAATTATAGCAAAATTAACTATCTATCCATTTTTGTTTCATACATATAAATTATGATATTGAAATTTGATCACATTTAATGATAACAAAATTAACTATCTATTCACTTCTCTTTTATGCCTAAAAATTGTAATATTTCAATTTCAAACTTATAATTATGCTATAAAATTTAAATTCTAAATCAAACATTAAATACTTGAATTTGATAAATAAGCAAACATTTAGGTTTAGAATTATATACTATTATAGTAATAAAAAAAAAAGAAAACTTACACCAAAAATTTTATCATAATTTGAATCAATTTTAAAAGTTCGATATTGTGCATCGTCAGAATGATAAAATTGTGCAAGTTTTTCCTCTTTTGCTTTCCAACAATTTGTAAGCCATTGTGCAGTTAATTGATCATCATTTTTAGGTAAATTATTGATATCAATTTTACTCACATAAAAATGAATATTCTTTGGACATGAACCATTCGAGAATAGTTCAAATTCAGATTGTACAATTGTATCAGCATATGCAACTGTTACATCATATATAGTTTTTATATATCCTACTAAAATAATTTCCATTTTAATCATAATCAAAAAAAAAAAAATCAATCAATCGATCAATCAATCAATCAATCGAAAAGTTAATCTTTTGGTAAAAATATAAAGTAAAAAATGCAAGAATTTATGAATTTTAATATATAAAATGAAATAAAAAAAAATGTATTTCTAATTTTTTTTTTCCCTCTTACTTTTATTTTTTTTTTTAAAGAAACTATTTTAAAATTAATCTAATTTTATGCAATTTGAAAAAATTACATAATTAACCTTGTCGCATTTTTCTTAGCAATGCTATAAATCCTGTCGTTCGAGGATGAAGCACATAATTATAATGAATTAAACCTTGTTTTAGAGCATATCGTCGACTTCTTTCAGTTGCTCCAAAATCTTTATCAGTTCCTTCAGGAAAAAGAAGCAACTAAAAATATACAAATAATATAATGAAATAATTAATATATATATATATATTTTTTTTTAAAAAAAAGATTAAAATGTAAATATTAAAATTATTCGTTTTCATTTTAATTGTCAAAAATTAAAATAAAAATTAGAATTAGCTATTAAATAATAATTAATGCTAATATTTCGATTTTTTTTTTCTCACTTCAATAATTGATAATTTTGATAAAAATTAATTAATCATTATTTACCTGATAAGCATGTTTTGAATTAGCATAATATTCGATCATCTCTTCAATATGTGCTTGATCTTTGTCAAAACGTCGTGTTAGAAATAAATAAGCATTTGATGCCATAGCCCAACCAGCACCAGGTAAATGACGTACTATTGCCTGTTAATAAATTTGATAGCATAGCATTTTAATCTTTCTTATCATCAATTTCAATTTTTGATAATTTTTATTTATTAATTTTTAGGTTAATAAGATACGAAACAGAGAGAGAGAGAGAGAGGGAGAGGGAGAGGGAGAGAAAAAGAAAGAAACGAAAAACCTTTAAACTGATTATAGAATTAATTGATTTAGTAATCTAACATGACATATTTCATATTATTCAATAATGAATTCAATTATTAAAAATTTAATAAGACATATTAGTAAAGATTAATATAATAATAAATTATAAAAATTAATACACTTTAAAGTGATTAATAATAATAATAATAATAATAATAATAATCAAAACCTTAAATTTAAACAAATTATTCAATAAAGTATAGTTGTTAAAATTAAAAAAAAAAACATGTATATAAACAAACTTTTAAAGATATTTTTTGTGAAGTTAAAAGCCAAGGATCTATTCGAATTAAAGCATTCCAAAAAAATAACCAATCTAAACATGTTCGATGATTCATTATAATTAATGCCGGTTCACTATGATCAATTTTCATACCGGATACGGTTACACGTGCGCCAAAAAATATTTCAATAAGACCCTAAAATTTGAAAAATATTTGATATGAAATATAAAAAAAAAAAAAACACACAAAAATCATTCTTTTATCATAATTTATCTCTCATTTTTTCTTTTTTTCTTTTTTTTTTTTTTTTATGACAATAATAATAATTCATAATTTATTTTAAAAAATTTTTAAATAAAAGGTACAAATGAAGTGAAATTAATTAAAAAGATTAGAAATCATTCAATCATAATTGTATTAATAAACAAAAAAGAAAAAAAAATCGAATAAATATAAGCGCTAAAAGAATATTTTATTTTTAAGGAGAAAAAAAAAAAAAAACCAATAATTTTCATTATCTTTTGTTTTCTTTTTTTTTTTTTGAAATCAGTTCAATAAATCTGATTGAATTATTGATAATTCTAAAGAAAAAAAGAAAAGAAAAAATTTATTTTTAGATGGAACAAAGAGAAAGTAATAAATAATCAAATTTAATACATTTATTTCAATTAATTTTGTTCTTTTTTCTTTCAACTAAACTCTATGATTTAAATGAAAAACTAGAAAAAAAAAGAGAGAGAGAGAAGGAAAAAAATAAACAAAAAATAAGTAAATAAATAAATAATAATAGATAAACAAAAAATAAGTAAATAAATAAATAATAATAGATAAGCAAAAAATAAGCAAATAAATAAGTAATAGTAGATAAACAAAAAATAAGTAAATAAATAAATAATAATAGATAAACAAAAAATAAGTAAATAAATAAATAATAATAGATAAACAAAAAATAAGTAAATAAATAAATAATAATAGATAAACAAAAAATAAGTAAATAAATAAATAATAATAATAGATAAACAAAAAATAAGTAAATAAATAAATAATAATAGATAAACAAAAAATAAGTAAATAAATAAATAATAATAGATAAACAAAAAATAAGTAAATAAATAAATAATAATAATAGATAAACAAAAAATAAGTAAATAAATAAATAATAGTAGATAAACAAAAAATAAGTAAATAAATAAATAATAATAGATAAACAAAAAATAAGTAAATAAATAAATAATAATAGATAAACAAAAAATAAGTAAATAAATAAATAATAATAGATAAACAAAAAATAGGTAAATAAATAAATAATAATAATAGATAAACAAAAAATAAGTAAATAAATAAATAATAGTAGATAAACAAAAAATAAGTAAATAAATAAATAATAATAGATAAACAAAAAATAAGTAAATAAATAAATAATAATAGATAAACAAAAAATAAGTAAATAAATAAATAATAATAAGTAAATAAATAAATAATAATACTTACACATGGCATAAATATCCAAAAGCCAATAAGTCGATCAATTATTCGCCTCCATAATGTATGATTAAAAAACATTAAAGGTAGAAGTGGTATAAGAAAATACATTGAACTTAATATTGCAGAGAGTAAAATAAACATACAACAAAATACACCCTTAATTCTCATCCATATTGTTATATGTGTTAAGTTTGCTGGTTCACCCATTTTTTTTTTTCTTTTCAAATTTTTGTCTGAAAAAAAAAAATTTTGTTTTTTATTTTAATAGATAAACAAAAAATGAAAAATTATTTCAAAATAATAAAATTATTATCAATTTTTTTTTTTTATGGCTAAAAGTTTTTTTAGCAAAAAACAAAACAAAAAACAAAAAAAAAAAAAAAAAAAAAAAAACAAAAAGATGAAAGAATGATTGAATGATAAAATTAGTTTCATTATTATGCAAAATTTTTTTGCTTTTTTAAACATTTTATAAATATCAACTAATAATCAATTATTTTTTGTTTTATCAAAATTTTTTTTTTTAAAAAAAAAGTTATCATTTTATATCAAATATCAAAACAATAATATCATTTAATTATTGAACTTTCTCTATTAAGCATTTAAGCTTTAATTTATTGATTTTGAATATTATTAAAATGAAAAAAAGTCCAATTTGATAATATTTTCGAATTTGATTTACAAAACAAAAAACACTGAAAATAATTCATAAAATTTTTTTCCATTTTGATAATTTTTTCGAATTTGATTTACAAAATAAAAAACACTGAAAAATAATTCATAAAATTCTATCATTTTTTAAATATGAATATTTAAAAGTTATTTTCAAATGAATGAATAAATATAAAATGAACAAATGTTATCAAAATAATTATTTACATAAATGAAATTTGAAATTATAATGATTTAAAAAAATTTTTTTGTTAAAGAAAAAGATGATTTCTATATAGCTAAAATGCTATCGATATATTAAAATAATTTAAAATTTATAATTATAAATAAAATAAGAATGATAAATGATACAAGGAGTAGAAAATACATTGAAAAATTTATAAATAATAAATGAAAAAAATAAATTTAATTAATAAGCAATAAGAAATTTTGATAAAGTATGCAAAAAAACTATCCTTTGCTAATTTGATTATTAAATAATAAAAATATTTTCCAAAATAATTTTATTTCATAGCAGTAAAAAAAAAAAAAAAAATAACAATAATAAAAACAATAATGTAAAGTAAAATTGAAAGTTAAAAACAAACAGAAATAAATATTTCAATTTCCTAATTAGAAAATCATTATAACAATTAATGTTAAATATGTCTTTAAGAGAAATAAAAAGATTAATTAACTGTTGTTAAATGACAACTACTTACTTAAATGATGATTATTTACCTAAAAAACAATAAATAAAAACAAAAACTGGAAAAAAAATAATGAGACATTAAGCTAAATGATAATAACGAATGAATTAAGATAAATCTTAATTAAGCTAAATGATAATAACGAATGAATTAAGATAACTCTTAATTAAGCTAAATGATAATAACGAATGAATTAAGATAAATGTTAATCAAGATAAATGATAACAACGAATGTATGTAACATTATTATTCGATAAGTAATATCACTTAAGTAAATAATTGTGATTCAAAGATAATCGATTCAATTATTGTGATCGACGATAATATTATAACATTATAATTATATGTAAAATAATTATTGTTGCATTGAATTTATCTTATTTTACATATATATTACAATCGAAGATTTAATCAACTAAATCGATAAATAATTGATATATGAAATAATGTAAATTACATACGTTATACACGTACGTACGTATATACGACATTAATTTAAATAAATTTCAAAATTCTCGAGAAAGAATAAAGGAAAGAAAAAGAGAGAGATCATAGGAATAAATCAATTCTAACATTTTCTTTTGTATTATTTCATCGTATTGAAGAAATTAAATCATTTCGTACAGTTCTCAATATGAAAGATAGGAAGAATTAGAATAAAAAAATATTCTAATGAGTTTTTTACTAAATTAAATTATTAAATAAAAATTATTAATATGAATTTAACTAAAATAAACTATCAATTAAAGATTAATGAAACAAACATTCATAAATTAAAAATGACAAATAAGAATTAATAAATTTCAAATATTTTATCATATTACTATCATTATTTTTACATATTTTCTAGTTTAATCTTTTGTTATCTTTTAGTATAATAATACGAAATTTAAATATTAATAATAAAAAATAACAATGACAATAATAATAGCAATAATAATAATGACAACAATAATAATGATAATAATAATAAAAGTAATAATAATAATGTAATCAATTTTAGAGGACTTTAAAAAATTAAAATATTTCAAATAATTGATAAATATTTTGGTTTGCTCATTTGATAAGAAAACTTTTGGTAAAGACTAAAATTTTACACAATTATTACAATAAAAGATGTAATAAAATGACAGAATTGTTAATCATTAATGTTTAGGAAAAAAAAAAAAAAAAAAAAAAGCGATTTCTCATCTGTTTTATGATAAGAATATCCAACAGAAAAAAAAAATCATCTTATCAATAATTCATCTTATCAGTACTATTATCAAAGCTTTTCTACTTTTAGCATTATATTTTATGTTTACCCATTCCATACTATAAACTTAACTCATATGTTTACTATTTTATAAACTTAATGAATTGATGAAAGACACTTACTTGAAATAAGTTGAAAGTTACCAATTGTAATTGATTGAAGAGTTAGAAATTCTAATTGATTTGATAAATAAGAAATAGAGAGAGAGAGAGAGAGAGAGAGAGGGGGAGAGAGAGAGGAAAGGAGAAAGGAATTGATGACACACAACAATTCTAAAAGAGTTTTTCAATAACAGATAATGAACAAGAAATTGAAATGATGAAATATAACATCATCTCATCTCTTACTTCTTTCTTTTCTCTCTTAGGAAAAATTCCTTTTTCCTTTTTTCATTAGAAATTTAATGCGAATTGAAAAACAGAAAAAAAAAAATGATATTAGAAATTTGTTTATTTTTTAAAATCAATATTATACTTCTAGATTATAGAAATGTAAACAAATAAGTATAGTATTAAGCTATTATTATTAAGTAATACTAAGCATAGACTTTTTTTCCTGAACTTATCGCACTGAAACGGAAAAAAAGTGTTAAAATTTTAACATCAGCAATATTTGACTAAATTACTATGTGCATAAATTATAAAAGAATAATTACCTAACCAAGAAGTAAATGATTATTTCCTAATTATCATATAAATTAGTAAATCAACGATAGATAAGTAAATTATTTATGGACAAATTCATTTATATGATTTAATTAATAATTTCGTTCACATTCCTTTAATTCAACATCTTTTAAAAAATCTTAAATCATTAAACCATTAGCATTCCTAATAATATACATCAAATGGAAATATATTTTTACAAATATTTCACTCACTAAATGAGCTATTCAAAAATTACTCAATATTTTTAGGAATAAATAAATAATAAAAAATTTGTTTACAGACAAGTCAATACGTCGTAGACGTAAGTAACACGTCATAGACGGTTTATCTTACGTAAATTAATAATATTTTATCGTATATTCACACATATATATAAAATCTCCTAACATACAATTCAAATCAATGAAAATGTTAAAAGTCCTGTGTTAAAACATCATAATATAATTAAAAAAGATCAATAAAAAAAAGTAATTTTTAAAAATTTATAGCAATATTATATTTAACAAAAAGAAATGGTAGAATATTATGATTAAAACTTTCAATGAATGAAATATTTAAAAATGAAATATCTCACAAACATTTCAAGTTTCAAATAAAACTAAGTTTTTTTTTTTTTGAAATTTGAATAACATGATAAACATAAATATTCAAAGAGTAATATGTACTAATACAATATACCTTCCTAACAAAAATATTTGCAAAAACAATTTAAAAAAAAAAATATTAAATATTTATAAGCAATTATGCTAATAAAAAATTAAAGAAATTAAGATAATGAGATCATATATATTTAACACAATAAATGTATAAATGTGAATTTTGAAAATGACTAAATTTTTTTTTCTCACATTTTTCAAACTATTTTATTTAGATTCATTGCTAATAGTCAATATTTAGTTGCTTCAGATTAGCGTAACTCACATTTAATGCTCAGCAAAATGATTTTTTTTTTAAATGGTATAATCATAGGATAAATGACTAGAATATAAGATGAAAAAAATTGACAGATGAATGTAGCATAAAAATAAACAAAAACAAAAACAAAAAAAAAAAAAAAAAAGAAAGGAAAAACCGAAAGGTTATGTGATTCTGCTGATTTCAATGAAAGAAGTACTACTTATGGAAGCAATTTCTTCTTTTTTTTTTTTTTTTTTTTGAGGTATAAAATATAAGAAGCAATTTAAAATTTTTATTCACTTATTGTTGCTTCTGGTAATATTACTGTTATTGTTGTTCTTATTGTTGTTGCTTCAGTTACCGTTATTGTTGACGTTGTTGTTGTTGCTGTTGTTGTTTGAATAGCTGTATAGCTAAATTTTGTACACCAGCATATTTCCAGTGACAATAAACATAAAAAACACAGGCAAAGAATACATAAATCTTGACAAAGAAAAAATAAACAATAAAATAAATCCATATTATAGACATTGCTATCCAAAATGAAAAAGCACAATAATAACCAATGCCTGTCGAATGAATCTGAAAAAAAAAAATGCTTTTATATACTTTATTTTGAATATAATCTGATGACAGTAAATAAATAATTCGAGTAAATATATCATACTTATTTCATGTCATCTTTAATTTATGATACTCTTATTTCTTCATTAAACTTTCATACCTATCATTTAAACCAAGGAAGTGATTTATTTTTATTGAAATCTAGACTGAAATCTCTACCATTAGTTTCAGTTAAGAAGTTTTGATTATATTCCGACCTGTTTTCTTCCTATTATCGAAAAAACTAATTATTCCAGAGAATCACACAGATAAACAAAACTATTTTGACAAAAAACAATAGAAAGAAATGCTAACCAGCCAATCATTCTTCTTACTACTAGATGGTAAGAATTTTCTGTTGGCGACATCAGCTTTGTAAAAATTTTTGAGTCGATCCTCCTTTTCTCTCCAAATATTATTAAGCCAATTAATCAAACCAGTGTTATCTTGAGGTAAATCATTTTCATTATATCTTTTCACATCAAAATGCACAGCATGCGGAAAGCGACCGTTTCGAAGTATTTCTAATTCTGAACTGATAATCTCATCCGGATAGCCAACTGTTATGTCGTAAACATTCTTTAGATAACTTTCTGCAGCAAAAGGAAAAAGAAAAGTTGATAATCTCTCTAGAAATGATATGTTGATGTAATAATTAAAAGAATCGTTTTTCTTTTTTTTTTTATCACTAAAATATATTATACAAAATTTCTCTTAAATGTTGAAAAAAAAATAAACTAACTTTGACGCATTACTTGTATCATATATGAAAAACCCGTCGTACGAGGATGCAAAACAAAGTGATATAATGGTAAACCGTTTTGCATTGCAAATTGGTCACTATTCTTTGCAGCTCGTTCACCACGATCTGTTCCTTCCGGAAAAAGTAAAATCTAAAAAAAAAAAATCATATACCACAAAAAAAAAAAAATCCGTCGCAGTCATTTAAGAAACAGGAAATATTCAAGTTCAGTAGCAAACTCAACAATGATATTAAAATACATTAATTATTAGACAAATATATGTTGAAATTAACAAAACAGAAAATCAAATATCAAACTAAAATCAACTATAAATGAATCTATTTATTTCTATAACTGAAAATTCCTTCATAATCTTCTCTTAGATTTAATCAAAATAGCATCTATTTCTAATTAATGTATTTTAGTCTAATTTTTTAGAACAAATAGAATTAAAATATTTGTTCATAAGGCAAACAAAATGAGAACTAGAAAATGTAAGATTAATTATGAATGACGAAAATTAACCTGATAATGACGTCCCAAATCTTTGTAATACGTGATCATATCATCAATAGTATGCGCATCATTTTTGTAATTACGTTCCAGGAACAAATAAGCAGCGCATTGCATTGCCCATCCTAAATTTTTGGAGAATTTTCAAATCCAAAAAGAGAAAAAATTTATTTATTAGAAGAAGAAAAGACGCAACAAAAAAGAAAAAGATAGGAGAAAAGAATCAATATAACATGAAAATTAATTTTAAAAAATATTATTAAAGATATCAATTCTTCTCAATAAAAAAAAAAAAAAAAACTGCAAATTTAAAATTTAATTTTCCAAGCAGAATTTTCATAAATCAAATCAACAAGTTAAACTTCATACAACAATTATTCACAAACTTATAATTCTTTAACAAAAAAAAAAAAAAAAGAACCTGCACCAGGAATAGATTTCAATGGTTTTTTCAATGATATTTTCTCAGTTGTAAGTAACCATGGATTCATTTTGTAAAGTGCATTCCAAAAGAACAACCAATCAAGTCTTGTTCTATGATTCATGATAATCAATGCTGGTTCAGAACAACTGATCATATCGCCAGTGATATGAAATTTTACTCCCAAAATATAATCACACAATGACTGAAAGAAAAAAAGAAACACATAAGATAAAAGCATAATTAATGAATATAAAGTATAAGAAATAAAGCATAATTGATGATAATTAGAACATAACCATAATTAAAATTCATCCTAAAAATTTTATCCTAGTAGTTAAAAATATTTAATATTAGTATTTAACATATAGTCACAGGAAATAAATAGATATAGGTTAATGTTGTCTAATAACTTTCTGAAAACAAAAATGCTAAGCTATTGTTTATCAGTATAATCATCATGCATAAGATGAAATCATTTTTGATTAGTGATATGATAAGCATTGTTACAAAGTTATCACATCAAAATTTAAATCCAAAAAAATATTTTTTTTTTTGGTAGCTATTGAAATTTATTGATATTGAAATAGATATTGAAATTTTCTAGTTCAGAGAAAAAAAAAAATTTTTTTTCAGAACTTACCGAAGGTAAAATTAACCAATATCCAATAAAACAATCAGCAAATATACGCCATAAAGAAGGAGCAAAATATATGAGTGGAATAAATGGAAAGAGAAGAAATATAGAGCCAAGAAATGATGATAGAAATAATAATAACCAAAAGAATAAACCTGTTAAATTTGGTAAATTCATTGTTTATTAATTGGAAATGATAATTATAATAATTGATAAAACACCACAACCACATTGTTAACCATTTTTATTGTGACAATAGCACTTTGCATCCTGAAATTTCATTAATTTTTAAAATTATTGTATAAATTAATCTAAATAAAACGTAATGTTTTTGTTTTTTGTTTTGTTTTTTTTACCATTAAATATTTGATAAATTTTTTTTTTTTTTTTTTTAGGGAAAAGAAGAAAAAACTTCGAATAACATTAAAAAAAAAAACAATTAACTAAATTGTTAGAGAATAAACATAAAAAAAAAAAGAAAAAAAAAATTAATTAAATTGTTAAAGAATAAAGCACATATTTGCAATAAAAAAAAAAGTCACATGGAAAAGTATTTAGTGTAACTTTTTGCTACCGATTTATTGACATGCGCCATTTTCGAATGAAATAATCCAATCCATTTAAGTATTTCAAATTTTGAATTTTGTTTCTTTCGATAAAACCATTTAATTTTCCATGCTCGGCTAGAATATATTAATTAGTATCCCTTTTCATTAGTTCGACATTAGTTCATTAGTATAAATTAAATTTTTAGTTCATTAGTATAAATCAAATATTAAAATTTCGACTACTGTGAAAGAATTTTACAACAAAATTAACGAGATGCATCTTATGTGAACACTATATGAATTAACCAATGATTATTCCTCATTTTTATCCCTCTCTCTCCCTTTCTCTCCCTCTCCCCTCTCTCTCTATATATATATATCTATCTGTCTATTTCAATCATTATTTGAAATTGATTATTTGAATATTTCTACTCCTCTCTTCAACGATTATGTACAATATTTCCATCAATTCTGACACACTTATCAATACTACACACTTCTAAAGCTTACTGAAATTACTTATTCTAAATCCGTTTTCCTCAATTTAACATTTCCGGAAAAGTTATTCTCCAAACAATCATTGCTACTCTTGCTCTTACATTATGATAATACATCCATAAATAATTGAATAAGAATTTTAGCAGAAAAGCGAATAAAGAATAATGAAATATGCATGAAAATAGCTCCAGTTGTTTTCCTTTTTTTTTTTTTTTTTTTTCATAAAAGATTAAAATTAAAATATTTATAATATTCAGTTGGAATGATTATTAAGAAAAAAATACCTAACAACAAAACACATAAAATATACAATTTATTCTTAATTTCACAGGAAATCAAAATAAATATATTACTTTTACATATTTACAATTTTACATTATTTACTTTTATCATTTTTCTCATATGGCATTACCATTTTCCAAGAAACATTTCAACCTGCAAATAATTTTTTTGTTTTTTTTTTTTCTTATAATTCATAAATATCAAAAATGTATTGGTTAAAAAAGATAGAAGAGAGAGAGAGAGAGAGAGAAAAAAAAATTCCACCAAACTAATTATTATCGTAATGCTTTGAAAAAATATCCATCTCTTCTCAATTGATATTAATTTAAAGAATGAACCAAAATAATTAATTACAAACAGGATGAAATGCTCATTACACCAAAATTAATTCAGTTATATTTTTAAATTAAACACCAGTTTTGATTAAATGACATGATAAATGGAATAAAAACAACAAAGATTAAAATTAAAACAACACCAGAACTTAACATCAGCTGGAAAAAGGATGAGGAGAGAGAGAGAATGAGGGAGAAAGAAAGGATTTTAAGGCATTGTGTAAATGAATGACATCATTAGCAGTTTTTAAATAAAAATTGAAATTATCAAATGCATAACAACAATTTATCTACGTGTCAACAATAATTCATCGAGGTGTCAACAATCTGTAATAAACTTCATTGAAATCCATTCAATAACTATTCAACTGCTTTGCATTTACCTACTTATTTTTTCATTTACTCTAATCAACTCTAACAACAAGCATATAAAACACTAAAATATTCCAGTTATTTCATTTAAGTTGGAAAGAAATCGATCCATAACAGTCTCAGATAAAATTCATCCAGTAAACAATATCAAATTCCTAACTTCTACTTCAATATAAATAATCACACTACGATTATTATTATTGTGATTAAATCATAGTATTAATCAAATTGTACGACAACAATTCAATAGTAAGTTTCATCTTTTCCCAGCTGATACAAATTTATAATCCAATTTCTTATGCACAAATCTAGATATATTTTACAGAAATATTCAAATCAAAAAAGAAAAAATCAATGATAAATTAATTATCATTAGAACGAGTGCATTTATGAGGTGGTGAATGGCTACGAGAATTCGCACGTACGTTATAGAATCCATGCGTAATCGATCTTAATTTAAATGCGTTCTTTGATAATTGCATATCTTCCAGTACTTTTGATCGTTTTTTCTTTCTCAGTTGTTGCATATTAAATTCATCCTTTTTAATTTGTGCCACAGCCGAACAGGTAAAATTTCCATCAATAATTGTTGATAAATGAGAATTCTTTTGCGATATATATTGCATGTATGGATTGCTAATATTAATAGTTCTAAAAAAAGAAAAAAAGAAGTAGTATCAATGAATAAAACTTATTATCAATTTATACTAAACTATTTTGAATATAGCAGAAAAAAAATATTTAGTAAAGTCAATGCAACTTTCAAAAGTACTAAAAAATTACAACATTTATTTTCAGCATTTTTTGTATATTCATGTGCAAAATAACCTTGAATCAATCTGAAAATGTTTGCTTAGACATAAAACTACTGTTCAAATGTTAGAATATTTTTTGAATTTTTCTTTTTTTAAAAGTATTTTAGTGAATAATTACACTTAAATACTTCAAAAGACTGAGACTTTTATTAGTGGAATTCATATTAATAAAAAGCAACAATACTATTGAACGATTTTAGTGCTCAATATTCTACTCGCAAAACAAAAAAAAAAGATGAAAGTTAAAATAAAGAAAAAAAAAATTTCAATATCTAGAAAGAAAGTCGTATATAAATAAGACTTGCAACTCAAAACATATCCTTTCCTGAACAATAATCGATATCGCTCATAATCTTTTGCAAGAGAAAAACTCAAAATTTCAAAATACGATTAGATGAATGTAATATTTATGAGATGTCTCAAATGATAAACAACTCACTGATTCAACTTCATTGCATTACTTTTATCTCTACGATCAAATATCGCTGCCAAATTTCCAGATTTCTTCACTGACTGAAGACATGACACTGAGAGATTGTCGTCGGCATTAAAACAAGGAATGAACGATTTGCTGATTGCTGCATTGCATTTCGATGAACTTTGCTATAAATATATATGAAAATTATATAATTTAAAGTAAATTATCAATCTATAATATCTAAAGTATCGAAACACTTTTTCTTAAGAAAACACCTATAAGTAATAGTGACGTGAGATGATGTTAAAATTAAGAATTAAAAGCATTTAAGAATTTGAATAAAAAAAGAAAAAAAAATACAGCACATATTTATAAAATACAAAAAATGAAAAGTTGCAGTTGTTCAACCTTACCCTATTTGGCGACAAAATGCTATTAAAAGATCTATTTCGAAGAGGAAAAGTGTTTGCTTTGCTCAATTCTTCCTGAAGAATAAATTCTTTTATGAGATCAAATAATAAAGAATTACAAACATTAACAGCTAAAATTCTTACTTTAAAAGATCCTTCGGTCAATCTTTTCTTATTACATCAAATACTATTTCGAATTTTGTTCAGAAATAATACAAAAAGTTAAGATAATTTATCAAACTAATGCTATTACATACATAGTTAATGCTCACGAAGAAAAACCGATTGATATTTATTTTCTCTCAAGGGACAAAATTATTCAAATTTGTCCATGTTACATAGGAAACCTTTTGAAGAATCTTTTTGCTACAAAAATAATTACAATAATTGTTATGAAGATATGAAAAAAATAAATATTTTACGTTATTGTCTTTAGATGAATGATGCTGCAAATCAACCGATCCTAAATATGAATACAATTAACAATTTTCATCTTTACTTTAACTTTTTTTTTGTTAATATATCCAGTAAATTTCTTCTTCTTTATAACATTCATAGCACGTCTCATAACACGTCTCCTTTTTCCTCCTAAGTTATATCCAAATTTGAAAACATACCTGATGCATCGGCAATCCCACTAATATCTTCAAAATATTTCAAATTTTGCTCATAGTCCGTAAATGAGCTATTCAAGTGCTGCAACATTCCACGATAGTGCTGTAAATTTGTAGCCAATGAGTTTACATTCCTAAAAAAAAATTTAAATGATCATCAAAAATCTTAATAAAAAAAAGGAAACATAGATGTTTATTTATTTTCCGAAAAAAATTTGTTTGCTTCAACAAAATAATAACTGTATACAACCTTCAACATCTTTCTGAAGTAAAAAATCAGCAATAATAATAATAATGCAATAATCAGAAGATTTTGCAAAGATCAAAAAATAAATAAATAAAACTAACTTCCCCAAAAAATCGCAGATCTTCGCAGTTTCCTTGCATCGATCAACTATATCATCCATATGTTCGTGCTAAAATCATAATGACAAAATATTTCCAAGATTTATAAAGAAAATATAGCATACTTTATACTATGATTTAAAAAATTTTTTAAATCAACATTTAAAAGAAATGATGTAAAATGAGTATGCCTGCGAATAAAAATTAGGCTAATCTTCTTTATGTGTTGAAGCTTACCCAATTTCCTAAATTATTACAAATGTGCAATTTTTTTTTTATTATTACCATGGAAAACAGATGTTTACTATAATTATAAGTACTAGAATACATTTCAATGCCTGGAAAAGATAGGCTTATTAGGCATATATTCTATCCAATATCTGTGGTTCTTGCAAGTGCTGATTTTGAAGGATGTAAATTAAGTAACAATTTCGTTAATACTCTTCGTAGCTGATGAAATTTAATTTGATTAGTTTTGATTATAAAGAAGAGAGAACTTTTCATCAGAACATAATGCTTTCATCAAAAAAGTTCCAAATCTCTTCTTAATAGTATAACTAGAATTAAGTGATAAGCTATTTGATAACTCTAAACTAGGGAATCATTATTATGGTTAATACTGTCAACTTGATAATGCACAAGAAATCACCAAGATTAGTAATAAGAACATTTCTAAAAAAAAACCACACCCTAAAAAAAAGCAAAAACTTACCATATTGCTCACATTTTTTTGCATTATTTTGTACTGATTCTGCTGGAATTTAATAACTGAATTTACCTTTTGTAAGGTATTCATCAGTAAAGTATTAGGTGCCTGAAATTATATTTATTTTCAGTTATAATTTCTCCAAAAAAAAAAATTTAACTAAAGTAAAAAAAGTTAAAAAGTTGACCAACTATGTGTCATTTAATACTAACCTGGAAATATCTTTTTGTTTTCTCACTCATATGACGTCCCACATCTTCATAAACAAAAGGTGAACGTTGACACACCATACACATCTTCCTTGATACTACAATCATAAATAAATTCATTTGAAGGAAATTTATTTGATTAATTATAATTGATGACAAACTATATTCAATATTCAGTTACTTTTAAAAGAAGCATAATTTTCACTATTGCAATGACAATTACCTCACGCATTGTAGAAAATTTTTATCCAACAATTAATTTTAATTTCTTGCTTTAACACATTACAGGCTTAATGAGTTAGTTAACAAAATTAAATAAATATGCAGAAAATAAATAATTCCATTTGGATTAAAATAAAATGGAAAAAAAAAGTTTCGTTTTGAACATAATCAAAAGATAATGTCCCGGTGAGAAGAAATGCTGAAGAAGTCAAGTTAAAAATAAAAAGTAAACCTATTAGGATTAAAATAAAGTGATATCATAACAAGATGTAAAAGTAAAAGGAGTAAAATATTCCGTTAATATTGTGTCTAAAAAATAAAATAGCTCCAATTGAAAAACAACCTGAAATGATTTTGCAATAGGAAAAAATAATGGATATAATTATTTAATAATATTTGTAACATATACCATCTTTGTTTTATGAATGATAGAAAAAATATCCATAACGAACCACATTTATCACGACACGTAGAGCAGAATATATGTCCACAATTAGCAAGCGCAAAAGTTTCATTTTTGTTTATATTCTGAGTAGATGCAATCAGATAGCAATTATTACAATGCATCCATGATAACGCCATCTGAAAATATCTAATTAAATTAAATAATATAAAAGATAACAAGAAAAAAAAAAAATTCTCATACAAAATATGCGATCATTTGATGCATCGTAGTAATTCCACAAATTATTAATATTGTCATATTACTATGTAAGCTTTTGTAATACGACTAACACCAATAATTTAATCTTCTCTAAAAATTATACCACGCAACAATATGAAATATTTAATATTTCATTTCATACGCTCTAATATATCGTGTATGCATTGTGTACTAAAATAAATCTAATAAAAACAATTTTTTCTTTCTAGCAAACCTTAATTCCAAATCTTTTCAGTCATTGTATCCTTCCCATCGATATGAACTCAATAGCTATCACCTAGATATAAATAATCTTCGTAGCATAACTGATAAACTGAATACTTGAACTTTTTTCAAAAACCTTTCTGTATGATGTACACTGTGTAAAGAATACACCGTTGCTCTGCTAGAAAAGTAACACAAATATATTTTAATTTTATAAATAAAACAATTTATGCACTTGCCAAATTAAAATTTAAGTATACAATCAATGAACAACGTTAGAAATAGAAAAAAAAAAAAAAAAGAAAAAGAAAAAATCAGCAACAAATTACATGAACCAAACAAGTTACAAAACATCTGAGCATGAAACATCTGAGTCCCTGGCTTCTTTTATTTGGCAGTAAATCATAAAATAATATCTAATCTTATCATCACGTCAAAACATACAATAAAAACATTTCCTTAATAATTACTATGTTTGACTAAAATCGCGAAAAGGTAATGTTGAGGGATTTCGATAATCGCGAACTGGTGAAGGAGCTCGATAATTTTTGCGTGCAGTAAGTTCATCGCCTGTTGTGGCTCCAACTAATCGATCATATGAACGCTTAGTTACGTCAATTAGAACATCAGATCGTATCGCACCATACGGATGCGATGGATTTGCTATAATCGGAATATATTATAAATAAATATTATATTACAGAATATTAAATAACTAACCGAATAATAAAAGTCATACATAATCAAAAATTTATAAATTAAAAGCGCTAGAAAGGATTTACAGAATTATAACTGAATAGAAACATTCTAAAAAAATTTTGTGGAGGAGCTTACCAGTTTGCAATGTTTTGGGATTGGAATATTGAATTTGCGAGGGGTATTGACGATTTGCAGCTGGTGCATAAGATGCTGCTGATGCTGCATATGCCTGATATATACTTGCTTGCCGCGCTTCACCTATGATTGCAAAAAATTATTTTCAATGAAAATACACGTTGTTACCTTCTTTTTTTGTTCTTCAATTATCCACAAAACAAAAAAATGAAAAAATGAGAAATTGTCGACACCGAAACTTTTGTCCACTTCTTCGACAACTACTGCCCGAACATGAGAGAGAAAAAACAAAAACTATATTCTGAGAGATATGCCAAACATTTTTCTCTAAATCTGCTAATTTTACTTTAAAAAACTAAAAAAAAAAAGTGAAATTTACCGTATGCTTGGAATTTCTGTAAAGCAGAAAGTAGTGCAGGGAAAAATGTAGGATCTTTGCTAGTCATCATTACAACAGCGAGAATAAAATCTTTCGGTGAAATTTGTGCCAGCAAACCATCTAAACGTTATAAATAACAATGTTTTCACATTTATAGTATATTTTGAAGCAAATTTAATGCAAAAAATTATATCTCACCTAACATACTACTACGTCTTACAGTACTACAGTTATATACCTTATAATATCAAATTATTAATCAACACAATATATTAACATAAGTAATCATGGTTAAATAAAAGTGCATTGCAAATCTTATTCGAAACAACATGAATAAAGCATCACTTCTGATATTTTATACAAGATTAGCTAATATAAAGAACATACCAAGTGTAGTGTCTAAATCTTGTGGTGCGATCAAGCTATTACGCTCCTCAATCAGTTGCCTTTGTTGCTCTTTAACACCTTTCTCCCATTCATTGAACTCTTCCACATATTTATTATATGTTTCCGTACCACACTGTGCTCTTAAAGTAACTGAATAAAGTATATTAATTACAACGTCACAATAACTCACATCTCTTATCCTTAACTGGATGATAAAGTATTTTTAATATCTAACTGAAGCTATTGGATGTATAATTTATGTAAATCACTAAAGTTCTTGCATCAAAATACATTCAAAAAATTAAAAAAAAAAAGAGAAAAAGCTGGTCAATTCATGAACAGTATATATAACATTGTTTCATTATTTTGGTTAAAAAATGCTATAAATACTAGTATTTACATACGATTCATATTAATTTAAGAAAAAAAAAAATATATACATATTGTTCAACTTCCATTTCTCGAACTTTTCTTTATGCTCCACATACTGTTGTTCCAGTCGTCCAAGTGCAACTGTTATATGCGTAATCTAAAATCAAGCGTAATTTTTATTTTGAATATATTAAACAAGAATATTACTGCTCTATCAAAAAGATGGATAATAATCAACAATACAAACAGTCGCTAATTGAAATGGTTAATGAAGAAACCTTTGAAACGGTTATAATTTTGCAAAATAAGATTAGCAAAATGTACAAAAATGAAGCATAACATAAATGAAATTAGTACCTTATCAGCCATCAGAATTTAGATAACATTTTTCGAAGGAAACATTTAAAACCTGAAAATTTAAATGCAAATCAAAATGAATGCATAAACATGTTGTTTAACGATAAACACGTTCCTTTCATCACGTTAACATATTCTTCACTTCACTGCAGTTTTGCTTCTTTTTTTTACAATGGTTTAAGATATTTAAATACAATACAAAGTGAAAAATACACGTGACAGTATATGAAAATGTATCAAAAGACGCAGATGCATCACAACGTCCAAAACGACGATATAGCTAATTTTATTGACGTTTTACGTGTATCATATGATATGTGAAACGTTAATAAATTCAACACTAACTTCCTACATGACGCAAAACCACGTAACCGTAAACGCAACACCAATGCAACGTCAGCATGAAACCATCTGCAATGACGTTGCTGTGCTACGGATTAACAGACCAGTGATGGCAAAGTAGACGCTACGTGCAACAAAAAAAAGAGATAAGTACATTTGGTTGTTAACGTGATACTACGTCATGGGTATTCAATATGACGCCAGTACAATACTATCACTGTTTTCTCTCAATTTATAATATAACTCTAATAACGTACTAAAACACAACTTTACGTAAGTAACCAATAATTTCAAGCAGTGCTACCATTACGTTTCCTACGTTTTGCGTATTATTTCGACGTAAAGTAGTCATTATATTATATAATTTCTATTCTTTAAATTGTCTTATTGTTTCTTAAAACATTTCACTATTCATTCATCAATAAAATATGAGCTTTTTTTTTATTGTAACAACGATTAATTGTAAACGATCTGTTTAATCTTTAATCTTTAATCTTTTCGTTTGAAATTCATATGAAAATGCGAACAGTGTCGTGAAAGTTTTGAAGGTTTAGTTTAATTATTATTTTTTAGAAAAGGTTGTTGATCTCAGAGAGATTCGTTGGATGTAGGTGTAAATGTGTGGGTAACAGAGGAAAATAATAATAATTCCTTTACTAACAGAAGCAATAGTACAATAACTTGATAGAGAATTGAAGTTGAACTCTCTTCGTTTCTGATAAAAACAAGCAATGCTCCCTTTCAATAAGGGTAACTATCTTATGTATTTAGTTCTCCATCTTCGACAATAACCTGTTTAACTGTTGATCTCACGATTTGTTTGTTTCCATGAAAGTTGAAGAAATAATTTGAGTGTAATCACTGAGGGAACTAAAATCCTAAAGGTCATAATGTGAAGCAATAAATTGCAAGATAGTTCTCTTAATGATGTTCTTTTCATTTCATGGTTTAAGTATTATACGAATTATATCCAATTCATAAATCCAATTGATACCATGAAAAACTGCTTTAGAATTTACCTATTCGTAATCGGTTATTGAATTCTAGATCATTCGAAATAAATTCTGTAATATTCATGCCTGCTCTTTCAGAGATAAGTTTTGTCTGTTCGTATTTTAATAAGGCATTCTCTGTACACTTCGCAGATAAAATCAACATAAATATTTTTATATAATTTTTCGTAGTTATAATTGTTTGCGATATTATTATTCTATCTTGGTGAATTGAAAAGTTCTCTATTTTATAGATTTCTTCTTTTGCTGCGTTCCTGTTTGGATGTGTTGTTTTGTTCGCATATGTTGAGAATTTTTGTGACATTTTGTGAAATGTTTTGCAGTAGAAACATTTTACCTTTCTGCTGCCATCTTTACTCTGCTGAGTTCATTTCATGCAAATAGTAAGTACATCTCTTCATTTCTTTTGGTCGAGAATCCATTGAGTCGAGAATCCATTGACAAATATGTTTGACATTCACTGTCCCAGTTTCTCATCATCATTGTGATTGGTCGTCAATGCAAAAGTTTTATCATGATTTCTTGGATTCTTTTTATTGTGTGAGGTGATTTTCCTTTCTGTAAGAGTAATTGAGAACTCATTTCTTGCTTGTTCATTCACGTTGAACCCGTCTCAGCTCTATCAAGTACCTCACGCCGTGGTGTCAGCAGGTCCAATGCACATTCCCTCGTACGTTGAATCCACTTCACAATGTCCAATCCACGAAAAAACGACACAACAAACATCACCTCATAAACATACTTTAAGTTTTGAAGGAATTTCTTTAATTTCATTGTTGATCATGGATTATTGACCTTTTTTTGATGATACACTTTGTCGAGTATCTATCCATTGTATCTTCAATACTGGAATATTCGACGTTCTTTCCTAGCATTTCTAATTGTCGAAAAATTCTTTCCATTCTTTCAGCATTTTTTGATCAATTCCTTGTCGTTTCGTTTGATTCACCGTAGTTCATTTACAGTAATTTGATTATTGTCAACGAGTTTCCATATTTTTCGGTCAATATTTGACGCACAATTTCATAATTTTCTAGGACAACATTAAAGCCTCTTACTGATTCTAATGTTGCACCCTTTAAGTAGGAAATTAAATAATTCATTTTTTGGATTTGGGATATATCCTGGGAATGTACAGCTTCACTGAATCCACTGCAAAACTCTCTCCATCGAAAGTAGGAAGGGATAGTTGACGAAAGATTGATATTGCAATAGGAATTTGATGTTGTCGACCCATTTATTAGTGGTTTTTTGTTTGATTTCATTATTAATTTCCCTCTTGTACATAGTCAACATGATGACTGCTTCGTTTGCTTTGTGCTTTAGAATGAAAATATTTTGTCCCTCATCTTTCTTTTCCGTTCCGGATTTTTGGACACATTCTATCCAACTTCTTATTTAACGCCTCGATAAAGTCAATGCACATTTGCAGTCGAAGAATTTTTTCGTCTACGTCTATAATCTTTGGTTTCGTTAATTTGGAGTCGTTCGTAGTTTGGTAAGGTTGGGTGTGGCGATTGGATATATTCATAGTTTTTACCTCATTCAGTAATCTTTCTAAACGGTCCTTTACAGGTTTGACGCTTTTATTAATAGTAAAGGCCATTGTAATATTTGTCGTGGAAGTTTTGAAGATTTAATTATTATTTTTGGGAGAGGTTGTTGATTCCGGGGAGATCCGTTAGAGGCAGGTGTAAATATGTGGGTAACAGAGGAATATAATAATTCCTTTATTAATAGAAGCAATAGTACAATAACTTGATAGAGAACAATTGAAATTGAACTCTCCTATTTCTTGGTAAAAAATACACAATGGCCCCCTTTCAACAAGTGACCTCTTTATGTAACAAGCAATAACAAAGTAAAAAGAGGTTAATCCCTGCCGAAAGAGTAATAAAGTGTTGACCTGGTTTATAAGCAAATCTATTTAATAGTTGACAAGCCGCAATGGATATCGGTTAAGCAAAAGTTATTAACCTCATAGATTTAAGGGTAATTTACAATTAGTGGCGGCGACACAACAATGAGGTCAACTAAATGAGGAACTGATATCGTGTAAATAAGATATAAAAGATTTACAATCTAAGCATAAGATTTGAAACAAAAGGTTCAAGATATAAACATTACTTGCAAAATTCCATATAACATATTTTTTACTCATTTTTTCAACTCTCATATAGCAGTTTAGAGTTTTGCGATATAAAATTCTCGACAACAGTAAATGGTTGCAATGTTTGAAATCCTACCATATGCTATGCTTATCAGTGGTGCCATTAGTTTTATAATACTTATCTCAGGATTTAAAGCAGCTTATGGACGATATTCTGGGCAGTCCCATATACTGGTCACTTCTTTATCATTATAGCATTACTAATATTATCATATTATTATCATTGTTATCATTTTTGTTATTGTTAATTATTATTGTTATTTATTACTGTCATCATTAATTATTATTTACTTCATTATCAATTGTTATTATTTACCATTACTATTAATTATATTATTAATGATAATACATTTTTGACCTACATTTTTAGATACCATTAATACCAGCTAAATGGGCTTGGTTTATACAAGAATTGCCTTCATTATGCATTCCTCTTTATTACCTTATTATCGGCATTATTGATTTGCCTCTTATCAATGCATTTATCCTTATCTTATTCTGTTTACATTATATTAATAGGTACTTCTTTTTTCCTTTTCCTTTTTCTTTGTTTTATTCTTTCCAAGAGAAGCAATATTATTTGTTTCGTTCCTTTATAACAAAAAACTAAAAATTCTATTTTGATTATTTTGTACATTTTAAATAAATATTTCTTATGTTTATATTATGCTAAATTACTTTCAGAACACTTATTTATCCATTCTTGATTAAACAAGGTACAGGAACACCTGCGCATATCTTCCTACTTTGTCTTCTATTTTGTACAGTTAATGGTTATATGCAAGGCAAATGGCATTCTTGTAATAATGTTGTTTACAACGAATCACCGATGAACACTTTATTTTGTTTCATTGGTAATTAAGCATTTATATTCTTTTTTTTATTAATCCCAACATTTCTAATTAAGCTTAGATAATTATACCGATTATAGTGAAGAAATAATGAAAATTTTCTTCTAAGAATGATATTTTTGCATGTATTTTAGCTCTTTTTGTAAATATTAATGTAGTATTTGGTATATTTCATAAACACTATTAAATTTTCCATAATAGGTACATCGACATTTATTATTGGAATGATAATTAATATTACATCCGATTCAATACTACGAAATTTACGAAAAGATGGAAAATCAAATTATAAGATACCTTACGGTGGTTTATTCGAATATATCTCGGGAGCAAATTTTTTTGGAGAATGTATCGAATGGATTGGTTATGCGTTATTAGCACGCACACCACCCGCTTTTGCATTCGCATTTTCCACATTATGCAACCTTGCACCACGCGCATATCATCATCATAGGTGATTGTTTCTTTCTTTTTTCAGCCGAAAAATTTCAGTTTGTTAAGAGAGAATGTGAAGATGGATTATGAATTAGTAAAACTTTTCTTCAGAGAATATATTATACAACTTCGTTTATTTCAGGTGGTACCATGAAAAGTTTGACAATTATCCGAAGGATCGTAAAGCTTTTATACCATTTGTTATTTAGATAATTTAAGTGAAATTTGATACAACAGAAAAATGGAAATTACTTCAGATGACATTCATAATGCCAAATGATACTTAGAATGTAATACCACACAGTAAGTGAAATATTTGAAAAGATATACTGAGCATCGAATTAATTTCTGAAAAGACACATAGCATCAATTACACTCAGAAGAAAAAACTTACAAACAAAAAAAAGTTCGAAATATGATTATGCTCACTCGTACATTTTACAGTAATGACATAGAACTAATAGTCAAATTTTGAAGAAATTGACATCCTGTCACTGTTCTTACTACTATAAGGTACTTTTACGCATTATAAAAAAATATATTTTATTGTAAAATAATAAAAAAACAGCGAACTCTAGATTAAAAACATTATCGGTATGAAAATGCTTGAACTATTACTGCTTATAACAATTTGCTACAGTTCGTCTTACAAATTGTCAACATAGACCTCAAAGTTTTAATATATTTAACACAGAAAAGCAGTAACAAGGTCATAAGAAAAAATCTGTGAAATATAACTTCAATTAAAAGAAACATTATATAATTAATGAGCAATATGACATGTAATAACTATAAATTTCCAAAACAATATGTAATTCCAACCTTCACTCACTCATTGTAGTACGAAAGCTAAAGTGCTGCATCAAATTACTGTGAAGTATTTTAATCATATTTAATTTTCATTAAAATATTTCGGCAGCAAAAAATTGAAATGGTGAAGAATTGGCAGATATAGAGATTTATTTACCGAGAATGGAAAATTCTAGAAAGTATACCGCTCTTCTTGCTATTTTTTTTCGATTCCTTCACCATTTGCATAGCTTCATTCTCTGCTTTCTCAGCTTCCAGTACAATCTTAAAACAAAAAATAGATATGCTGATTTAATAAAATGGAAAAATATGAACCTAAGGTTTCATGCATCACCTAAACCAATCACAAATATATTCAAAGTATCGGATAAAACAATTTTAACTGTTGGGAATTGAATATATCTCATTTCTTGCATCTTTTTTTCTTCTATATGATGATGCATCACAAAAAAAAATTGATATATCCAATAAGTAAACAAGAAAGACTACAATTCATTGATAAGAAAGGTAACATTTACTCTTTGCAGTTCTTCACAATCGATTTCGCTTTTATCGTCTGAATTTTCACTTTTGAAACTGGACTCAGAAGAACTCAGAACGTCGTGATTCAGTCTTCTGTCCCAGAATTTACTCAATTCATCACTTATTTTTTCCGATTTTTGATTACTTTGGTTAGCTAAAATGATGGTTTCGTAAGTAATCAAAAGTAAATTTTATTTCAATAATGCAATAACACACATTCATACAAATGATCTAGCATCTAAAAGCAGGATAAAGGGGAATTACATAACTGTACTGTTTGCCTGATCAAGTATTTTATACTAAAGTTTGAAATTCCACTAAACTAAATGTGTGTATTTATAATAATAATATATTTATATTTTACTCATATTTTGTAGAATAGAATCTTTTCATACTTAATTTCATTAGTTCCTTAATTTCATTGTCCATCGCATGATTATCATTACTTATGCCTGTCAATTTAGATGCCTCTACACTTTGTTGTTTGGCCAATTTCATCGTTCGTTGTATCTCTTTCAAATTCCGAATCGTATCTTGACCCATTATATCTGTATTTGATATGAATAGCTCTCCATTCAACTCTTAAAATCATCAAATTCAATGACTGTTCAATTAATGACAATTTTTTATCAAAATTAAGATACTTAGCTTTCTTTTTTTTTTTCTACAGGTTTTTTCTTCAGGTAAAATAATCATGAAATGCGTAGTCTTTCTAGAAAGCAAAAATAAAATGAAATTCCTCTGCAAAAAGAGTCCTTTTTTTTTGCTATTGATCAAATAAAGATTTGTAGCGAATCATTTTTTCCTAAAGTTCGAAAAACGAATCCTAATCTAGAATAAGAAAATACCAACTAATTACTTGATCGAGAATTTCATACTTCTGTAAAGTAACTACTTCACGAATTAAATATTGGATGACAATACAATCATTATAAAAGAAAGATGAGAATAAATTTTCTGTTTCAGTAAATAAAGTAACACTGATAATTTTACAAAGAGGGATACCATCTGGAACAGAGGCATTATTTTTGCACATCTTAATGAATTCAGCAGGATCAATATCATGTTTGTCTTCTGATTTCCTAGAAGCATCCCATTTTTTCTCTAACATAGCTTCATCTCTTGCTCGTTTCATCAGTTTTTCAACCGTTTCTTCTTCAACTTTATTTCCATTTATAATAGCAGACTGAAAATTAACTAATATTACAACAAAAAATAAGATTGTTTTATTCATAATTTAATGTGCCAAAATGGCAACAGTAATATACATATTATCCTGAAATTGAACTGAAATGACGAACTAATGCTATGATAAAATAAAATAATTGTCAGGTATACCCTCGGATATCTGATATTCTCCAAAGGCATATCATAAAGTTTTGCCAGTCGTTTTTCTATGTCACTCACTGAAGGCATATCTTGACCTTAAAATAAAGGCATTTTATAAAATCTACAGAAATAAAATAATCATTTATTCTGATCGATACAAAAGGAAAAAAAAAGACTGTGCAATAATATTGAATTTCCTCATCTTCTCAGGGAAATGCAAATAAAATGAAATAGATAAAGAAATAAAATAAAGGCACTAATTAACTAATTACTCCAAATCTCCTACCGAAATTATAACAGAAAATCTTACCGATGTATAAAGATTTGTCAAAAAAAAGAGAAAAAAAAAAACAACCAAATTAAAATTTAAATGTAAATGCTTACTTCCACCACTCATTGTTAGCATTTTTGCCCGTTCCTCCAACGATGATAATGTTTCCATTCGATTTTCATCCTTATCCATGTTTAAATTTGTCAATCTTTGTTGTAAAATTTCATCTTTTTCCTCCATTTGATGACTTAAATATGTTGAAGGAGAAAAATGTCGTAATAAGCTATGCGTATACTTTTATCGCATCGATGGAGGTGGCAAATTATCATCAATCCACCATTTCTTATCACTCATTAAAGAACTATAACACAGCGATATAATATTAAGGACAAAAAAAAAAAGTAGCCTGAAAATATTACATGTTAACATGAAACAGCGTAAAATGCAAATATGCTAATTTGCTAAGTGAAATATGACATTAGCGCAAATGTAACGTATAAATGAAATGCTGATAAGAAGCATAAGTTGATATGATATCTGAGCAGCATAATTTTAATATGATTGTTTGAATATGATTTTTCAACCTGCAACAGTAATGATAAAATTAAGTGAGCAAGTTTTTATTGCATTCAAGAAATACAACAAAAATGATGTAATCATATAATATCAAGCTAAGAAAATTAGCTTACGTGACGTGTGTCAAACGTAAAGATTCACAAATTTCAATTTATGCTTATCAAAAATTATTAGCTTGCAGAATTTCTACATCCATTTTCTCTTACATTAATTTAATTTTAATTTAACTCTTAGACACCTGAACAACATCTTTTAACGAACAAACTTTATTATTACTCCATTGCCACACAAAAAAAGTTACACCTTCTTTTTTCCTCTTTTTGTCCATTTTAGTCAATCTTTGCAACAAATCCAAGTAATGTAATCAATTGGCTAAATTTTAACCTTCCAAAATCTCGTTTAACTTAATAATAATAATTTACTTAATAATAATAATGTCTACTTCGATCTAATGACGACTAAAAGACCTAATGACAACTCCAACTTCATTTTAAAACATATTTGCTACATAATACTATCCAAATATGAGCAGAAAGGAAAACCGGAGCCCTTCCTTCACGTTTAGCTTAACTTTTTTTACGATCACTTCATTGCAATATCGAAAAGATGAAGGCATATAAATGGATTGCGTTGGACATTGAAAAATCGTTTTCATGAGAAATATTAACTTTTCATTTAAAGAAAATGATTGCACGTCTCTCAATTGAAAATAATATTTATTCTCTAAACTTCAACAATTCAAAAACCAAAGTCATACAAACACTGTTCAACGACAGCACGATCAGCACCTTTTATTCGAATGAATCCTTTCAGCTCATCAACATGCGTTGCAATCGGATGATGCAAATATTCTTCCAAATATTCTCGCATCTTTTTTTCACATTCCTTAATACAAATCTTTTTAAATGTAAGAGAATGATTAATTTTCTGGAAATTTCACAAAAGTCTGCTTTATTGGAAATGTTACAGAACAAAAAATGACGTATATTACAATGCATATGATATCCTACAGAAAATTTTTTCGAGAGTTACTTATTAGTTGATTTTTCAAAAAAAAAAAAAAAAATAAAATCACTTAGATCTAAATATTTGATTCAGATCTAACCAAACTAACCAATTTCAAATATCATAACTAAAGAAATTTATTGAATGTAAAAAAACTGATTCATATTGTTATGCAGAAAAGTTTTCTACTGACAGTAAACATAAATAGGATGTAATAACTATAAATTATTAGAAATGAAACGAAAAAGAAAAGAAGAACATACGAATATATCGCCATGAATTCCTTTCACCAGTACCAATTCAACATATTCAAACTCTAATGTCTTTGGATCTAATTGATCTCTCCTCGTTTCCAAATAAAGTGGTAACAAATGATCACGATTTCGCTCTACGTAAAATGTTAGATCTGGTCGAGCTGGAAATCAATTATTAGGTAAAATTGATTTCCTAAAATTGCCACCAAGAAAAGAAAAAAGAAAAATCAAGAAAAAATCATACGTTTTGGTGGTCTCCATCCACTAGGTGTTGGATATGTATCATGGTTCGGCACATCAGGTATCAATTTCTTTGGCATAAGCCTTTCTACATACTTCCAATCAACTGATATCTCAACTGCTTTACTTCGCGTATGCTCTAAAATAACTCTCTGTGCATTTAATTTATGATCAAGCAAAAATATGTTAAATTTTATGATTGATAATAGAAAAAAAAAAAGTGAAGCAACAAAATAAACTAACAAAAATCGCAGAATTTATTAGCTAGAAGAATTTTAAACTTAAATGAAAAAGACAATTTATTGTAATAAAGAATGACAACAAATGTTCGTATCCTTAAACTGATAAAACAAATGATATAAATAAAACAAAATGATATTCTCAAGGTAAAATGTTAATTCACAACAAAAATTTATACCTGTTTTTGATATAGCAGCTTGCCATGGATCATCCCAAACTTCACCACTTGATGTTGTGACATTTTCTTTTCGACAAGGATATTTTGTTAACACAACATTTCTGATTCGTTTCAAAGAATGTCGTAACATAAAACTTTCTTAAATCTTCATGTGAAATTGAGAACATCCTTGCTACATCGAAAGCTTACATTTAAATCTTTTCTATTCTCCAATTTTTTTTAATATTAACACAATGAATTCCTTTAATATATTAAACATCTTAAGAATTTTTGCTAATCATTACAACTGAGCAGGAGTTAAAAAAAAAAAAAAAAATACATTTACAAAAAGCAGAAATATAGAATTTCAGACGATTCAAATATGAGAAAAATTTTTATAAGATATTAAACAAAGCTATGCAATTTACATCATAAATTTATACCATAAAGATCAAAGTATCGAGTGCATTATGGAATTTAATTACAGTACCATATTTAATTAATCACAGAAATGATGGATAAATATACTGATTTGAACAAATGATGATTATTTAAAATTACGGTTATATTTTTCAATGTATTAAACGTGAATATATCAAAAATTATTATTACGAAAACTGATAACAAGCATCAAAATTCTACCAAGAGCAAAAATAAAATATCGGAGCATAAACTAAATCACATTCCTCAAAATAATCTGTAAAAATTTGTATTTACAAGCTCTTTACATTTTTTTTTTTTTTAATATGATGCTAATTGAACTTTTATAAACTACTTTATTTATCTAAAAAATTAATAAATCATTATATTTCCACAAAATTAATCAAGTTTGATGAGCTAAGATAGCCTGATTATTTGATATGGGTAAAGATGTGAAAGATGCTGTAGACGATGATGATGACGTCATATCCATACTTAGTTCAGAATCAGAGCTCTCACTGAACGTTATGAGATGACGTCGAGCTATAGCAGCATTTCTGCGTGCTATAACTGAGCATAATGCACTAACACGTCCATTTCGCTGATATTCAAACCATGATTGTGTTTGCTCTCTGAAATTAACTTTAATACTAAAGAAATATTAAAATCTACACGACTAAAAAACTTATTTCCATTTATTACATATATCAATTTGTAATATATTTTTACTTTAACAACTTATAGATGTATAAGAAATAAAAATAGATAATTGTATGAAAAATAAAAAGAAAAATAAAACTTAAGTTTCAAAGCAATTTAATAAAACAATGCTGTGAAGTTATTTATGAATCCAAGAGTTATACGTAACTACAGCGACAAAGTAATAAGTTATTAATGCAATATTAGTTATATTAGAAAATGTATTGTACAAAATTATAGAGTTTGTTTGACAAACTATAATTTAATAATTTTTTTTTTTTTTTTTTTGATACATTCAACATGGCTAAAAATATTGAAGAATAATTTACTGCGCGGATTGTGTAGTAAATTCATTTTTGTCAGCTACATCTTTATATGCAGTTTGACTTGCCAATTCCACGCCTGTCCTTTCTGTTATTGCTGCAATTTTGCTGAACATAGTATTCATCAGTGTAGCAAATTCGGATGTAGTCTAAAATAAAATAATTATCTAAACAAAACATCCGGAATATAAGTATTTATGCTGCCACAGATATAGATCAATTCTTAAGTCTTCTGATTTCATTCATCTTACTACTCCACTAATAACATATGATGAAAAAAAATTGATATTGGACAATTAATAACAGAAATATTAATGACAAAAAAAAATCTCGTCATCATTCAGTCATTTACATTTGTTTGGAGATCAAAATTTTAACTGGAAAAAGGGTCAATATAAGATTCAATATTACTGTTCTGAGTCAATAAATATTACTATTCTACAAATAATTTACTGATGAAAAAAAAAATATTATGACAGCACAATACTGTCCTATAATGTCCACTTCATAAAAGTCAGAATAATACAACTTGAAAAGAGAACATAAGATTCAATACTCAAACATAATAGATACGAATGTCAGACAATTCTCCATCTTTATGCCTAATAGTTGAGTACTATAGCTTGATTTTACGCCTTTTTTAAACCGAATTACAGTGAAAAAACCAATATTTCAAATAAACTAAGCAAATTATTTATCTTTTTAAAATATTTCTTTATTAACTGTTCCTATATATAATCTGAATAACGTCAAGCAACAAACTCGCGTGTAAATTTCACGCAATCGTCGAGCGTGTTCTAATTTCATATCAATATCGTTTTTTGATATAAATTCATCATTATTCAGTGATATTTCTAATGCTTGAAACTGTGCACGCTGCTCCTCCAATAACTGAAATACTTATGTCAAAAGAACATATTTTTTTCTTATCAGACATTTTCTCAACTTACACTTCATAAATTATCCACTCAAATAATGAAAAAAAAATCATATTTTTTCACGAAATTCTTTTGTTTTTTTGTTTTTTTTATAGATAGTATTTAGTACAATTTATAATCGAAACAAACCTTAAACAAATCCTCAATACAACTGATACGATCAGTCACCAATTTTTGACATTCATTCAAAATTTGTAGAGATTCAGTGACCATTTCTTGAAGTATTTGCCGAGCTGTTTTAACTCGTTCCTTTGATTCGCCATACTTTGATACAGTGTGACCCATCTTAGCATGACCATTTATTACACACAAACCGCAACGAACGTGCTCAAAAATTTAAATCCAAAGATACAAATGAATTCATCTCTCTTCATGATAATCATCATCTACACCTGTGACACTTTTATCAAGACAAGCAATAATATTATTTACAAAGCATATGTTTACATGAATTTGTTTGCACACATCTCTTAACTTTATAACTTTATCAAAAGTATTATGTTCAAAACTCCAAGTTGCAAAGCTCCAACTAATTAACACAAATTAATTTGTCTAATATAGGTTCCAGTGTTCTCTCTGATAAGAATTTTCCTGTCCTACAAACTTACCATCTCATTGACTACACAAAGGAAAAATAAAATGAAATAAAAATAAACAACTTTTATATATAACAATTATCAACTCCACTGTTATATACTCATCAGTTCATTATTCCTTATTAGAAAGGATCGGCACCTCTATTCTATCAATATGATCGCAATCATCACAGCAATATTGATCTTCTGGTTTTGTAATTCTCAAACACTGCTGACAATGTTTAATCATAGCATCTCTTTCTTTTATCCGAGATACAAGGCCTAGAAAATTTTCCCTGCTTCAGAAAAATCAATATATTATTTTAACTTAATACTTGATGATAACTCTTTTAACTTATATCACGCTTCATCTCTAATACTAAACTGAAAGCTTAGCTGGCTCATTTCCTTTCTCCTATAATCTTATTTTACTTCTTTTTTTCTTCTCTTTGAACCTAAAACAAGTAATTTAAATTTGATTGTATTCTGGAAAGAAAAAAGAAACGTTATAAGATTGTCTATCCAGTCAACTATTTCACTTCAAAAAGTTCCAAAGAAAACCAAAAAGACAGAAAGAAGAAAAGGATTTATATGAAACGCTAACCTTTTAAGGAATAATTGATCACTGGTGGAATTGTAAAATGTGCACGACATAAGGGACAGGTATATTCCTGTCCCACATCCTTACACAGCTGATCGATACATAAGGCACAAAATGAATGACCACATTGTAGCTGTTTCGGCTCATCAAATATCTTTAAGATTTATAAAAAAAAAGAAAAAAAGAATATTCGCACATACAAACGAATATATTTTAATTTTATACTTAATCTACTAAGATTTGCTAAATATTTAGTCTAACTATTCTATCCGCATCCTTTGTTTACTGTAACATATGCATAATTTTGATATGGATATACATATACACTGACCGTAAAACAAATCGAACAAATCATTGCTTCTAACAAGAATTCATCACAGTTGTCGTCCTCCTCAGTCATTTTTTTTGACGATGAATATTTACTAAGAAAAAAATCTGCTAATGTCATGAAGAAATCGATAAAAAAGAAGCATCCGAAAAAGAAGAATCTGAAAAAGACAGGCAATAAAACATTCATTACACTGATTCAAATACGAAAATTTGTTACTGAAAAATGAAGACTAGAACAAATAAGTTTCGTGTTCGTTACATAATAAAACATAACGCTATATAAGCGGAAACAGATAAATAAATTGCTAAAATATAAACATCTGAGTTCAGTGACGTGGTATAACGAAGAAAAAATGCTGACAATGTCAATATAATTTTAATGGGCTGCTGACATGCCAGACCTTAGTGACCCTGACCTTCATTTGAAATTATTACTTTTTCATGTAAAGTAAAACTAAACTAATCATTGCTTAACTAAATCAGATTTGAATTCAGTGAATAGATCCTAGCTAACATAACCATAGATAGAACAATATCTGATGTTCTCTTCCGGAAAATATAGCATACTCTACACGTAACTATACAGAAAATATGACGCAACGAATAACCTGAATGCATTATTAATATAAGACTGATATGATACAACATACTGATATCCTTACGAACAATATTCAATACTCTCTAGCTAATCCGTGACGTTAATTATTTCAACAACAAATGTACAAACTTATTATAGTTATAATTCATGTTAATGCTTACGTTTATCAACGAAGAAAAACTTGAAGTAATTAAATTTTCCATCAAAATATATTAAAAATTCACATATTCCAAATATGCTAAGTATTACAAAAAATAACACAATAAATACTATTTACAGGTATACTTATGAACAACAGTCAATTCTTAATATAATACGACTATTACATTTATTAACTGAAGAAAAAGCTAAAGTACTAAATTTCCCAACGAAAGCTATCACAAAAATTCACATATTGATACTAAAATATATTATTCTGTGATCTTAATTACTTTATCAATCAATGTACAAACTTGTCAATTCACGCACCATTCTTTTTTGTTCGCAAAAAAAAAGAACTGAACCATATTTGCATATTCCAAGCATGCCAAATAAAAAAGTAAAAATAGGGATATAGCTATGACTCCTTAATGTAATACTTAAAATCAATCATTAGTGTAGTACTTAATAAAGTGACCTACTAGTGAATTACATTATTGAATTAAATACTGAACCCAAATACTAATACTGAATCAAATATCATTCAGTGTACAAATTTGTCACAGAAACAATTCACATTTCATGGTTTACTTCTATTACAATTTACTCATAGAAAAATGAGCTAAAATTTTAGATTTTCAATCGAAATATACTAAAAATTTGCATATATAAGTAGATTAAAATTTGCATATTCTAAAAACGATATATTATTATTTACAGATATACTTCTGAAATTTAATCCATACTATACCACAACCATTTCATGACCTGAACTATCCTATTTAAATACTATTTAATATACAAATTTGCCATAGGGTCAAATTTAAGTTCACTGTCATTAATGGCCATATGTGACAATTAAATGAGTATCCAAATTCCTATCCAAAAAAAAAGAAAAACATTCCTACAATAATTATCTAAATGAATTACAAAATGAATGTAAGAAATATGTGTTAAATAATTCGCCGAAAGATAATCCCCACATGCACACGTACGCAAGTACCATTAAAGTAATTAAGTAATTCAGGTAGTAACACCTGTCGCTAATAATATCTCTGCCTCCCATATTCTCTTTTTCATTTCTCACGTTGTCTCATTCTCTCCTTTATCATTCACTTTCTCATATCTCTTCTTCACGTAATGTACAGTTCGGAGATTTCCATTGATATTTACCGACAAAGATATGTGTGGGAAGATAAGGTAGTTTTGAGTGACGTCATACGTTATTATTGCGTTACGTGAGAACAAGAGAAACCCACGTGAAACACAGTTGTTTACAGCAGAAGTAATTAAGAACGAAGAGAAAGGAGAATTTATGTTGCTACTAGTGTATGAGTTTTTTTTTTCTTTAAAGCATCAAAGAAATGACCCAGAAAAGGTCAAAGGTGAATGAGGTCAAGGAATAATGTTAGGTAAAAAAAATGAATTGATGGTATCGGAGTAAATAACAATAGAAGGAAAGGGAATGGAATGAAATTTTCGGGAAAAAGAAAAGGATTTCAGATTAACAATTCTTTTTTGTTCTTTAAAGCATCAAAGAAATGATCCGATAAGGTCAAAGGTGAAGAAGTCAAGAAATAATTTTAAGGAAAAAAAAAAATAAATTGATACTATCGAAGCAAATTGTTATTTACTTTTTATATTTTTAGCAATAAGAATGAAATGAAATTTTTAGGAAAAAGAAAAGGATTTCAAATTAACAATCTTTTTCTGTTCTTTAAAGCATCAAAGAAATGACCCGAAAAGGTCAAAGGTGAATGAGGTCAATGAGTGATGTTAAGGGAAAATGAGACTAAATTGATGGTATCGGAGTAAACAACAATAGGAATGAAATGAAATTTTTAGGAAAAAGAAAAAAATTTCAGATAAACAATCAATTAGCATCGATAACAACAAACATAAATTATTTTTTGAAAGAATTTAAAAATTTTTCTCATAAAATACAATTAATTAAAAAGGTTATAAATTTGTCCAAATATAAAAATAATTTTTGTTCTCATTATTAAATTTCGCATATTAACGTATTTTAAGAAAAACATCATTTACTCTTTAATTTTAATTAATTCTAACTTTAGCTTTCAATTTTAACTATAATATTATTCTAGCAAAAAAAAAAAAAAAGCTATTTACAGTTTTGCAACTTTTTTGGGATTATTTATTACTTTTCAACATTTTTATAGTGTCTAATTAATTCAAATAACATTTAAACAACAATTTAAATGATTAATTCAATTTAGACAATTTTATTGATTAGCATATCGTTTTATTAAGTTTTATTAATTAATAAAAGTTTTATTTCATAATCAATTTCCCTAATATATTGGTTTTTTTTTTTTTTTTTTTTACAATCACTTTTTTAATATTTTATTTAAAATATCGAAATAATCCCAGTGTTATTTTCTAGCATCACTTAAATTTATTTTAATTAAATTCGTTTCAATTTATAAAAAAATTTACACTAATTCCTATTCTTATTTGTACAATGAAAGAAAATTTTTTTTTCTTTTTTGCATATTAAATTAAAATATTAATTTGCATAAAATAATTTCTAATATAATTTCTTTACAGTTTTCAATTTATTGTGTTCGCATTATCATTCAGTGAGCGGTGGAGTGAAATTGTAAAATATTTGTGAAATACAATTATGGTAAAATAATTTTTAAATCATTTTTCATCTGATCAATTTTGTAGAGTTTTATTTTTTTTTTCTACCATTTATGTTTATTTAATATATGATTTCATTAATTTATGTTGATTTTTATATTTTTAGCAAATAAATTTAAAAATTTAAACTTTAATGTGGAATTTTTTAATGACAATTATAATTGTAATTAATTAGTTTAGTTTTTTGGTAATTTATTTTATTTTTTCATTTATTTTAGAATGAAACAACAGTAACAACCAAATTGATACCATTGCGAGGAAATTTGCGCTTCATATCAAATAGCGCAAATGATCCGGTTACATTATATGCCCAAAATGTTACAACAAATGGTTTACAAGCACACTCAGCTAAAGTTTCTTTTTTAAAAAAAAAAAAAAAAAAACTTTAAAATTTTTAAAAAGATCCCAAAATTAAAGAAGAAAAAAATTCAAGAAAAAAATGTCGAAATATTTGAAATTTGAAATTTAAAATTTAAAGCCTTCTTATCATTCTATTCATTAATAATTTGCATATTTTCTCAAATTAATATTATTAGCCTGCGGCAGTAATTCAAGAAAAAAACAAATGGACCGGTGGAACAGTAAAATTTCATAAGTAAGTAGAATTATTGAATATACCTGAAATTAAATTATGTAAACAAAATTGAATATATCTGAAATTAAAAAAAAAAACAAAACAAATTTACATAATTTGCCGCAAATGTTAAAGTTACCCAATATAAATTTAAAATGATTTTTTAGAGGTGAAAATCGAGTAGAAACCATTAATACAGCAATAGCTTGTGCTCATTCACTTTATATTCATGAACTTGTAAATAAAACCGGCGTACGATCACCAATCCTGAATTGTACCGGTTAGTTGTGTATAATTATTTTATCATTTATTTATTTATAATATGTGACTAAGAAAAGTAAACAAAAGCAAAATGATTGGAATAATAATTTATCTAGCATTTTCAGTAGTTAATTGAAGGAAAGATGGATGAATTAGTTACAATTTAAAATATAGAAATAATATTCGATCATATAAATAATCCATTCATATAATATTAATTATTGATTAAATTGTTATATAAAATATAAAAAAAAATAAATGAATTAAATCACTAAAGTTGTAATTAAAAATGAAAATTTATTAGACATAAAAGTAAAGTTAAAAAAAATAAGATAAAAAAATCATTTTTTTATTATAGCATTTTTAACGAGTTCAATTATTCAAATGTTTTCAATTTCAACAAAAACACCAAAATTAATACTACTCGCTAAAAAAAAAAGCGTATACTTATATTACGTGTGCTTGTAATGCATACTTATGACGTACGCTTATGACGACGTCTCGTTCACATTACCTTTATCATATCACTCAGATTTACATAAAAAAATTTAAATTGATACAAGTTTTTTTTTTCTTAACTCTAATATATTTGATGTTATATAATATTATTATCATTAATTAGCTTATAATTAAATTATTCCAATTTACATAATTTTAAATTTGATAAAAATCAAAAATAAAAAATTTAGCATTACCATTTCATTGGCATACAATTAAAGCAACAGTTCATTTTATGCGTGCAGGTGTACTTCAATTTGATTCTATTGCAATGCAAGATATGATTCAGGTTGTTAAATTATTATTGCTTTAAAATTAACGGAAAAAAATTAAAATACAATAATTATGCTATTCTTGCTCTTTTTTTTTAAAAAAAATTAGTCTTTTAAATATATTTTAATTATATGTGTTTTAGAATTAAATTAATCTACAATTGTATTTACTTACATTTGCATTAATTTAAATTTAATTAATTTTAAAAATAAATTAAATTGTTATTTCTTTCTTTTTTTTTTTTAAATTTTTTTTAGTGTGCAATATTTTTTCGTATTGCACAACTCAGTCGATTAGTGGAATCATTCTTACGTCAACGATCAAAATATCCGGAATCTGTGTTGGATGCATACAAAACTATTTTTCATGTAATCATTTTTTCCTTTTTTTAAATTTTTTTTTTTTTTAAATAAGAAATTTCTTTACTTATAGCTATTTTATAAGGATTATTGATAAATATTTAATTATAACTGATCATAGATCATGCAAATAATCAATAATTTTAAATTTTATTATTTTATAGGATGATCAAATGATGCGCTGTGTAACTTATCCTACCCAACAAATTGTTGCTGAAAATATGTTAAATAATCTTCCGCCATACATTGATGAAGCAATTAAAAATGAACGAAGTACATTAGCTGTAAGTTTTAAATTATTGAATTCATTTTGATAATTTTTTTACCTTTTCTAATTATTATTATTTAAATTATTTCAAACGCTATTCTCAATTGCTATAACTTATGCAAATTTTTTTTTTTTGTCATAAAGAAAAAATTGACAGTAATATGATCAAAAAATCTTTTTTAAAAAAAAGTTAAAGTTAATTGGAAATAATCGGTGAATAATAAAAGATCAACAAAATAAGCAGTATTCAACAATTTAATTAATAAAATATCAAATGTTAAAAAAAAATAAAATTTTTAATGAATTACTATTAGCATGAATTCTAACTATTTTTAAAATTGTTTTGTTTTAGAAGAAAAAATTGACAAACTTTCAAAAAAAAAAACTTTTTTTTTTTTAAATTTGAAAATTTTTGATGAAAATGAAAATTTAATTTTTTATCTTTTGTAGAATTTTTTTTTTTTTTTTTGTTGTTGTAACTATTAGAGAATTTTAATTGAATATGATGATAATGAAATGATTGAAAATGTTGAATATTGCAAATCTTTTTTTTTTTTTTTAAATTTAGCAATTTTACTTTTTAAAATTTCAAAAAAAAAAATGAAAAGAAATTTTAGCTAATGTCATGTAACGCATTATATTTCTTACTTTCGCGTGATGCGCAACGTACACGTCAAAATCAACGAGAATATGAGGATGCAGCATGTCAACGTTTTCAAGTGATAATGCGTTGGATATACTTTCATCAACAAAATTACGATTATTATAATAGTCTTAAACGTGATCCAAATGCTCAGCCAGTTACGTTTCCTAGAATTGTACAACTTTTCAGTTGTGTACATTTTGAACATATGCGACCTGAAATTCGCCGATATTTTGCCACTTATATACGTGGCGTAAGTTTTCACGTAAATATTTTTCTTCAAATAATATATAGCATAGAATATTTCTTTTTTTTCTTTTCTTTTTTTTTTTTTTTTTTTTTGTCCTTTGTATCTTTTGGATTTTTGAATGAAAATTAAAAATATAATTTTAAAGAAAAGAAAGAAAAAAAAAAAAAGAAAACTGAATTAATTATAGTTATCGAATACAATGTTTGCAAATGCTGCCCGATCCTATCTTCCCGAATTGCAGTGAAAAAATCGATGTGAAAAATTAATATCAAATTTTAATTTATATATGTAACATTGTCTATGGCAAATTAATATTTATTCTTATTATGAACAATTGTAAATTAGATAATAAAGTTTAATATTAGCTAGAATTAAGTATAAATTAGATAATTAAGGTAAGTAATCTGATATACTTGTTATAACTTATTAAAATTGAATGATTTGATTATTTATTTGTAATAGAATAGAGCTCTGTATTATAATTATATTCCATCAGTGTCATTAATATCTGAAAAAAAATTTTTTATGCTTTTGTAAAATTTCAAAAATTAATTAATAGCATTGTCGAAAAAAATGTAGTTTGAAATATGTGTGAAAATTAGCAAATTTATGCTTTATTATCATAAATTTTAAATGTATTATCATTCATCTAATGAAATGAATTATTTCAAATATTTAAATGTTTATTCAATTTCTCTCCTGCACTGCAAATTATATCATTAAAAAAGGTTTTTTTTTTTTTTGAAAAAATGAATCAATTAATTATCAGTTTTATTTTTTCTTTTAAACATCAAATTTTATGTTTATTGAATAAAATACATTTTGATCGTGAAATAATACCATAGTGTTTTAAAATATAAGAAAATTAGATAGAATTTAGATTATTCCCGAATAATTGGAAATGAATGAATCAAACAAATTCTGAAATTTAATTTGGAAAAAAGGCATTTTATTTCAAGAGAGACTAAAAGTGAGAATTAATCAAAGATTTAAAGCACTAATAAGTGCAATATGCAATGAATGATAAAATTATTGATAAGAATGAACTGACACAATCATAGAATAATCCAAATCATTATTTGAATTTTTTTAGTTATCAAGAAAAAATGACAGTGTTTTTTTTTTTTTGAATGAATAATAACAAAAGGCTTTCACAATATAGTATGAAATTTGAAAATCAATATTGCAATTTATCGTTTAATTAATTATTATTTTAATATAAATATTCGTCATATTTGTGGAATTTTTTTTTAAAAAAGACTACTTGTCAATTTTTTTTGATTTTTTTAAAATATTGTTATTGTAACAATTATTAATTAAAATATATTACTAGCAGTAGTACCTGATAATACAATTCTTTAATTGCATTGGATCAATTAATTTCATAGATGCTATGCGAGCGATTTTATGTTTGGTTTGTTAAGTTGAGCACTTTTGTCTGGTCGGAAAGATTTAGTGGTTATAACAGGGGAAGGGGTAGGGGTGGGCGTCGTTTTGCCCGTGGAATTATGAAAACGCGGGAATTATTTTGCCCAAGGAATTACGAGAATGCGGGATTATTTTGCCCAAGGTATTATGAGAATGCGGGATTATTTTGCCTGAGGAATTGTGAAATGTGGGAATCGTTTTGTCCGAGGAATTATCCAAAGACAAGTATAAAAGTATGGGGAATTTAAATAGATTTAGCATTTTATTGATTTTAACTGCGAATTAAAATTAGATGGGTGATATTTGTGATATGTAACATTTGCATACATCGATAATTTGTAGAATATTTCACTTTCACAATGGTTACAACAAGGAATAGAAAACGGACAGAGGAAAGTAACGAAAATAAGGTTTGCCTTTTTTCTATTTGAGTATTGATAGATCAGATATAACTATATTGCTATTCTTTTTTCATTCATTTTCAAATTCGGTTATCATACCTGTTTATTTAATACATGCATTATATGCATTGTTTGTTTTTTACATTTTTTGTTTCTTGTTAGTTACCTTTGTTACTACCTGTTGTTATTGTTTTTCCTTTTTTTTTTAATCACTTTTTGATACTATTTATCACGACGAATTTCAACATTATTGTTGTTAGTTTTCCTGCTAGCCATTCCTCCTACTATTTCTGTAGATGACGAGCAGATTTAAGAGCACTTTCTTGATCTTTCCAAATGTTTGTCAATAATGTTAAAATTAGGAGCAGAACTTGGAATAGCGGAATCTCAAACGACGTAAAACATATTTATGGCAGTTTCGATTGCAGAAATGGTAGGAAAGTAGGAAAATATTTCATTCATATTTTTTAGAAAGAGAGTGGAAAGGAAACCATTTAATTTCTTAATATTAAGTTGTGCTTAGTTTTCAGAGTGAACGCAGTGAAAACCATCGAAATGGTGGACAAAATGTTGAAACTGTAAAAGAAATGATGCCTGTAAGAATTATATATTATCTGCTCTCAATCAAGTTAAGCTTTCATTTGTTTGGGAGGAAAATTTCTTTCTTTAAAATCTGTTCAGGGTGTTTCTACAAGTAATGAGGATGGCGAATTAGTGGAAAATGAGAGTGGAAATGAGAAGAGTGAAATAGCAACTAAAGCAGGTTATTTTTCTACACATTTATTATTCTTTTGTCATTACTGGTTTTATACTTGATTTTGTGATTTATCAAAATTTGAATGATATACTGGTAGAAGAAAACATTTCACACAATGTTAGACATCAATGTGCTAATATTTCCAGATAAATTATCCAGTGAATCTTCAAGAAAAAGTCGACAGGAAGAATCTAGTAGTAATGTTAGGGATAGAAAACGTAAGAGATCACGATCAGCAGATTCTGGCAGTGATATCAGTCGAGATGATTCGAGAACACGGTCGAAACGCAAGCATTCAAGTCATAAAGATGCTAAGTCATCAAAAAAGGCATTTTACATTTCCTATATTGTATTATATACCGCATATCTATTAGGCACTTTAAGTAATTACTTTAAAGCAGGGCTGAAATAAATGTTCTCTTCTCCAGTTTAAATGATTGTTATTTCTAGCACTCTAAAAGTGACAGACGTCGTCGTTCTTCGATGGAAAAGGAAAAAAAAAATGATACCAATGAAGTTCTTGATGGTATGCCTTTATAGTTTCTTAAATTAATATTTTTATTGAATTCAGTCATTTTTTTAAATTAATTTGATATATGCATGTAAATTTTTTACTCTTTTAGGGACATCTTCAAAAGCAGGATTGGTAAGTGAGACGAATGGTACGAATTTAGAACAGAATAACATAGAGAAAATCAAAAAAGAACCAACAGCAAGAGAATTGGAAATTGCTAGGCTGTTGAAAGAAGAAGAGGAACATCCGGAGCTACTTGATACGGATATTGATGCAGTTTGGTCGTTGAAAAAGGCTCAAATTGAAAAACCAAGTCGACAGTGCCCGTATTTGGATACCATTGATAGGTTCACCTTTCGAATTTGTTTGCTTTTTTTTTTTTTTTTTTTGTTACAGTTTTAAGATTTTATAGAAGGAGTTTTTCTTTCATTTATAGCTATTCAGAACTTATATTTTTGCAGATGCGCATTGGATTTTGATTTTGAAAAGCTTTGTTCTGTTTCATTATCACACATTAATGTTTATGCTTGTATGGTTTGCGGAAAATATTTCCAGGTGATTTTTAGAACTGTAAAGAATTTGTTGTCATTATTTGATACTTTCATCAGGCATTGAGAAATTTCATCAGTATCATTGAGAAAATTCTTAATAGCCCATACTTTTTGCAATGTTCAGCTAATTTTTAGGGTCGAGGTACCAGCACTCATGCGTACACTCATTCGTTGGATACCAATCACCGAGTTTTCTTGAATTTAAGCACTTTGAAATTTTACTGTTTGCCAGACAATTATGAAATCATTGATCCATCGTTGGATGATATCAAGGTTATTGATTTAAAAAAACTAATAAGGAAAATTATTATTGCTTTAAGAATTGGTGAAAGATTGTTTAAACTATTTCTAAAAAGGATATAAATTTCTTTAGTATGTGTTGAAACCAACATACACAACAAAATATATCATGGAGATCGATAAGATAGGAAAGATGGCTCGAGCTTTTGATGGAACAACTTATCATCCAGGAGTTGTGGGTCTTAACAATATCAAGGCTAATGATTATGAAAATGTGGTCCTCCATGTGAGTTATCATTTTGAAGTTTTCATGTTGTATTCAACTAATAATCAATGTATATTTAAACTTAATCAGCATATATTTGCATAATAATGAGCGTATATTCTCATATTTCCTAATAATTGATTTTAATAAATACCTTACTCCATTTGCAAACTGAAGATTATTTGCAGCTGCTTTGCACTTAAAGAGAATTAATATTATTAAGGCAAGTAAATGTCCTCATTTTTGATTAGAGAGCTTTTTTAAATATTTATTCACTGATTCGAAAACAGATATTTTGTTACAGCTAATAAGAATTATATTTCAGGCACTTTCACATGTTCCACCACTTCGTGACTACTTCCTGCGTGAAGAAAGTTATATAAATATAAAAAGACCACCTGGTGATAAGTTAACGCTTTTGCCAAAACGTTTTGGTGAATTAATCAGAAAATTATGGAATCCAAAGGCGTTCAAAGCTCACGTCTCACCTCATGAAATGTTACAAGCCAGTGTATTATGCAGTAACAAAAAATTTCAGATCACTAGACAAGGTTTGTTCGCTTAATTAGTTTTGAACATATACACTTTAAGTAGCTGCAGAAAAAAAGAAGATTTTCGAAATAAAAATAGTTAAATCATATCTATTATTCTAAAATTACAGGTGATGCAGCTGAATTCCTGAATTTTTTGTTGAATACTCTTCATATAGCCCTGAATGGTACTCGCAAAACATCCTCATCCATTATCTACAAAATATTTCGAGGTAGACTGCATGAGTTTACACGAAAAGTAATACCGGTGGAAACAACTGAGGAAGCACGAAAAACATTGTTGGAAACTGACGAATATAAAGGTGCTTTTCTTTCGATCTGTTTAATTTTTCATTATTACATTTTCTTAATTTATTTCATTTTCTTGCTAAAATATGAAATTTGTTGCTGAACTGTTATCTTTTAGAGAAAAAACTCGAAATTCCATTTCTTTATCTTACGTTGGATTTGCCAGCTGCACCACTTTATCGTGATGAATTGTTGCAAAATATTATACCACAAGTGCCATTGTCTGTGCTCTTAACTAAATTTAATGGAGTTACTGAAAAGGTTATTACCCTACTTTTTCTTCAAATTTTTTTTTCTTCACATTACTAGCATTAACTATAAGAGCAACTTACTTTTGAATGCGATAAAATTTCTTTGTTGATTATTTCCAGGAATACAAAACATACAGTGAAAATTTCATGAAACGTTTTCAACTGGTCCGTTTACCACCTTATCTAATTATAACCTACAAAAGATTTCATAAGAATCAGTGGTTTGTTGAAAAAAATCCTACAATTGTCAATTTTCCTATAAGGTAATGAATAAAGAATTTTGCTTTATACTCTGACGCAAATATAATAATTAAACTTACAATTCAGTGACTATTTATGAACTCAAACGTTGAGTTTCAGATATTTAGCATCTAATACTTTCTAATAAATTTTGTATTTTTGCTGTTTGTATAATGTTTTAATTGACTCTAAATTATTTCAGCAATGTTGACTTGTATGATTGTTTGGCGGAAGAGATGCGTCCTCTGCATAAATATACAACTTATGATCTCGTTTCAAATATTGTTCATGATGGTCCACCATCAGCTGGCTCATATCGTATTCAAATTCTTCACAATGTTCGTTTCTTTTCATCAAATATATGTTGGATTAATAGGCGAAAAGATTTATTTTTCTTTTATATCTCAATCGAAGAAGAAATATTATTTCCAGGGTACCCAGAAATGGTATGAACTGGAAGATTTGCATGTGAAAGAAATATTGCCGCAGATGATTACACTAGCGGAATCTTATATACAGGTTATCTCATTGTGCTCATTCACTTTTCATTTATAATAAACATTTGACAGAGGCTTATTTTATAATTTTTTGTTTTACATTCATTAGAAAAAAAAAATTTTTTTTTTTCTTACATTGTTAGAAATTTATTGTGAAATTTAGATTTGGCGTTTGAATACTTCGAAAACACGTGAACAACGAGCAGGTGAGACGGAAGGAGGTGAAGAAACTATGAACGAAATGGAACAATAATTTTTTTTTTTTGTTTAAATATGAAGTAAAAAATTAAATATATTCCATTTTCTGAATATAGGGAATGAGTTACATATTCTTTTCTGTCGTTTTTTTCTTTTCTCCTTGATTCTTATTTCATATTTGTTGTTTCTGAAAAAAAAAGAAAACATGAAAGGAATTTCCGAAGGAATTGAACCAATCATAAGCTTAAAATTTCGATATTCATTTTGCATTTTAGTATGGCTTGAGTTTACTCATTAACTAATTTCCTTTCGTTCTGAATTCACGTTCTTTAATTTCCTCATTTTAATATTGTATGAATAAAATGATAGTCTCTAACAAATTGCCACTTTACTATTTCAAAAAAAAAAAAAAAGGATAAACAGTTTATACAGGATCACTGAAAATATGGCACAAATCAGAGTTTCGAAAATCATCACATGCTCTCATCTATTTATGATTAATAAAATGGAAAAATTGTTAACATCATTTTTGCTTAATATTCCAAAATTATCTCACAAATAAAAATTCAATCGGATTAGACTTTAAAATTTGATAAATGTTACCAATGAGCTATTTTTGATTTCATTGTATGCCACCATTTGACATATACCATTTGTTGGATACCACCATATTTACTATGTACATAAACATATGCAAAAATGAAATATGCAAAAAGTACCTAAAATTTATTATTATTTTCAGATTATATTAGATCTTAGCAATTTATATGATTGATTACATAATTTACAATTTTATTATTTATTAATTAAAAAAAAAAAAAAATATTTAACATATTACCTGAACAAATCGTAGAAATGTTAAATGATAGAACCAAAGTGTAATAAGTAATAACCAAAAGCATAGTGTAAACAATTTGACTGTCTTCTGAAGTGAATTATCATCCTGAAATAATTTATTATTTAATAGCTCTTCAAATTTATCTCCTAAATTTTTTAACATTTCTTTATCCATTACTCTTCTAAATTTTCTATTTACTAACCTCCCATATAAATTTATTGTTATCATTTGGAAAATGTATACGTGGCGGTTGCTGTGAATAAAATGAATCTAATTTCTCGTCTTTAGCAATCCATAACCTAAAAATTGTATAATTTTATTTTTTTTTTTTTTCAAAAAGAAAAAAATATTTCAAACATTTCATCAAAATTTTATCTCTTAAATGAATCTAATAATTCTATCTTGTAATTTTTAAGCTTACAGTTATATTTAATTTTAAATCACTTTAATCTCTCGTTTATTTATTTATTTACTTACTTATATTTACTTATTTGATAACATATATCCTATTTAATAAATTTAATAATTTCTAAGCTTACAATTATGTTTAATTTAAATTTTTTTCAATTTAAAATGAAATTAAAAAAAAGACAACGAATTATATAAGTTATACTCATTAATCCATTGAGCAATATCATCATCTCTAGGCGGTAAACATGACAGATCAATGCGTTCAATATGAAATAATACTTTTTGTGGTGTACGACCGGTTAAAATAAGATTAATTTCCGATTGAACAATATTTACCGGATAAGCAATAGTTACATCATAAATACAATCAATATAATTATCTAAAATTTATCAAATAAATAATTTATCATTTATATTAGAAATGAAGAAAAAAAGTTTTTTTTTGTTTTGTTTTTCTTCTACAATTATATTTCATTTGAATTACTTTAATCTCTTATTTATTTGTTTATTTAATTCATTTATTTATCAACACTTGATAACATAATCTTATCTACTGAATCTAATATATTTTAAATAATTTTTACCAAATTTTAATCATCTTATTATTTGTTGTTAATTGAATAATTAATTTGAATAATTTGATAAAAACAAACATTGTTTCATTTCATTGATTAAATGAATAAATCCAGCTGAACGAGGATAGATTAAATTATTTAATTGTTTTAAACCATTCTTTTTTGCATAATTATTACTTTTCATTGTTGTACTGGGCGTTTTATCCGTTCCTTCAGGAAATAATAATATCTAAATAATAATAATAATAATATAAAAGTGAATGATAATTATTTATGATTAAATATTGTTTTAAAATTGATTGAAATAGTGGCAGTTTTTTTTTTTTTTTTTTTTAAAAAAATGGAAAAAATTTTTAAAATAATTGCATAAAATATATGAAAAAAAAAAAAAAAAAATGTTAATTAAGATGAAATAAAATGTATGTAAAATTAAACTAATCTTTTTCAGTTTCCTAAATATATTCAGTTTAATTTTAGCAGTAACCAAATAATTTTCCTTTTTATATTTTGTTTTTTCTTTAGTTTAAAGAATTGTATTTTTATATATGTTAGAAAAAAAATTACATCTAACTGACTAATTTAAATTATACGTAGTCAACTAGAATAAAACGAAATATAATAAAATATCAAAAAAAAAAAAATGTTTGATAAAATAAAATTAGCTAAATTTATAGCGCTGTATCTAAAATGAATATTTCATTTTTATTTTTCTTTTTCTTTCTTAAATTTAATCATTAAACTTTTAAATGTAACTATTTGCTTAGATAACGCAAATAAATTTAAAAAAAAAAAAACTTTTATTTTTGTTCAAATTAATTTATTTACTAATAGAAACTAATGGAACTTTAGCACCAATTATCATTTGCTGATTGTAAGAGATATTTAAAAATGATAATTTTAAAGATAAAACCTGATAATTGCTTCCAACGGATGCATAATAACGGATTGCTTCCGAAATTCGTTCCTTATCCGTTTTTATTTTACGATCCAAAAAAATAAACTGATTTGCTTCCATTCCAAAACCTTTAAATCAAAAAACAATTATTAAATCATTCAATTTTTACTTTTAAATTTCAGTTTAGTTAAAGTATAGTTTACTTCTAATCATACTTAATTTAGTGAAATAATGAAAAATTTGTTTAACTAAAATCTGAAACAATAAAAGAAAAATAAGAAATAATTTTTATATGAAATTTTATAGTAAATAAAAGTAAACCTGCTGCTGGTATATGTCGAAGTTCAGCTTTTAAAGCAATTTTTGAACTAATTAATAGCCATGGATTCATCTTAAATAATGCCGCCCAAAAATACATCCAATCAAGCCGTGTCCGATGATTCATTATGATCAATGCTGGACGATCATAATCAATCGTATCACCGATTACTTTGAATTTCATACCAAATATATATTCCAAAAATGTCTAAAATAAATAATTTTACTTCTATGAAAAATTTTTTTTTTCTTTTTTTGTAAAAGTTTTTTAATTATTAATTATTGAAATTATACAAATTCATATTCTTTCGATTGTAAATTAAATCGAATAAAAAAAAAAAAAGTAAAAAAAAAAAAAGAGGAAAATGAAGAGATAATAATAATCAATATAAATCCGATTATTTTAAATTTGTGATTATTATTATTTTTAAATTCATATTATCAATATTGTTTATTTTTATTTTTAAGCTAATATATTAAATAATCAATTATAGTAATCATAGTATATTTCTTTCGATTCATCTAAACGATAAAATTGACTAATAATTACTTTATTTCATCAATTCAATTATTTATCAGCAAAAATTATTTTTTTAAAATCATTTATTATTATTGAATGTAAAAAAAAAAAAAAAAAAAAGAATTATTTTTTTTTGCGTTCCATTGCAAATATATTTTAATAATATTTTTCTTTGGGAAAATTTTGACAATGATTGGATAAAATTAGTATGTGTTTTTAAAGAGATTTAAAAAAAAAAAAATATATAAAAAAAAATTTAAAAAAAAAAAAAAAGAAAAAAAAGGCGAAAAAAATAATTTCAAAGAAATAAAAAAATAAAAGAAAAAGAAACTTACAACAGGTATAATAATCCAAAAACTAATTGCACGATCAATTAATAAGCGCCATTGTTGATGATTGAGTAAAAGCATTGGTAAAATTAGCATAATTACTGAATCACCAAAGAATGATGTTAATAAAAGAGTTATACCAAAGAAAATACCCAGTAATGGACGAATAATTTGTTGTAAAAGTTTCATTTTTAATTGTAATTTTAATTTATCACTTTTATGTGATTCATAACATTTACCATCGATTAAAATTTAATAATGCACTTTGTTTGTTTATTTTTGTATTTTCTTCTTTTTTTTTGCGCCAAAATTTACTGAAATTGTTGTTAATCGAAATAATAGCACCTGAAAAAGGAAGAAAAGAAAATGATAAAATTAATTTATCAATTTTTACACAGAACATATTTAAATATAAGTTAAATATAAATTATTGCAGTCGAAGTTATAAGTTAGTTTAATAAAAATAAGTTAGTATAATGAAATTTAATATTCATTTATTAATTTAAAGAAAGTTTTTCTTTCTAATTAATTTATTTTGCTATTTCACTCCTAATAAGTTTCATCATTTTATCCACCTTTTTTTTTTTTTTTTCTTTTGTATTTGTGGAATTATTTTGGATATTTTATTCCAAACAATTTTATTCTAGAATAAGCAAAAAAAAAAAAGTTAGTGTTATTTAAATAATTCATAATTTAATAGCATAAGCCAATTGTCCGACTGATTTTATTCAATTCATTTTTATTTTTTTTTCCTCAAAATCTTTTGCCAAAACTAATCATTCAATTTGTTCAGCTACAACAATAATTCATATATTACCAATTATTTTTTTTTTTTTGTGTTATAAATAATAATAATATTACGAATAATAATAATAATAATATTAGTAATAATAAATTAATTGCTTTATCACCAAAACAGTCAGTTAAATATTTATCAATTCTCTCATTTTGCTGCTTAATGAAAATACTAATTCTAATATCGTTGATAATTTACTGCAATTTTTTTTTTTTTTTTTTATTATTATTTTAATAATATATATATATAATATCTATTAATATAATAATATAATATAATATAATTTAATATCTAAGCCTAAATCTATAAATTCATAGTAAATTTTTAATAAAAATATTACAATTATTTGGATGCTGTTGTAGTTATGACTAATCATTCTTTTTTGCATTAAACAAAATAAAAAATTTATTAATTAAATTAAAGAAGAAAAGTGATTAAATATAAATATATAAATTCTATGATTTAATATAATCATCAGAATGACATAGTAAAATTGTCAAATGGATGATCGGTGTGTCGCGATGGAACGCTTGTATATTTCGCTTGTGGGACATTTATTTAGTCACAGATTGTTAAATGACCTCATTTTAATCTCATAATTTAATTCTCTTCATCAATCAATTTTTTTTCCTATCTTCACATACACATACACATACACACATACACACACATATATATATATACAACATACATAGACACATACATACATAAATAAATAATCATTTCACTGTTAATTCAATTTTCTTGTTATTTTCAAGTTTAAATTAATGAATTTGAAATGTCAGTAATTATCATTATCTTTTCACTTTTTATTTCCATTTTTTTAATATGAAACAGAAGAGCAAATTGAATGATTAATTAAATTAAACAAATTAATAAAATATGATTGTAGCAAATAAAAAAAAAAAAAAGAAAAAAAAAGAAGGAAAGAAAGAGTTAAAGAAGAGAGATAAGATTGATTTAAAATGATCAAATTTATAAAATTTTTGAAATTATTTAAATGAACATGAAATACTTGAGCTAACAATTTAAATTATTCATATTATTTATTCAATAATTTTAAACATATATGTATGTATACATTAAAAAGAAAACAAAAAGAGAAGAATTTGCATAAATTTACTAATTTATAAGCATTTCATTTAAATTGTCGGAGGCAGTCGGTATGCATCGAAACATTTATGCTCTATTATTTAGTTTTAATTTGGTATTAATGGTACAACTAAAAAATAATAATACCTTCTCTACCATTAAGGTGTGCTCAATTTCATAGAATAGTTTAAATAATTGTTAAATTAATTTAAAAAAAAAAAAAGCTCCAAAAAAAAAAGTTTAAGAAGTAATGAGAAAAAAAAAAAGAACTTTTATATAATTACAAGTTTACTATATGTATCAAATTTTTATCATAGAAATGTATACATACATTGATTAATTGATCAATGATTTATTTAATTAATTAATTAATTAATCAAATTAAAAGCATTAATAAATTTTTTAGGAGACAATTTTTTACACTGTAAAAGAAGATTATGTTGAAATATCAACTTTTCATAAAGTAATTCGAATTGTCTATATTGTAGCACTTACATTAATTGGTATTATTGCTACCGTAATGTTCAATTGGAATATAATTAATTATCAGGTTGAAAAAAAAAAAAAGAAAATTAATCAGTACTCCTCTTTTTTCTTTCTTTCTTTCTCCCTCTATCTCATCCTCTTTCCTTCTCTTCTTATCACTGAAATAAATATAATCGAAATTAATTGTAATAGATAATTATAATTACAATTGACAGGAATAGATATAACTTTTATCTTATTAATTTCTTGTTTAATTAATTAATTCATTAATTTTAAAAAATCTTGAAATTTACTCAAGTATAATTATAAATATGAAATTGTAGAAAATAATTACATTAGTTAGTCAATTAGTCAAACATATAATGAAACAGTGATAGAAATATTTTCAACAATAATAAATCAAATAATATTATTCATTTTTTTTTTTTTTTTTTTTAAGAAATTATTATAAATAAATTATTTTTTACTATTTAGATTATTAATTTTAAATAATTCTTTATTAAATTATTAGCTTTGTCACTTTTTTTAGACTCATTTCTCTTCTCTCCCTTTTCATAAAGTTTTCATTAATATATTTTCTCTTTCCTAAATCTCGGATTTTTTATAGTAATAAATCATCGAAGATAATAACAAACTATAATCATTCAATATCAACAATATAATTCATATTATAATCGAATATAATCAAAAAATATAATTCGATATAATAATATTCAAAAATGAGAGAAGAAAAAGTTTTTAAATACTAAAATCATATTTCAAATCAATTGATAGTTGATTAAACAATAAATAGAATAATACATTAAAAGATATTAAATTAATTCATAAAAAAAATAGTGAAATAATGATAAATTTGCTTAGTTTTTATTAATACATTTTCTCTTCTCTAAATCTCTCGCCCTCTCTCTCTCTCCCTCTCTCTTTATAAAAATCTAAATCAATATTTTTCCATTAGATATTCCGGATGGAAATTTCCAGTTATATTTTTAATACTTTATCCTCATTTCCACTTATTAATTTTAATCAAATAAAGTTTATTGATTTGAGTTGAAGCTATTTGCTTAAGATAGTGTGACATTATTTATTACTGTCACATAACAATGTAGTAATCAGTGAAATGTAATTCTTGAGAAAAAAAAAAAACGAAGAAAATAAAGATTATCACAGATCAATGTTAACGTATAATGGTGACAGTGATAAATAAGTTAATCTAAAATGGTGACACACAAATTTTATTGTCTCTACAATTCTAAAATATAATCAAGTTTTTGCAGCATTCTCAAAAACAATTTTATCCAAAAATTCATTCACCTGAATCAATCAATCAATCAAGTCCTATCAGTCATACGGATGAACAAACGGATGAAAATGATAAGCAAAAAAAGAAATCAACTAGCACTTCTATCAAATCAATGTTGGAATTGAATGATACAGGATTGGAGCCAGTAAGGTTTGTAGGAAATTTTCAAAAATATCATCAATCAATTTAAACTTCATCACAAACTTAAATAAAATCTCAAATAACTAATGATAATATAATGCAATAATATGATTTAGAAATTAAGTGATTTCCCAACAATAATAACATCCAAATCTCGAAGTAGTGCTGGACAAGATGATGATAATTATAATTCGGAGGTATTTTAACTCTTATCATTAGCATTTATGCTAATATTGAATGTAAAATTATTTCCTTATAAGGATTTTATAAAGATTATAAGGAAATAAAAACAGAAGAAAAAAAAAGTATCATTAATCCTCAAAAGAAAATAATTGAAAATTTTGAAGAGGAAAAAATAAAAAAAAAATCAATTTAAGAAGTAATTTTTTTTAAAGCAAAAAAATTTTATATAATTTTTTGTTTTCTAATTCATATAAATTAATTTCCTGCATTTATTTATCCATTATTTACTTTACAAAAATCAATAATGGCATATCTTATCAAACATCCTGATAATAATTCAATTACCTTAAATTCATAGATAACATTAGCGCAGAAACATATCGGATGGGACGAGATCGAAATGATGCGTCATGGCTTAATTAATTGGTTAGCTATTTATTGCGAATGCTAAATGTGCTAATGTTTTGAATTCTTAAAAAGATGACCAACATATCAAAGGCAAATTTAAAAATAATTGAAGAGAAATGAACAGAAAAAAGAGAAAAACTTTTTTCTAGTGATTGTGAACGAGTAATACAGCCAAAAAGTCCCGATCTACCAGTGAAAATCAATATTGGCAATACAAGTAGCAGTAAAATGACCATCTCAAAACAAACAGATCATAATTCTGCCACAACTGAATCAACCCGAAACATCTATTCCGACTATTATGAAGACTTTCATAAGACAATTTAAATGAATTTTAATTGGATCTGTTTTTCCTTTCTTTCTTTCTTTCTTTTTTTTTTTTTTTTTTTTTTTTTTTACAAATTTATGAATATAATTTCGGCTGTTGTAGAATCTTGCAAAAGTAAAAATGATTAAATGCAAAAAAGAAAAGCATATATATATATATATTATACGACTTTCTGAATAACATTGTATATGCAACAAATTTATTTAAAATCACAAACATAAATGAAACATAAATCTAAATTTGTTACGAACTTTAAGCATTTCCTGAGTGAACTTCCAATAGATGTACACATGATTATGCTTACTACATTTTCTAAATTATGCGTAGATATATGTGCACAATAAATTTATATTAAAAAAAAAGAGAAAAAAACAGCTCAAATTTAACGTCAACTAGGTTGATAACGATTGAAAGACCAAATATTACCGTCATCTCAATCTTTTCAATAAATAATGATGAATAATAATCACCAATTTTCCTGATGTAAACTGAAAAAAAAAAAACCCTCTTAAATTGAGTTTCTTATATGAACCGTTCACACTGTCAAAAAAATTCGAAAAGGAAACGAAATGGAAGAAATATACTCATTTGATCTAGTTAATCTCTCTGATAATCCTGCACTCTAAAACTTACAATTTAAACCGCCAAAAAATTCGAGAAAAGGGAGAAAAATACTCATCTGATTTAATCAATCTTTCCGATAATCTTCATTCTAATGATTTTTGTTAACAAAAGCTTTTAAGTGAATTCTGTGTAACCAATGATACAACTGATTATGCATGTGATAAGAGTTTCCCGAAAAAGATCCATACAAACAACTGTCAGTTTTAACCACTCAAATCATCACCTCAATGCTAGTAATTAACCTTTATATTTTAAAATACATTTCAAATAAAAAATTTGAATTCCAAACAATGCAACAAATTGGAATTAGAAGAAAAGTGGTAACAAAACAAGATAAGCCATTAAGCCTTGTAAATAATATCATAATGACCCGGGCGATAAAGAAAAAAATGCCTTGGTAGCTTCTTATCGACAATAAAATCATAAAACCAGCCATGATGTAGTGCTGCTGTTCGATCCATATATTCAATACGAATTGATACACCTGTAATTCTCGTATTTACAGTTTCATTGAGTCTATTGTCGTCTGCATTTTTCTATTTGTCACATTTTAATCTATCATAGGGTGAAAATCTCCAGATTGATTGCCTTAACTTTAGCATAAACAAAAATAATAGTTGATTCACTGTAAGAAATGCTAATAAGTAAATAGTAAATACCTATAGCATTTGTTAAAGCAATAATTGCTAAATGATCGCAATCTTTGAACATTGGTTCTATTTCGCATTGACAAAATTGCTCGATTGTACGGCCACCATCAATGAAACCCTCATAATCAGCAGCATTTTCTCGCAAATAACCGGATGTGATTAACCTAAAGCAAAGAAGAAAACAATTTTTTTCATGTAAATTTTATTTAAACGTCTCATGCTAATATCAGTGGATTAATATGAAAACAAAAAAACTGCGTGAGGAAAATTGCAAGATTTTTTCCGGGGAAAGACGGAATTCAGTATATGACCACAATCACTCGTAAGATATTGCAGACTTTCAATTCAACTGAAAAAAAAAAAAAAAAAAAAGAAAAACGAAATAGAAACCTAAAGAAAGTTACGTAGTAATTTGAGCGGCCTTCTTCATTCAGAGCTTCAATAAGCAAATTTTCATTATATTGCCCCGCTGCAATACCATCCAACAACTCATCGAACTGAATACGCTATTACATTAAAAAACTGTTCGACAAATCTTTCTTTTGTTCAAATTCACATTCTTTTGTTTAAATAAAAAAAAGCTCAAAAAATATAAGCATGAATTCATTTAAAAAAAAAAAAAAAAAAAACACTAAAAAGATTTTTTTAAAACTATCTAAGGATGTACAATTTCCTTCTGACATAAATAAACATCCATTTTTCGGATATTAATTGATTTAACTGACCATTGACAACACCAACTATCTCTACAAATGTCTAAAAAATACACCCAATCACAAAAGTCGTTCGTAGTGAATTCTGGAAATCCAAGCTTTATTAAACGTTGCCGCCATTCTTTGCATACTTTCGTAAACCTTCAATGATTAGAATTTTAATATAATTAACAAATGTGAAATAAATTAATTCTCAATAGGTTAAAAAAAAAAACCTGGCTAATTCTTCCGCATCCTTTAAAATATATTCAAGCTGAGCACAAAGAAGAGCTCGATAGAAACAGCAACCATCACCACGAATACGACGTAAAAAACTATATACTTTTGCCAATTCCTAAAAAAAAAATTACCTAACTAGTTTTCTAAATCATTGGGAAAACATTATCAAAAGATAAATCACATATGCCCAAAATGTAATTCATAAAATAACTTTGTCAATGCTCACCAAACTATTGTCTGATTACCTCTGATTTCTGATAATATTCAGCACTTCTATCGCGATCATATTCATTTAATAAAACGCTAATTGCTTCCTTCTGAGCGACCAACGGTTGCTCTTTCCTTATCTAAATTATTATTTTCCTTTATCTCCCGAATAAAAAAAAAAAAAAAAAAAAAAAAAAAAAAAAAAAAAAAAAAAAAAAAAAAAAAAAAAAAAAAAAAAAAAAAAAAAAACGAAAAAACAAAAATCCATCATTTTTTTGTAAATCAAATAATTCAAAAACAATACATTTCCCAATCAATTTCAATTACTTCTATATATATAGTCATTTAATTATATGTTGGCTTAATAATAATTTTCACAAAATCAAGTTTATCATACTTCATCTTCAATTTCTTTTTTCTGTTTATTGATCTGTTCGATTAGTGTTGCACCATTTTTTGTCAGCTGTTGACCTGCTTGCTGATCCGTTGAATATAATTGATCATTTTCATTATCTTTAGAAATTTCTTTTGCTTCTGCAGATTTTGACATATCTAAAACAAAAAATGAAAAATATCATAATAATTAATAATACAACTAAAAAATTATGATAAAGTATTGTTGTAAAAAAAGAAAAACATCGGTAAGTCATAACTAATCAATTAAATAAATCAATTATTTCATCTAATGATCATAAAGAAACAAAAAATAAACAAAAGAAATTAACAAATACTGCTAATTACATAAAACAGATCACTACATTCAACACTTAAGCATATAATAAAATACGGAATGTGTAGCATAACTTTCCGGAAAACCTGAAATTAAAAGCTACAACGTACCTTCAGCTGCTAATCACAATAACTAATGAAACGGATCAAAGAACAAGTAAACTTCTTCCACACTTCCACGCTTCTCTTTCATTACCCATTTTGCAAATTTTTGGATCATTACGGATTTTTAACCTGATCCGGTGAGAATTTAAGGTTTCACTATCAATTGCCGGAGATTATACATAATATTTAGGTTTTTATGTAATTACGGGAAAATCTTGTATAATTACGAAAAATATTTCGTAATTTTATTAATGAATTGATGTATAAATATATCATATATCCAAACAAAAATGCACCAAAATTTACATAATTTTTAACAAAATCATTTTCAACAAATAATAAATATTTTTTGTTAGTATCATTACGTCATTTACGAACACGTATTCTCGTAATCATAATTTTTTGCTATTTGACTCACAACTTAATTAAATAAATAATTAATAACTTGAAAGAAAATTTATAATTATTACTATTATAAATATGGTACAGTTAGAGTATGAAATTAATTTCTTATTATTACTTTATATTTTATTACTCTAAAATACATTTTATTATTACAAATTGAAATTCTATCAAATTAATAGGCCAAATATGTGAACTTTATTTAAATAAAGATGGATGAAATTTTTGAAAAATTTTATAAAGAACAAAAATAATTTAAAATAAAATAAATTTAGCTTGAAATAAATTTTAATTTCAAATAAATTCACTCTTTGCTAACATTGTCAATTTTACAATTCTTGCAGCTATGATCGAGTGCTAATAAAATTAGTTTTACTCGAAATTTGTTCAAGATATACAATTTACTTGTATTTTTGATGTTAATTTTGCATACCTTTCGAGACATTTCACAAAACAGTTCGTATCATATCATATCATATCATATCATATCATATCATATCATATCATTTTCTTATCATTCCATACAGTTTGATCACTTTTTTCCCGATTTATCTCGAAGTTTTCTGCGCTTTTTTTTTGTTTTTTTAGAAAAGATAATCATTTCATTAAACAGATGTAAATCAAATTTGCCTGAACATTGTGCATTCCAATAATTGTTTGAAATTTCTCACACATATAAAATTCAATTTTGTATACTTTTAATAAAAATGATGCTATTTTCAATTCTATCATTGTGTTATTGATTATTGCATTAGTAAAATTCCAGTTAATAAGCCTAGCAATACAGAAATATGTGTTATAATGGGCCTTAAAGTGATCAGAAACAATTAAGTAAGTCATAAACTTTTTAATATACTTTAATTACTAACATCAATAATGTCATATTTTGCGGTTTGTTTACAAAATTTCTTTAAAAAATTTCTTTTCATCTTGCTTTCAGTATTATTCAATAATTATTATTTCTGTCTAAGTGAACAAAAAATTGGAAAAAATAAATGTTAAAATTGTAAATTATTTCAAAGTATACATTAACTCTGAATATAATATAGGCAAAAAGTAATTTACAAAAATATCAAATCAAATGATATCTTCAAAATCAAATATCAAATCAAATAATATCTTTTCTATAAAAAACATATTTTATCTATAATTTCATTTCATTGATTTATTTTTATATATTAATTTTCTGATATAATTTGTTTGATTTTTTAAATTTATGATTTAAAAGTAAATTCAGCTAACGAATTGACGTAAACATTAATAAAAATTCTATGCGATAACATCTGCTTGGCTTTTAAACAGCAAATTTGACATCTGTTATGAGAACTTATCATTGCTAATTACAGATTACCTTATTTGTTCATTTTTTTTAAAAAAAAAAAAAAAAAACATATTCAAATATTATGATTAAAACATTCAATTATTATAATTAACATCACAAATTAATGCAAATAAAAGATTCATTTGTAATAAGTAATTGAAAAATAAAGTTGTAAAAAAAAAATTCAAAATTAAATTACTCAATGTAGGGAATTATTTATAATTTTATAATTATTAATTAATATTAAAGATCAAACAATGAAAAAAAAAAAGAAAACAAATTGCAACAGATTCAGATTTAAATCATTTTCAAAACAACAAAAGAATTATTATTGTCTTGGCTAATTTAATATTATCAAAAAACACAGTTCACTTTTCTTGGCCATCATTTGCAATTTAATTCTTTGATAAATCATTTTAAAATTTTGCATATAAAATGGGTGAAAAAAATTGTCCGAATTTTAGAAAATTTTATAATCTTATTTTTATTGATTTAATGCTTATTGTGGATTTAAAAAAAAATAATAATAATAAAATCTTACTTATACTTAATATATTTTATTTTATATATGAAATATTTATTATTATACATAATCATTTCCAATTTAAATAGACTTTTAAAATTTGATACCTTCTACATTTTTTATATTTTTGTAACCGTACGTACGTTAAGTAAAGCAACGTTTCAACTGGGATTATCAGATTTCAAATTAATTTTTTTTTTTTTTTTTTGAAATGATTTTATTACAGTCTAATTTAATATGTCAATAATCTATTTTAGAAAGATAACTAATAATAATAAGCAAAATGATTATTTAATATAATGTGAAATATTTAATGAGATAATATTCAAATTGAAAATAATCAAAATAGCTGAATGGTTGGAATACTGAAATATTCTTTTACAAAATTATCTTAAAAAAATTTGTTATCTATTAAAAAATATTCAATTGTAATTTCTTTTCTTCTCATTTTAATATATGCTATCAAAATTAAAAATGTATCATTCATTCTTACCTTTACACAGAATTGAATTAATAATTAGAAATTTTTACACGAATAAGAATTTGTATTAGTAATTTTGAATTCAAATACCATTCAGTGTTTGACATTAATTGAAAATAATTATGTCAACTATACTGTCAATTGGTATGTCGAATATTTCAATTTTAAAATGTTTAATTCAATGATTTTGTTATTTAGTAATTGCTGAAATTATTATTCATTAAGTCCATCAGCAAAAAAAATTTTCATTATATTTTCATTTCATTCAAAAAATTTGTTCAAAATTAGCAAAATTATGCTATAAAAATTTTCAGATTTCTTCAAATGATATTTCTTCGAAAAGTGATTAAATTTTGAAATTATTAAATATCATTTTTTAGCTTTTTTTTTTTTTTTGATCTCTTAAAACATATCAAATCAATGGTTCGAGAAACAAAGAAACATTTTTTTATATTTTATTTATTTCTTATTTTTTTTTTTTTAATTTTAGTTTATTTATTTAATTACTAAACTAGTTAAAGTATTATTTTTTGTTATATTTCTTGCATGAATTTTTGCAATAAATAATATTTCGAATGTGCGAAAATGTCACATAATGCAAATTTAATAACTTAATTACAATGACACTATGGTAGATTACCTGATTGTATGATATTAATTACCTAATTACAGATATATCATTTATTATCATATCAATCGTAAATTATTGATTGATAAATTATTAGCAATTGTCACATTAAATACACAAAATTAATTGATAACTTGATAACAAATCAGTTAAAAACTGTACTATGAGGTACATAAAGCTAATTTGAATAAAAAATTACTAAAAATTAAAAGTATAAAAGAAATTAGTTTAATGTTAGAAAATAAGTATTTGAAATTTGAACAGAAATTACTTTAACAACAAAGGAAGCTGTCCACTTGTATGAATTTTCATTGTAATATTGCTGAATAAGCTTTTCGATATAACTTGAAATGATAATTAGATATTCACCTAATTAAATGTTAATTTATAACGAAGTATTATTTTCTACTATTCTTATTACCTGGATTATTAAACTTAATTAAGAAAAGTATGCTTACGTTTAGATAATGCTTCTCTAACTTTTGATAATATTATTGGATTAATTCTTCAAAGCAATCTAGCAAGAATAGTAATTGATTGAAATAAAGTAATGAATTAATTATAATCTCAAATTACTTTGTTGAATTTAATGAGATCAGTCTCATTTGATCAGTCACCGATCAAATCGATATGATAGTATTCCTATGAGAGTGGTAATTTAAAAAAGTAAATAAATTCTAATAGTAAACAAGCCTAGTATAGCAATAAATTTATATTTGTGGCGCAAACGGTTAACCTTACTTATGCGCTTTCAAGGCGAAATTTCTCAAAAATAATTATAATAATAAAAAAAAAAAAAAAAACAAAAGAGCGAAAAATTTTATTATTATTGTTATTGTTATTATTTTTGTTATTGCTGTTATTATTGTTATTATTATTATCACTAAAATTATTTAATTATTGCTAAAAATTATAAATTATCTATTAATATTTTGCATATTTTGCATTTTGCAATATTTTCCTTTCTTCAACTATCTTTCCTCTATCACGTAATGACGCATCACACGTTATTTGCGTGTTACAATCATAAACTTTCTATGAAAACTTTTAACAGAAATATAGCTTATTTTAAAAAATTACAGAGAATGTAATCAAGGATGGTAGCAGAATTATATAATTTCACAAATAATTTATAATATTTTTTTTTACTATCACATGCCTCACTCTCTCTCTCTCTCTTTTATTATTGTAAAAATTTAAAAAAGTAATTAAACTACTTCTAAATCAACAAGTAAATAAATATAAATAATACTACTATAGAAATAATATTTGTACTTCTCACTGATACATTTCGATTAAAATTTATTGTTTATTCATAATTTTCAATTTATTTTGTTCTATGATTTAATAACAAATTTAATTGATAATTAATTATAAGAAAATATGTTTTTAAAAATTAATAAATATGAGATAATTATGTTAATTTAATATTAACTTATAAATAGTAAACAAATTGATTTGAACTTAGAAAAAATTATTTTGGCAAAACATTGAGTGAGTGAAAAAAAAAAAAAAAAGGAATAAATGTAAGTATTTACTTTCTTTTCTCTGTTTAAAACGAAAGTATTTACCTTTTTTTTTTTTCGGTTCAAATAAAAATATTTGCTTTTTTTGAAATATTTTCAGTGATTGAAAATAAACAAAGTAATAAAATGAAATAGAAGAAATTAACAATTATTTGATTTCTTTTTTTTTCTTTTTTTTTTTTTGAATACTAAAATTTAAATTAATTTTTAAAAATGTATTTTTTTATAATTAATTATATATATACTGGATGGTTTATCTATTCGAATTAGCGTTCATTACAAAACAAAATAAACAACTGTAATAATAATAATTTTCATTTAATTTTATGTTTTTTTTAAAAGAAATTTATCGATGCAAATAAGCAAAGAAGTATGCAAATAAGATTGCACCGTAATGTTTTTTAATTATTCATTTTTTTTCTTCAAGCAAAATATTTACTTTTTTCAGTTTTTCTCCATCAAACCTCTGATTATAATTGATATTTGATCATGGGACAAATTAAGACGAAAGAATATAAACTAATTTTAGCTTTTATTGATAATTTAATCATACCGTAATTTAGCATTAATGATTTTTAGCCTTTACTGATAATTTAATCATACCGTAATTTAGCATTAATGATTTTTAGCCTTTACTGATAATTTAATCATACCGTAATTTAGCATTAATGATTTTTAGCTTTTATTGATAATTTAATCACACCGTAATTTAGCATTAATGATTTTTAGCTTTTATTGATAATTTAATCACACCGTAATTTAGCATTAATGATTTTTAGCTTTTATTGATAATTTAATCACACCGTAATTTAGCATTAATGATTAAATCTGCAATATAAATGCTGTATTGAAAAAAATTAAATGAAAAATCATTTTAGAATTTTGATAAACTGCAATGCTACTTTTAAATATTTTTTTTTTTTTTTATTTGAAAATTTTAGTAACTAAATGGGAAAAGAGAGCCTAATTCATTTCAATAACATATTTAATAATAATAATAATAATTTTTTATTGCTCCTTAATTAGCTTTGAGATTTAGAAGTTTAATTTAATTTTGAATGAAAATTTTGTTTACCTATGTCTTTTGGATGTTTTATTTATTCTAATTTAGAGTTGAATTATCACTGATTTTCTGATCACTGATTGCAAGTTTTATTGGTACTTAAAAAAAATTATATTATAACATTTGAAATTAATTTAATTTACAGAAGAATCAAGGACAATTCACGTGAATTCAATCATTTGCTTCCACGTAATATACAAAGATGATTATAAAATGCGCAAATTATACTAATATGACAAATGTCACAAGCAACATACAGTAATTTTGATAACCGATGAAAAGTCATAGATTGATAAAAATTAAAAATGTAGCAAAATCAATCAATTTTTTAAATTCAAATATACAATTGTGATATCACAAATTAAATACTAATTTTCCTCATTAAACTATAAGTAATATTTCGAAGTGTGACATTTGCGCTCTATGGTACAAATATTAACAAAATATTAACAACATGTATACTTCATGCTAAAATTTTAAATAAAATTTGATTAACAATTTTGTTTGTAGTTTTAATTATAATACAAAAATTAGACATTGTCATACACTTTAATTATTTTTTTATAATTTTTTTAACAAAATTATAAAATTTTGTTAAAGAAAATATATGTTTCCATTCTTAAACATTTAACATTTCCGAAAAATAATTCATGAACAGAGAGAGAGGGAAAGGGAGGGAGAGAGAGAGAGAATTCAGGTATGTTACCTTACTATTACAATAGTGTTATAAGGAATTATTAAAGCAAGATATAATCAACTACGAAGGATAAATATTTTCCTGAAATATATTTAATTATTAATTAGTAATTATTTATTAATTAGGATCAATTAGGCATAAGATTAGCAGAAGCTATTGCTCGACCAATTTCATTTTCACATAGTACCGTGTAGGTACCATAATGACATTTTCGTATGACAGGTATTGTTAAACGGCATAAATCAGCCGTATCATCGATTTGAACATCATCAAATTTCAATTTTTCATTATTAAATAACCAACATACCTTAAATATATGCTAATTTTTGATCATATTAAATAATTCAACCAATAATTTAAGCTAATTTTGATAACAATTATACAATAAATTATGCAATTAATTAATTAATTAATTAAGTTCTTTTTAGCAATATTGCATGTTTTCGTCTATTTTATTGCGTTTTAAAATTTGTTTTATTTATTTTTTTTTTGTGTGTATTTTGTTTTCATATATTTTAATTCTTTGTTGTGTTTTTTTAAAAAATAAAAAAGTCATTTAATCAAAGAATTACAGAGATATTTTATCAATTAAATATGCATTAAATTACCAATTTCAGGTTTAGATCAGGTTTAATCCGCTAATGTCTTATAATCTTACTATTATATCTATTATTAATTGCATAAATTTAATTATATCTATTATGAATACAACCACTAATAATCATTTCCATTTCAGTTTTTATAGTTATTCCTTAAATTCATCCATCATAATGTATTTAAGCAATAGCTATAAAAATTATGTATTATTAATGCATGCATGTTTGCATTTTATTCATTTTGCAAGACATGCATGCAATTATTTATTTTGTTTTAGCATACTGCATTTACTATTAAGATTTAAAAAAAAGAAAAATAAAAACAAACTCGCGGACGTGGTGAGCCAAGTAAAATGCAATCAAAACATGCACACTGTCCAATTTGCGCTCGAACATCGCCAAATACTTTAAGAAATTCTGGTGCACAACTCCATGGATTTTTTGCATATTTACTATGTGGTATTTCATATGCCAATTGATCAACTTGCTGCATGCATGCATGCATTTCAATCATCAATTAAATAAATTACTTAATTTAGCATAAATAAAAATACAAAATAGTTTAATTAACTAATTAATTAATAATTTGTTTTGAAAACTATCCTGATAATAATTTTTATATGCATAATAAATTGCTTATTCACATATCACAAATTTTAATTCCTAAAAAAAAAAAAAAAAAAAATAAACAAAGAGATTTGTCAAGTTTATTAAAAAAGAAAAAAAAAAAAGCAAAAGAGTTAATTACTTACTTTAATTAATGAATTAATTATTACTTACTTTAGTTAATGAACTATGTTCTGTGATAGAACGATAAGAATTTGTAGAATTGTCATCAATAAATGGCATACGATGATCCATTATCTATTAATTAATATATTTTCAATAAATAATTTTCAAACAAATAACCTTCCCAAATATTTTTCTGCTCAATATCGTTTGATGTAATCAATATGAAATGATAAAAAATTTAGTGTTCAGAATTTATAATTATCAAATACAAATAAACTAATATTACGCATAACAATAATTACTTACATTAATTAATTAACTTATTATCTATAATTAATTTTTAAGTGATACATACAGTTAGCAGATTAAATCTATTTTATTTTTTAATTATAATAGGAAAATTTTTGCCTAATTCACATATAAATTGTATCAAAATAATAAATTATTAATAAAAATCATAAAAGATGCTAAATATAATCAAAAATCATTATTAATTAGTAAATGCTAAATGTAATCAAATCAGGAAGACATATTAAAAATGATTGTTTTTTTTTATAAATGAATTGTAATTGCAAAATAAATAAAGAGAGGAATTTCTTCTTCAATGCTAGAAACTTGAATTGGATTATTATATTTGTCAACTTCTTAAATTACAAATGCAAATCTATTTTTAATTCATATCAATAAAAAAAAAAAAAGAGAAAACTATTTGTAATTCCATCTCTGCTATTGATAGCTAAAATTTTTGATATGTGAGAAAAACAAAAAAGCTCAAAAGTTTAAATAGCTAATACTATTTTTAAAATGTTCTATTAGATTTAACTTGACTAATTAAAAAAGAAAAATTTATGATGAACATCTCAAGAAATAAATATATCAATTTTTACAGAAATTAAAAATGAACAGAGGAAGAAAAAAGATATTCATTTCCTTTTTTTTTTTTTTTTTTTATTTTGAAATGGAACAAAAGTAAATGAAAAAAATGATAGAAAAGAGAATGTAATTTTTATTGAAGCAAAGCAAATAAATAGGATTGATTTAAGTAAACTTCCCAGTCAGTTTTATTTGTTGATTGGTTAGTTAAAATCATCGATAGATAAACATAAAGTTTGACTTATTTACTTTTTTAGCAATTCTTTTTTTCTTCTTTACTATTTCTTAAACATATGCAAAACTTTACTTAGTATGTGCTAGAATTTAAATTTGATTAAAAGATAAAATGTTAATTGCGAAATTTTTTGCAAAAAAAAAAAAAAAAAAATTAAGAGTGTAAAACTTTTGTAACATAAATTAAATTTTATCATTGATATAATGTATAATTAATTATTTGTTATATTAATTATATTAATATAATCTATCCTTAATAAATTAATTATTCGCTAAAACTCATTGTTTCATAACATTAAAACAATGATCTTTCAATATTCCACCAAATAATTGTAATAATTTTTTAAATGAAAATATATCAGTGGCGAAAAAGTATCATAAATGTGATTCATTTTAGCAATTCATCATCACCATCCTCGCTATTTCTATGTTTTTGTATTTTCGGACCTGATATTTCCAGAACTAAAATCTATCAAATTCCAAAAAATTACATTTAACGCTTTTGCTTGATAAAATTAAATTCCATGTTATTTCTGCTTCATGAAAAACAACAATTCTTTATAGACAATGCTAAAAACAACCGATAAAATAAAACAATAAAAATTAAGGTTGAATAACAATATACAACATAAAGTAAAATTAAACCCGTTAAAGAAATGGATAACAACATTCTGAGATTCATAAATTTCAGCAAATAGAAATTCTCGAGAAAAGAGCATGAAAGAGATATCACTATCTAAACCCGCGTGACATACATCATAATTAATAATATCAACAACCTTTAAAACTTTCCCATTATTTATGTAGCGAGCTTCTCGATTCAAAATGAAATACCTCAATTATCAATTTTTACTAATCCGTTTCCTCGTAAATTTTTTCTTTCTACTTTTCGTATCACTTTGTTTTAGCGACGATTTGGCATCTGCTTCTTTTCTAGCTCTCTTTGTTTTGCCAATTTGTCCACTACTACTTGCGATATTTTCAGCTGCATTTCGCTTTCTTTTCATCACAGCTGATTTAGGCTGTTTAATTTCTGAAACAGTGTCATTATGTTCAGAGTTAGCATCAGCTACAACACTGTTTGAGCGCTTTTTCATCTTTGCTGACAAATTGACACTTTCATCATTGATTTCACCGCTCGTAATTTCATCAATAATAGCATCTAATACATCCTTTACTGCATTCTCCACAATATTTGTATTAGAATCTAAAATAATCAATATAAGATGCAAAAAAAAAAGAAAAAAAAGAAAAAAAAAGACTTCTAAAATTTGATTTTATTTTCTTTTTTGAGTTCTTCAAATTGCATAAAATGTTTGGAATTGAAACTTACTATTTCTGTTTAACTGTTGTCTTGCCAATCTATACCTCGCAGGAATCTAAACCACATAAGATGAATGGTTGAAATAATAGTACAGAAGAATAAACATTATCGTTTCTCATTTTTAAAATGATTTATTTAGGTATAATTTTTGCAAATATTCTTTGTAGTACATATGCAAAAAGAAAAAAATTAATTAATTCAAATTAAAATGCAAATTTTAAGGTTTACCATAAAATCACGTTCATATATTTTCTGAACAGCAATACAAACTGATTCGATACATTCATCAATACGATTGCTCATCGCTTCAGTGATATCCGACGCACCCTGTTCAACAAAGTCCATTTCAGAGATATCTTCCGATCCTAATTTCCTATCAGTAATGTATCGACGCGGCTAAAATTTAATTTATATCTAAATTCAAACTAAAAATATTCTAAGAATTTGAAAAAAGTATGAATATTCCATCACTTCAAAATTGACTGATTTCATCCAAATGGAAAAAGCTTCTGAAAAATTCGAATTCGCCGATAAATAATATTCCATCTCTTGTTAATTTGGAAATGTCAAAAAAAAAAAAAAAAAAAAAAAAAGACTAATTTATATGCTGCTAATAACCAACTCGTTTTAACATTCGTTGCTTCAGAAATTCACCAACACTCAGTCCTGCAGTATACTCATCATCAAACTCGCTTTCCGGAATAGCTGCTTGTTCCGATGTTAGATGTTGTTGATTTTGAAATCGTTCCTTAAGACTTTCCAAAGCTTGTTTTTGCTGTTCTGCTAATTTTTTGGTAGCAACTGAACGTAAATATATTCTTCTTTCCACTGACTGATTACTCTCTGTTGATCGATACAAAAGCATTGGCCAAAAGAGTAATGTTCGCAACTTTGCCTGAAATTTATTGATGAGAATGAATATGGTGAGTGAAAATTTAAACAAATTATTACATAAATAAAATTGTTGATGAGCAATTAAATGAGAATAAAAGCATAAGAAAGAAATACTTTAAGTAAGACATATTCAGGATCCAAAGTAATCTGTCGTGAAAGTTGCAAAAATATATTATCATCCTGATCCTGAAATTTCATCTTCTCACTTTTTTTTTTTTACTGAAATAATAATGGTATATTTTTTGAGAAAAGAAAGAAGTTAAATATGAAAAATGAAAATAAAACAGCGAAAAGACATACCGGAACAATCGGTTCAAAGAGGTCACCAGCGGATTCTCTTAACAAATGAATTTGCTTCTGCAATAATAACTTCTGTTTAACCGATATTCAATTAGCAGGTAAATAATTAATGTTAAGAACTGGAAAAATAATATCATTTTTTTGGAAGACTGATACTTGCCATGTTAAGATATTTCACCTTGAAAGGATGAACTGATTAGGGTGACGGAAATTTTTGAGCAATTATATTTATACCTTTTTTTTTTAAAGATATAGAACAAAAATTTGAAAAGAAATGGTCTTCAGAGCAGAATTTTCCATACAACCTAGAAAATAAGAAAAAAAAAGAAAAACATAAACAACTCAAGACATCCAATTATATATCTTTCAGTAAATTATCTACCTGAATATTTTCATACAAATGAAGTGATCCAATGCAGGGTGGTATAGCAAAAGCATTTGTGCCACAAGATACAGCTTTATTTACATCATCGATAAGAACCTAAAAAATTACACTGAGTAAAAATTACTGAAAAGAAGAAACCTTCTTTTGAGAAAAAATCAAGTCAATACCTCAAGCAACTGACTTATTTTATAAAATAAAACTAAAATTACAAATAAACTAACCGAATTAAGATATCGACTAATTTCACCAAGCACCTGACTTCTAGTAAGCTTCTTTTGATGCCCACAATATTGTAAATTGTCACTTCGTTCAATTAAATCACATAAGCCGTTAATGACATAATCTTTTGCAGCCTGCAATAATTTAAAATTAAAAACATCATACGAATGTTATGCGCTTCTGAAAACCAAAAATCTACCAATGTTTTACGACAATCATAAAACCATAATTTGATCACGGATAAACAATTTTTGAAAATACAAGCTTCAAGTTAATAATCTAATCAGATAACAAATCATTTCCTAAAGCCTTCTAGAAATCACATATATTATCAGAAAAGGTTGATAACATTAACCAGCTTATCCTTGTTGCAACACTGATGGTGCTATTACTGCTAATGAAAAAAAAAAAAAAAAAAAAAAAAAAAAGAAAGAAAAGAAAAATTAAGCAACCTCCGGATCAGTTTCTTTTAACATTCTGCATTTGGTATCGAATTCATCTTTTTCATGATGAGTTAAAAGCTCGTTCATGTTTCCGCCGAGAAATCTTTTGTAATATTTCAGCAGGGCACTTTGTGTTGAATTATCCAAATAACTAAAAAAATACAACACTGAGAAAACTAAGAAAGAATACTATTACTTTAAAATATTTTTAACTGAATTTTTTCAGTGCAAAATACACCAGCATAAATAATGACTGAATGTAATTATAACACTAGAAAACCTTTAATTTCTTCAACAAATAGTTTATTTCCTAATGTTGCATTGAATTTTTGTATTACTTTTTCTTACTTATTAATAGCAGTGTAGGTAGAGTTGTTTTTTGTTAGTTTAATTTGATTATTTTTTCAAATAACTTTAACCTCGTATTGAATTGCAACTTATCAGTTAGTAATTTCCAAATCGACTGATCATCTTTCACATCATTACTCAGATGTTTTTCACGAACTTCATTCAGGAATTGCATTACTATTATTCTTTGTTCAGGTGCCATCGCAGATAATGCCTCCATTTCATCGACACTTAATGCTCGCTGAAACACACTCGTTACATCAATTAAAAAAAAAAAAAAGAAAAAAAAAAAAAAGCCAAAAACATTTCATCAAAAAATTCTTTCCCAGAAATTCAAATAAACTAAAAACCTCAACTTTCGAGACAGACTATAAGCAGTGCATAAAGAGTGAGCCTATACATTTGTAGAAATGAATTCAAGACTATATAATTATATAATTATTCTAAAAGTTGCTTCAGTTTTTAGATTCAGCGATGCATTATTCAATTTAGTGTGGTTAGATTAGTCTGTTAAAAAAGAAAAAAATTTTTGTTTTTTTCACTGGAGAGTGCAAAAAAAAAAAAAAAAAAATTACCATATCAAATGAATTCATTACTTGTTCCGCCAGACCACTTTTACCGTCAGCTGCTAACAACTTCTTGAACGTTGCTTCCACCTAAATAATGCAAAAAAATGCCGGAAAAAATTTTTAGAATTCCGGTATATCTGAATATAAATCAAGCCAATGAAATTATCTACTAGAATACAAATAAAAAATTTTTTCATTAAAAGTAAAAACAAGTGATTACTTCTTGCCGACGATGTTTGCCTTTCCAACTAAAACGTCTGAATGGATATGAGCGACATTCCGAAGCCAGCTAGAATAAAAAAAAAAATGATAAAACAAAAAAAAGAGAAAAAAATTTAGAGTGGAAACACAAAAAAGACAGACCTTGACTTTTGCTGAAAGAAGTGATCGGAAGCGTGATTTGCAATGCGAAGCTGAACGACCTGGCAGCATTGTTGAAATTCTTGACCATTCACCTCAAAAGTATGCTAATTTTCTTTTCTGTAACCTAAGCTACTAAAAATCTATTTTTTGTTTTTTTTTTTTTTTTTCTAACCTAATTTGTTCGAAAAAAAAAAAAAAATTAGGAAGAAAAATTATTTGTATTCAACTAACCTTTTCCAAAAATTTTCACTCCCTCAAGTAATTTTTCATCCTCATCCACTGACCATGGTTCAGCTTTAATACTTTTGTCCAACACATTTACCCATCTGAAAAACGAGCATCAGCTGATTAACATAAGTTCAAAAGTTTCTTCAAACAAGAAAAAAAAATGACAAACCTATCACGACACTGTGAATCGCTTCTTCCTGGAACACATGATGCTACTTTTATCCAATCTTTTGTTCCAAATCGACTTACAGAGCATGTTAAAAGCTGAAATTTACCAAGGTAAAAAACATCAATCTTCGAAATTCTAATTTAAATTTCAAGATATTTTCATTTCAGACTAAACTTTGAATTCATCATCTTTAAGAGCAATAAAACCAAGTAGAAACTTTATATTAACAGTAATAAACAATAGCTACGAGGATATATATATATATATATAATGATTACCACATCTTCACTTGCATCCCATCGACCAAATTTAATATCAGTATCAAGTGCTCGTCTATATCGAATGGTACATTGCTGCCGTGATCTTTCTTCCATAAAATGAGCAACTAAAATTAAAATAAATTAAAACTGAAATATAATTAAATTACAAACCTGAAACATTTTATTAGAAAAAGTTTCATTTTTCATCAAAGAGTTGAAAAAATTTTCATTTAGACCAAAGAATCAGAATTTAGATGCATACTTTTCTCCCAATTCATTTTACCATTTACTTGCATACAATGCGCTAAAGTCATTAACTGAGCATCCTCTTCCTTTGTCCATGATCTATAATAATTGATTGTTAATCATCATATTATTACACTGAAGACTGAAGAATTCTCATTTCATCGACTATTCACTCGTTAATTTAGTTCAAATTCTTTTACTGCAAATATTTCAACATAATAAAAGTGACAAAATTATGTAACAAACCTTCCAACATTGTCAATATCCAATTCACTTCTAAATTTTACGAAACACTGAAAAGCTGTACGATTCGTGCCTAATCGTTCCGCAATTACATTCCAATTATTCCATCTTCCTGCACATTCCTTTAATCGTTGTATTTCATGAGAAGACCATGGCTCTTTTGACCATCGTGGACATTGTTCATTAATCCACTTCAATCGTAACTGTTTCGGTGTTCGATTTCCAAGAAACTATAATAAATAATTTGGATCAACTAATTGCAATGCATTAAATTCAAATATAAACAATTTAACATTTTTTTCCTATTTCATCAAATTGTATCTTGTAATCGAATTGTTATACATTGAATAAAGCATCTTGTATTCATTTTTTTTTTTTACAATCGAATTGTTATATATTAAATATCTTACATCAACTTTAGCAATCTTTGCCCAATCCACTTCAGAATAATCACTCATTAATACTTCATTTTCTGGAAGATTTCTGCAAGTAACGATTAATTCAATTTTGTTATCAATGGAGAATAAAATAAAACACTCTTTTCACTATTACTTAATTCAACAACTAATATGAAATAATTTTATATTTCAACTATTTTAACACCATCCAAAATTTGTCAACTCATATAAAGCTTACTTATGATATGTAATCAAACGTTCCAACTCAACAATAGTACTATTCCAATCAGCTATCTGTTCTGCTGATGTTTCTTGTCCAGCGGATCGAATTTTCTCGGCAAACATTTCTTTCCTTTAACAGGAAACATTAAAGTGAAAATATCTTTCGGTCTATAACTTACTCTGATCATCACCTCAATGGAAGATATTCCTGATTTAATAACTTGGTAATTTGAATAAGTGGAAAAGCCCTCTCAATTATGCTCATTTTTCTTTCTAAAACATTCCACCAAAAAAAAAAAAAAAGATCAATGGTTAAAGAACGCACAAATATTTCAAGCATTACTCATAGAAAATGACCTCTGAATAAAAGGTTGAATACGGATTTCGACTAAGGACTTCCAGACCGCACTTGCCAATAAATGACATTCCTTCGCTGACCCTATAATTAGATCATAATTTTTGCTGAGCATTATTTAACATTTCTAAAACTTTCTTCATATAGTAAATTTAATAAAAAATAGTGAAATGAAATCTTTTATAACTACATTACTAAATGCATACATTTCTTTTCTTCCTTCACCAATGGATCATATTCTCGACGAAAAACTTTCAGCTCATATTCTTCATTTTTTGGTGGCTCCTTCAAATTTGAATATTTCAAATCTTACTTTGAACTCCAAAATTTGCCAAATAATAGCTATAACTTCTGAGAGAGCCAAAATACTTTCCGGTTCTAAAGTTATTAAGCTGAACACTTATAAGAATAAAAGTCAGTTTTTTTTTTTTAAGCAAAGGAAATTTTTACCCTAATAAAATCATAAACTACTATTTATTAGTTAATAAGATCCTATCAGCATATTCATGATAACACAGACAAAACTTTATTTATTTACCATTTCATGGGAATCTCGAAAATACGGGAATAAAAACCGTGAAACTGGCACTTTCTTTATATTAATTCGTAATCCACGCTCTGTAGTCTGCCGTAACTTAGCTTTCAACAATTTCTGCAAAAAGATTTTCAACAGCATTAAAAGAACCAATGCAAAGTGAAAACTTTCAAAAAACAAGAAAAAAATTTACTTGTGCTTCGCGATTCTTAGATATAGCTAATGTAACACGTCGAATTAAGTTCTCTAAAGTTTCATTAAATGCTTCATTGATAGCTAGCAGAGTATTCAATTCATCCATAGTGATGGGTAAATCATTGCCAGTATTAGTAACCTAAAAATTCTGTGCTTCATGCCAATGTGGTTAGTTACTTAAAAATTTCAAATCTTACCAAAAATTGAAATAATATTTCAAATTTCATTATATTATGTCCATTTCATAAGCAAAAACTTCAACCGCACAACAAATAAATCATTATTAAATAAATAAATATATACGTAATAGATATTTTGATATGTTATTCGAATTTTCAACAAAATGTAAAAATGCACACATATATGCGTAACCATTAACGAAAAGAGCACTACGAGATAAATAATTCAGATCAAAAGATTCAACCGAGCAATCATTCAAAGTAACTTACCGCATTGCCAGGTTGCAATGTGTCACTTTCTTCCATTTCTGCAAGTACCAATTCCAAATCGTCATCCACTAAAAAATGAAACTTTGAATTTGGCATCATTCAGTATGAATAATTAACTTTATTTATTTCACTTTACAAAGGCATAACTTGGTACATTTACTTCGCATTTGCTCGCAGTATTACACTACTTTTCGCAAACAAAATTTGCTTTCTGAACAATTTCAGCTTTTGAAGCTCACATATCCAACACCTTAGTTATCTCTTAGAAATAATCCAAAAAAAAAAGAAAATGAAAACGAATTAGGTAGATTTCCGTAAAGAAAGAAACTACTCACTATTCTCCGATAACTCTTTAGTTTGTCGTCGTCGACTAGGACCAGGTTCGCTATCATTCATATTTATATCATCATTGACATCCTCAATACTTAATGTCAAATTTGGCCTGATTGTTTCGTCTGTTAGCTCATCCATATCTAAAACACTATATAAGATTATAGAATAAGATCTCAAATTAAAATATCGAAATTAATACAGCGATCAACAATTAAATCATTACATTAAGAAATGAAAATCGAATTCACAATGAAACTATAAAGGGATTGAAAACTCAGTGATTTGTCAATAACCAAAATAATGCAACTGCATAAAAATATCATTAACTTGTCGGAAAAAGTTCAAAATGATAGAATCCAACCATTTATTTACATCTTTTATTAGTTAGGCTGTAAATGTAATGTTTACTAAATCAATGGCAGATTACATAATCAGTAATAAAAATATTGATAAAAGAGATATGAGACTGACAAAAATAAAAATAAATTATGAATAGTAATTCAGTGCTTATAACGGGAAGTGAAAATTCAAAAATGAGCCAAGATATGAAAAGCTCCTTGAAGCAAATTCAATAAAAAGATACAAATACAAAATTTAGAATTCCAGCTGCCCTTTTATAAAATCACATAAACAATAGATTACCAAATTTTTATGCTGCAAATTCATATTCATCAAGTGCACTGATGAAATACCCTGCATATAAATGAACTTTTTTTTCTTTAGTACTCAAACATTTTCACTTTGAAGAGTAAAATGGCATCCTTTAAAAAAAATTAATTATAAATTTGACCAATAGTTGACCAATAGTTTTTCTGTATAAGTATGACACCAGCACTTCAATCTCTGCAAAAATCATTCGAAATTTTTACCACCAACTGATAAATGCAACTTTGAAGGACTTAGAAACAAAAATAAGTACACGATGAAAACTTACCCGAAAAAGTAGCAAATTTTCATTTCAAAATAGCACTAAAGAAAAGGAAATATATCGAATCTCATAGAAATAATTCACAATTCTCATAAAAATATACGACAAAAGGGAGGTAAAATACAAATGAAAAAAAAAAAAAAAATATTACCATGGTAGGAAAGAAAATCAAAGCACTTAAGAAGGCAATATTTCAAAAGAGAAAATACATCTCACATAATACCCGCTTAAGAACCCAATAATCTATTTTAGTATTTTATTTTAGGTTTCTTGTCTTGCTCGTTCTTTTCTTTTTACTCCCATTATCCTTCTGTTTTTCAGAGATGGAACTAATTGAACAAAATTGGACTGAACAAGAAAGAATCACAATCACTCCCAATATTTCCTTCCCTTCAATAGCAACATCCAAACGCTCCCTTCATTTCTGCTTTCCTGAATTAAATTAAATTCCGCACAAAATTCTAAAAAAAAAAAAAAAAAGAAAAAAAGGAACGGAAGAAACGATACTTACATACCATATATTAAATTCAACGCAAGATAAAATTCTTAAACAAAATTTATTCTAAATATACACAAATGCAGGCACTAATTACCATCACGTTCACCACATATTTACTCGTCATTTGAGAAGTGATTTTCGAGAATTCTGGAAATGAAAAATATGATTAAAAAACACTTACTTCAAAAAAATTTTTCCTTTCGGATAGAGCATTCAAATTATCGAATGTATAAAACAGATATCTAAAAAATTCACTACAAATCAAAAAAAAAAAAATTCTACTGCGAGCATCAAATAAAACAAACTTGTTTAGTCGAAGTCATCCCATTCAATATATCTTTGAAAGAATTCACTGTTTTTGACTGCTCAACTAACTGAATATTCAAATTTGCAATATGTTCGTGCAAATTTTGTAGCTGAAGTTCATAGCTTTTTCGAGTCATTTCAAGCTCTTCCTGAAGCATTTTATTCCTAGTGGAAGTGTGAAGTATTTTACACCCAGAAAAGAACACTTCCAATCTAATGGAAAAAACAATTATTATTATTCTATCAATTAAAATAACCTTCAGTGCTGATTCCCTGACTGTTACAAGATTTAGCTCCTCGCGTAGAGTTTTATTTTCTTGCTCTGACAATTTGGCTAATTTGAGAAGATCTTTGCACTGAAATTAATATCCATATTTTTTTTTGTTGAAAAGATAAATAGGAAACATTTTAAATAGATGCAACAAACTTCATGCTTATAATAGAATGCTCGACTACGAATATACTCGATATCAGCATGTAAATCACCAATCCGTTCTTCGAAATACGAACAAATTATATCTGCATCCTTACAAGGAAATTCTGACACTTCAATTCCAGATTCTAACGATCTAAATAATTAGATATCATTTAGTCTATTATGCAAATAATACCAATGAAGTACAAGATATTGCCTATCACAATAATTTTAAGTAGTACAGATTGAGAAACTTTTACAGAATGAACGAATGGTACGAAAAACATGAATAAAAATGCTCGTTAAAATAATACTACTTAAAACTCTCACTTCATTGACTCTAATTTCGTTTTGAGAAGTTCATAATCCAAAGTGATCCGCTCTTTTTGCTTTTCTAATTCAACAATCCTTTTCGTTGCTAATTCCATCTGAAAAAAAAGAGTTCGACTAGGTGCAAAAGCATTGAAAAAATGAGCAGCCAAATTTTTAAAACTTTCGATGTCATAAGTAATTTGCTTTGTTGATTGAAACTTCTGTTGAACTGTCATATTTGATCATAAATTAATATCATATATTATTAAATTTACACATAATAAAAAAGAGAAATATACTTCTGATTTCCAAAAATCGGTACCTAATCGTGTACATTTGCTATTTGATATTTGCTCCTGTAACAAAACATGTACACTCACATTTTTAGAAATGATATCCATAATGTAAACATAAATAAATAAAATAAATAATATACATCGACATATCAACCGTCACTTCATTAAAAATAAATATCAACAAATATACCTCCTCATGTTTAGTTTCACCATCATTTTTGTGAGCTATTTCTTTCACATCATTATTTGGCAATAGTGAATCTAATATAGGAGAAGATACAACTTCCGTGTTCTCAGAAACAACTTCTTCACTGGAAATTAAATTTTCAAATTACAATTTAAAACTACACAATCCAATATCCCCAAATTTCCTTAATCCAATTAACTACTTAACAAACCAATATTAAAACATACTCTTTTAATTGACTAGAATTCATAATTAGCTGTACAAATGCTGCAAAATTATTCAAATTGCGCTGCAACGATGTCAAACAATTATTTATGCATTCATTGACACAGCGTAATCGTTTTGTAGCTGTTGGGATACGATTTTCGTTAAAAATTTTTGCTGCATAAGCACGATTACAATCTGTAAAAAAAAAAAGCTATCAAAAATTCGTTCATATTTCATCTACTACTTATTTACATTTCTATACAAACATATCTAATATGCTGTAACAATTTACCCTGTAAATTATACCTGCTAATGATATTTTTAAATCTTCGATCAGTGAAAATAAGCTTAATGCAGATTGATTACTGTCATCTTTGCATTCAATTTGTTGAGAAAGAGCAATGAGAGATCGAAGAAGTGTAAGAAATGAAATTGTCCAATTTTCGTTACATTTGCTTAAATTTGCACCACACCATGATACCCGATTTTCATCAACATTGTTTTCACTGAATAATTCTTGCCATTCCTGTAATCAAAATTAAATATTACAGAAATGCAATTTATTTAATCTGGCATAAATTAACAAAATTATTATTTCTATTCATACAATTAAAATATCGGTTTCAATCATTCATTATCATGAATTCAATTTTTGAATAAAATTTATTTTAGCGAAAAAAAAAGATAATGTTACATTATAGGAGAAAATTAAGTCATCCTCATTAAGAAGAATGCTGCTATAAATAATAAACTTACTGAACAAGAAAACAATGCGTTACTTATAATTGAAGTAATTCCCGTGCATTCAGCAGATAAGTTACAGCAACTATCATCAGCATTTTTCATTAGAATAGTTTCAATGCTACTTGAACAAGCTTCAAACATATCACAACTTGATAACAATCGGCGTCCATACTAAAAAAGAAAAAAAAAAAAAAACATTAGCATTAATACAAACAAAACTTTCTCGTAATTTAGTAAATTTATTACTACTAAGGTAATGTACAACATCCTACAGTACTATGTGTAAAATCCAATTCAAACTGTTCCACTCTCATATTTTTTCCTCAAATGTCTAGAAACATTATCACATTATGATTCATATAAATGAATTACGAATGTATACTGTTGCATCAATTAACAACAATTTGCCCTAGACATTTGAAAAGTATATCAGTGACAATTTAAATTTAATCAAATAAGCATAAATCCGTCAAGAAACTATTCTAATACAAATAATGTCTAAATGCTACCAAAAGTGTCTTCTCCGGTAATTTTTCCATGTTACTATCATTTGGATAGATTGTAGAGCGCTGCTCAAACAATTGCAATAAATTTGCAAATCCAGCTGTTAGCATTTTTGCCATACGTAACGCATCTAACCATAGAACTTGCATTGTTTCCTTCCTAGCAGCAGATTCTTCAGAATTCAATACCTATAAAAAAAAAAAAAAAAATTAATTAAACGGATAATTTTCAGGAAATAAAAATTGAAAATTCAACGTGATCCACAATCATGCTTCAGGAGATATTTCATTTGAAATTTAATATTCCCAAAATAGGCATAATTTGTTCTCTAGAATTAATTTTCTGAATAAAATAAAATAGAAAATACCAAATTTTGACTTCCCATAGCGCTAACTTCCACCACTGATTTGTTCTCGGGAGCCTTCTGGATTTTAGATTGTTTTTCCACATTACAATTCCTAAACAAAAAAGAAAAAAGAAACTAAAAGATATCGTAAAATTTTATGCCATATGTAATTAATAATATATGATATGAAAAATAAACAATAAAGTTCTCCAAAAAATAATCAAATAAATTATACTTCTAAAACAATATATTGGAAGATAAAGAATGTTTCGTCAACAAATTTTATTCTTCTAGATGGTTGATCTTAGTCCGAAGTGACATACTAGTCCCAACTTTCCAGATAATGATAAATTAAATAAGAAGATAAAGCAAGTTTTAAAGATAATTAAGTCCCACTAACAATGTTTGATCAGTTGCTATATTCTCCTTTATTTTTTTAAGTTCTTCTTTCAGCTTTCCGTTTTCGATTTCAAGAATTCTATATTGTTCATTAAGAGCTGATGTTGTTTCTGTATATTCATTTTCCAGTTCGGAAATCTAAAATATTCAAATTTCAATCATAAGAAATTTTAGATTATAAGAATGAAAAAAGAACACGTAAAAATTTTTGGTCATTACGCTGTTTACCACTAGCAAACAATTGTTGTCATTTATAATAACCTACTTAACTTGAACAACGACAACAACAAACATCAACATTCTTTATGAATTTCATTTTTACTTCAAAAATAATAATTAACTGCATCAAAAGTAATAATACCTTCTTGTGTAGTGTTTCATTTTCTATCACTTTCTTTTGTAGTTCCATTTGAAGAACTCCATTATCCAATTCAGTTGAACGTTCTGCACGTGTATTCTTTTGAAACAGCAACCCTCGCTTCTAGAAAAAGAAACAATTCAGAAAGAGAAAAAAAAATTTGAGATAACAATTTTTTAAAGAAAAATTCTGACTAAAAATATCAACCTTAACAGATGTCTGCTTAATATTATCGATTTCATTCTGCAATGACTCAACCCGTTTCACTAACTGGTTATTCCGAAATTCAAATCCTTCTTTTTCATTTTCGAGTTTTCGCAATGTTGATTCACTATTATGCAAATCAATCTAAAAAAAACCAGAAAAAATCGAGAGAAAAGATTAATTTTGCAACAAAATTTTTGGTTCATAAATTGCTGAGATACGAATACGCATTTAAAAAGAAGAAGCAAAAGATAGGCATTGCAAATAATGTAAAATATGTACAATTAGTTTGAAATGTTATATTCTTATTATTATACTAAGTGCCTATATAACAAATGCACATAATTTTTTATCCTTTGAATAATCGAATTAAGACTAAAACATAGTACAATTCTGTTTCTGCTTATATTTCGTTATCAAAAAAAAAAACCATACGGCAGCAGAAACTGCTTTTAAATCAAATTAAATAATCGCTGGAGATAATAATTTAGAAAAACATTTCTGGAGACAAGAACTGCATGAATGCTTACAGAAAAAAAAAAAAAAAAAAGACATTTGCAAAAAATATAGATAACATCGTAATAGGTTAAATTAATCAAATAAATACGTAAAATGAACAATTTGCTATTTTCTTTTTGTTTGCTTTAATTTAGTTCGTAAGCCACTCACCGATAATTTTTCATTTTTTACTTGCTCCGCAATAACCGCATTTTTCAACGTAGATATTTGAACTTTTAGCTGCAAAAAAAGTAATGTATATTAGAATCTTTAATTTTAATATACCTCTCTGCTGGTTAGTAAATAGCCATGAAAATTGTCTCAAATGTTTTATTAATTCAAACAAAGAAAAAAACAAAAAGAAAACAATGGAAATAAAATTACACAGTTTAAGCATATTAAGTCAGCTATAAGTTCATAAGCTATCACAAAAAACGAAAAATTCTAGCAAATCTTAATTACAAATTTTTAAGAGCAGAAAAATTAGCTATGAAATATAAATTTGTCGATCACCCTGAGCAACCGGAACTCTCAACATTACATTCAAGCATGCATATCAAACATAAGCATGAGAATTTGTCATTTTCCATCAAAACAATTCAAATCTAATGCCTAAATCTTAGCAGAAAACAGGAAGTACTTTTCCAGTAATACTTTTTCCTAGAATTTTTACATATTTTTTCAATGAAAAAAAAAAAAAAAAAAAAAAAACTAACAAAACCTTAGCATATTCAGCAGCAACTCGTTGATATTTGGTATTGATATCAGCATTCGAAGAGATTGTTGACATCTACACCCAACATCAACTCTTCCTACCGCAATTAACTTCACTTTCAATCTGTCAATCAGTTGTCCGGAAAATTCAAGGACAAATACACATAATGGATATGTAGAACAACGTATTGCAATATAGGTATTTGAACAAAAATAAAAACTGAAATTTCAACTGTAATTTGAAATAGTACATCTTTTTAGCTTGTTAATCATATCCAAAAATTTATTTTACAAATTACTGATATATTGATAAAATATTATCACCTAAAACACTATATGTTATACTATCTTGAAAACATTTTAGCACTAGCTAATCCTCTTAAAAAGCTAATTATTGAAAATTTTTTTGCTTTTTTATTTAGGAATTGTAAAAGATATTTATCTTTACGAAATATAGTGGCTCATCTACAACAATAACTAAATTCCTTATCTTCACTTAAAAGCTTTCATTATTTTTTTTTTTTATCAATAATTATCTGAAATATATGAAAGGAAGAAGAAAACGAAATGAAATCGGCAAAAGAACAGTATAAGTATAAATATTACGAGTATTTCAATTGAATAGTTACATAGATTAAATATTTAAACAAAAAGAAACAAAGTTTATTTTCCTTCAGAGGAACTATAAACAAAAGAGTGATGATGATCTCAGGAATTGTAAATGAAAGCAATGTAAAATATGGATTAAAATAATATGCAAAGATAGTTATTATACAATCGACTTGAATAATAACTTAAATTTTTATAATTTTTTCTCCATAATATTTTTTTTTTTCAAAGCAACAAGTTCAATTAATTGTTTTCAATAAGATAGAACATTAAGAATCAATTCAATAATTAAATATCAGTGCAAAATTTCAATTGCTTACAACAATAAAACCATACGTATTTGAATACGTCCAACAATCACAAATTCATCAACCGTTCCCTAAATTGACCGGATGAAAAAGATGCACAATGAGAGAAAGACAGAAAAAAGAGAACTAAAAGAAAAAAGAAACCAATAAATGTCAGATTATTTGACGAGAAATTATAAAATCACATAGTGGTAATTAAAAAAGTAATATCTCATAATTTAATTTGCAATAGAATTAAGAAGTTACAAAATACTATTAGCAACTCATAATTCTAAATTTTGTCATTTATAGGTTGCAAAAATTAACAAAAAAGAAAGAAAAAAAAAAGCAGCACTAACTAGATTTAAAAATAAAGAAAAACCCTCATCATTCATCATATCACAAATAAATTGAACAAAATATCTTCGAATGGGAAAGCAATTTTCTTCTTCTTCACAATTAGTTTCAAATTCAAATTAATAATTCAAATGGATATTGCATGTAAAATAACAAAAAGGCGAAGATGCATTAAGATAGAGTTCCTTTCTTGATGCAACAATAATTAACAAAAATATGCAATTGCGAATACGACAAAAAGTGGAAAAAATCATAATGCCAAAAGCACAAAAAACAAAAAAAAAAAAAAAAAAAATATATATATATATATATATAAAGAAGCCATTATTAATGATGTTTAGATATGGAATGTCAACAAATAATGAATGTTAATAAACAAATTTTTAGCTAATTTATTAAATTTCTTCGTCTTTTTTTCTCTCTGCAATAGGAAATGAGGATTTAATAACAAAAAAAAAAAAAAAAACATATAATTCTCAGGAAATCAATAACATAACTACATCCATTATATTGCTTATTTTATCTGCTACTTTTAAAAAATCCTCCAGTTAACAAATTCTGTTTAATTTATTCAAATATTTTCTGACCATTCATTTAAAGATCTATCCACTGATAGTTTGCAATTGCATATATCTTCAATTCAAATAGATCCATCTTAACGGTAAACTATCAACAACTCAGCAACTATTTCAGCTAAAAATGATCATACTAGAAATGAATAATAATAATAATAATAATAATAATAATAATAATTGATAAATAAGACGCATAAATTTGAATCAAAATAATAGATAAGCACAGAATCTGATTAATAAATGTTTTCGGATGGAATAAACTTCTGAATTAAATTAAATGGAAGAGAAATTACATTTGAAAGCATCGGAATAATACAGTGTAATGAAGTAATACCATTCATCATTCATTACATGTGCTATCATCCGTTGCTGTTACATTGTAATCAGAACAAAAACTGGAACAAATCCAGTTACCATTTGGTGGAGTCGATAAACCAACACAAAATGTATGATAACCACGATCACAACGATCGCAAAACATCATTGCATCCTGCAAATACTCATTTAATTGATTATTTCACAAACATACACACACATATACAATTGCCTCTGTATATATATAAAAAAAAAAAAAAAAAAAAAAAAAAAAAACTTAGAAATAAATTTCAAAAATTATTTCTCTGAAAGTTTAAAAAAAAAAAAACTCATATAAGATAAGTGAGAAAATTACGTATGTCTCGAGCTATTACAAATCGCTAAATTATAATTAAACTTGAAAGAAGGTACACAATGAATCGACGACTTAAACTAATTAATGAATCCCAAACAAAACAAGTTAACAAATCTTGCTTCATTTGATAAATCAAGAAAGAAAGAAATAAACACTGAAATCGAGAATAATATGAAAAGGCTCTTGATAGATTTAAAATATCGAACAAACCGAACATTTCACATTAACCCTAAACTGTAGACAAAAACGTAAGTTCAAAATATTTCTCAATATATATAGATATTAATAATTAAAATAATTATAATCAGAATATTTCCACTTCTTACTCTTGCTTTCTTCCATTTTTTTTATTTATTCAATCACTTCGGAAATTTGCTAATCCCAACAAAATACTGGCCAATTACAATAAGCGTATTTCACCTCATTATCCGGCTTTTCGCATATAGTACATTTCTTGCATTCAATGCAGTTCCATCTATAATTCAGTGCAACCTTAACGACGTGTTCCGGTAAACCAGCACAATCCGGATGTACTACATTATTGCAATTAGAACAGGATAATATTTGACGTTCCTCGTTTTCACCGCATATCGAACACTGCTGTTTAGTTAAATCCTATAATTAGAATAGAATGATGGTTTTTTTTTTTTTTTTCTTTTTTGCAATTTTATCAGATATTTGTGTCAGCTTCTATCACTTTCTTTCTCAGATTAATATCTTAAATTAAATCCACAATATTGTTAGTCATTGACAAATCATGTTTTCTTGAAGACACCTTCTTCTCTTATTTTCTAGTAATATATAAATTTTTGAGTAAAATAAGAAATTTCTGTGATGAAATGATCAACTGTATCAATTTAGAGAAAATAATTAAAAGACATTACCAATTCCGACAACAATATAAGACAGGAAAAATTGATGAAGAGGAAAAACGACAAATGAATTTTTTTTGAAATCGTTGCCTTCAGCGAAAAAATCTTGTTCCTCTGACATTTTTCATCATAAACCTCTTTTCTCCACATAAAAATGAAGTTATTCCCACCATTTATTCAATAATAGGAAAATTTTTCTTTTCCTTCTTCTTATCTTTCTTCTCAGAAGAAACTAAATTCTATAACTTATTGAAATCAATGATTTTTTTAGAGAAAAATGACAAGAAGAAAAAATTGATGGAACATGAGAAGCATGACGTGAAACTAGTCTAACTACTATAATCAAAGATCAATTGCGTAGCTTTTCGTCCTCTTTGTATAAATAAATGAATTAATAAGTGGATGAATTGAAGAAGCAAACATATAAAAAGGCTATCCACTATTCACTTTTTGACTATCCACTCATTATGCTTCAAATTCAAAATACCAAACTTTGTTCGTCCTTTTGTTTTTGCTCTTTCGAAAATTTTGTACGCTTTATATGTCTAAAAAAAAAGTAAACTATATTTCTAGAGTGATAAGAATTTACTACATTTAAATTACTACAACAGTAAGATATCCTCAAATCAACATAAACGTATTATTTACTATTCATAGTACTATGCCATATATCCATGATTCTCTGAAAACTAAAAATGCAGCTACAACAATAGCAATTCGAAAAAAGTAACGTTGCAAAGGCAAAAAATTTCCAAAATACTGAAACAACAATGTACCTGCCAGAAATGAATCCAGTCGGTTTGGAGATCAGAATAATCGTTATTTTAAGCATTTAAGCTTAAATTATATCTTTTCTTTCAATATAAGCTCAGTATTGGATAAAAATTTTGTTACTTAGTAACATTATTAAAAAGCCATATATTAGTGCCACATACTCGTAAAAAAAAACTGAGAAGGCAGAAGTATTTAACAAACAAGATATTTAGTAATACTCGATGAAGAAAGACGCGTAAAAATGCTAAAACAAATAAATGAGCACAAAATATAGAGATTAAATAAGCTAAGGTAGTTAATTTTTATTGCATTACCATCGATATTATTGAAATATCAAGAGATTCCTCGAGGTCCTTATCTTACTTTTCGTTTAAAATCTGAATTGCTTTTAAGCATTTTCGATCTTTAGCTGATATATTTGTCATTATGTAATCTCATGAAGGTTTCAAATTAATTTGCTTTTCTGAAAAAAGGGAGAAAAGATGCTATAAGAAATAAAGGATTGATACCAATCACGCGTTCAAATAAAAAATTATAAAAATGATAAAGTTTTAGAACAGACATGCAATTTCTTCCAAAGATGTTGAAAAGTCCTTTTCTACGCTCAGGAAATGTAATCCCTAAATTTTGAACCATAAAAGTCAAAAAGAAATAAAGAGCTTAATCCATTGGGAAATGAAGGAATAAAACTATCTACAAATGAAAACAATAAAAATCTAACCAAACATTAATCAAAGAATGAATTTTCATGAAACACCTGGTTAAACCTAACTGAATTACTACCATATACACTCCTAAATGTGAGCCTACAATAATCAAGGCACACAATTTTACATTATACAAAAGAAAAACCCTGCAAAAGCAACAACACACAAGCAGAACGAAATGAGTTAATCTGGACGATAGATTACAACGTTTTTTTTTTCTTTTTTTTTTTTCAACAGCGTTCTAAAAAAGAAAAAATCATTTGTAGTGGCCAACATCTTGTATGTCGTCGGCAGCAACTCCGATCTTAATTCTTCAAGCATCGTCTGTGATGCAAAAGGTCCAAATGATCATTTTCATACGTACTCGGTTAGCGTGAAAGCTTCAAATAAATAAAAAAACAAAGTTCTACTTTATGAAAATTTAAAATTTCAATTCTTAAAGCAAAGATTTTCGATTACTTCAGTTGTCGATAACAAAACGAGCGGATTCCTCCGACCAGTACATCTGAAGATATCAACAAATTGATGACACGTTAATATCAGATGACTGGATGGGAAATCTCGGTTAATAATGAGGAAATGTGAAAGCAGAAAGAAGAGAATATGTCAATTCATTCCATTTTTTATTTTTTCTAAGAAATGAAATAGCAGATATATAGATAAGAAATGATCAAAGATATTACCTTATCATTTGCTATAATTTTATATAAAAATTTGGAAATGAAGAGTGGAAATGCATCAACATCTCATATAATAAAATACACTGACCTGAGAATCCATTTTATTTAACGTCGTTTTCATATCATCATTATAATTAGAAGGTAATAAAACTGGAGGTGGTATCTCGAGATGATTATCATGCTGTCCAGCATCATTACTGTCAGTATTTGTTGAAGACGTTACTTCCTCCTCATGAACAATCACAGGTAATGGTGAAACAGGTCGTTTAGGAGGTAAAAGATAATCATAATCCAGTACCGTAGATAACGGCAATCGACGTAATTCTTTTGGTGTAAATCTTAAATTTGCAATATAACATGAGTAAAATTCAGTTTGCTGAAACACAAAGGCATTACTGAAACAATAAAATGATATTCGGAAATCATGTATACTTTTTATAGAAATGTTGATATTGGCCATGAATAAGTGCAGCAGGATAGGGTCCTGGCCGTGTATATTCTGGAGGCATCCGTTTCCATCGATTTTTTGAAGACTGAATGATCTAAAAATAGCAGTACTGTTTATTTTTGTACACATGTGACAACTGAACTTCTCACTCCTAAAATTATATAACATACCGAAGTTTGCAAATCCCAAAAATAACGCCGTTCGGTTCGTTTAATTGCGTTCATTTCAGAGTTAAATTCAAAAGCGCTCCTTATGGCGCTCTTCCTTAGCTCATCCATCTTCTTTGTATCCAGTTTTATCTAGAATATTAAATGCCTCACTCGAAATAAGTCTTACTCGAAATAAAAATGTCTTCTTCTTTAAATATCTAATTAAAATAACAATAATAACAAACATACAGCATCTAGCCGCTTCTGCTCTTCTGCCATTTGCAATTTCACTTTATCAGCTGCCGCTCTCTGGTATTCCTAAAGAAGTAAAAAGATTGATAACAATCGAAGTAAATCGAAGTTACAACAATCGACAGAAAAAATGCTTGCTGAAACGTAATATTTTATTAAACATTGGTTACATAAAAAAATCTGGCATATGACTTACTGAATATATAGCTGGATAATCCGAAGCCATTAATTCATGAATCTCAATTGCTCTTAAGGCTGTCAGACCATGCATTTCTGGAAATATAATACGCATTCATCATGCATATCACCTAGATTTGGACATTAGCTTACAAAAGTTCCTACAATAATTAAGAAAGAGGTGGTAAAGCCAAAATTTTTTCACTGAATAGACGGCCACAATTCTAATAATAGTTGTTATATTGAATTTAGAAGGCGCCCATCTAACATTTTTTCTTAGTCAGTAAAAATAAGAAAAAATAACATAAAAATAGCAAAAAAAAAAAAAAAAAAAAAGAAAGAAAAAGATACGACATAAATAACATACGTGCATAACTTAGATTGCTAATAAGAAAAATACTAGATTTAAAATTTACGATGTTCATTTATAGCTGTAGCGAGTTTATAATTAGCCAATAAATATTCTCTCTCGTTGATTTCAATGGTGTGGCGGCTTAATTCAGGATACTTCCTTTTAAATGATTTTACGTCCAACAGCTCCGCAATTTGTTCCTAAATAAAATATTATGCAACACTGAACTGCAATGAAATGAAATATAGCTATAATGTGTGATATTCCCATAGGGATTGCATGCAGCATAACAATGATATGTTCAACTAATCCGAAGTGCGAAATGACATATAATCATCATCATGGCAATTTAAATGACTTATAGTCATCATTGTGACAATCCAAGTATTAAAATAAAAACAAAACAAATGCGCATTATTTCCAATGTCTATTATAACTCTAGTCATGAATTTATCACAATGCGATGAAAAGAGATTTCAACACAGACTAAATATGTTACTGTAAGGAAAATAGCCAAACTTTTGCAATGACAGAGAAATACAAAAAGAAATATTAAAAAAATATCACGTAGAGTTTAAATGGCAACAAAATCCTCATGAAATTAACAGGGTAATATAAAATGACAAAACCAAAACTATTAATAAATAGCATAACGGTAAATTTATGTTGCAAACAGCAATGTTAATTAAAATGACATAAAATCGAGTTGGGACTTACCTGGATAAAATAACGTTCGCCTGATTTCGGTGGCCATTCATATTCGATAATATGGCTTGGTTCAATATGCATATGTGTTGTATCCGCTGTAATGACACGTGTTGATGAACTTTTAACCATGCGACCTTCTTTGCCACCTGCAATATATTTGTCATATCAAAATATGAAGGGAAAGAGTTTACAGTAGGCTGAGTGAAAATATATGGGCATAAGTTAATGATTATTACCATCTTGCAATCTAGCAAAAAAAATCCGAATATTTTACTAAAAATCTTTGCAAATATGTGTTGAACATCCATAATTAGCTCAGCTAGAAAGAAATCGTTAAAAAGTCATTATAATAAGTGTTTACTGGAAAGTTTTTGAAACATTGGTGCTTGATTCAAATCAATCAAATTCATTAATGAATGCATAAAGCTAATCAAAAATAGATGGCTAGAATTACCAGTTTTTGGTGTTCCCTCAGCAGGAATTGATTCCGAATCCGGAATTGGCAAAGATAATTTTGTCGATTCATTACTGATTTCATCAACAACTGTCGTTGAGGTAAGTATTGATGTTGGTGCTTCACTTAGCTTCGAACTAGACGATTCATCTCCACCTAACACAATATCCATCACTAAAATTAATTTATGAAACATTAAATGAAGCTGTAAAATACTACAAAATGTTGACGCTGTAACTCAAAAGAAAAAACAAAAAAAAAAATATTTACAATTTACAAATAAACTTTTAACTTCTCAATGAAATTTAACCTGCCCCCAGTTAAAATTATTGGTATTTGAAACATATACGATTATTAGTAAAACATAATTTGCTGCAACAAAATCACATATCTAGAACCATACCGAACGTCACATGTACAGAATCATGCCGGACGCCACATGTACAGAATCATACGGGACAACACATGCACAAAATCATACCGGACGCCACATGTACAGAATCATACCGGACATCACATGTACAGGATCATAGCGGACGCCACATGTACAGAATCATACGGGACAACACATGCACAAAATCATACCGGACGCCACATGTACAGAATCATACCGGACATCACATGTACAGAATCATACCGGACGTCACACATACAGAACCATACCGGGGGCACTAGCAAGTAACCGGTCCTCAGCAGTTTCAATCACACCTTTTCTAGCAATTTTAAGCATACCCACTATGCAAACTGATTTCCGACTAACAAACGATTGGTAATTTTTGGGACTTTTGGTTCCCTTTTTTTTTTTTGGAGTAAGATTTGAATGGAAAAAGGACAACCGGAAGACGGATACGATCATTTTGAACGTGCAATTCGGAAAACCGGATGTTGGAAAGAACATTTAACATGTGCTGAATGTATGAGTCATACAAAAGATTGGCGAGAGTGTAAAGAAGAGGTAACATAGCCTATTTTATCTTTATCTTTTAGCATTATTATCAGTGCAAAGTTTTGTTCTCTTCTTTAATTTAACATTTTATTTTAAGTATTATACTTTTTCTTCAAACTTTTCCTTCTCAACTTTACTTGACGTTAGCATTGCTTAACCATCTTATCTTTTATTATTATTATCAGTAATTATTGTATCATAACGGTAGTAATTAATTAATGATAGTTATTGTCGGTTAATAGTAATCACTTATTAAAGTTGAATGACGAACATTATTTACTAAAGGTAATTAATTCATTAGCACAAGTTAGCACCACTTAATCATCTTCAGTTGACTAGTAATTAATCAAATATCATTTCCACACTGTTATCAATTTTTCAGTTTACATCAATATCATTCATATATATATTTGTTATACTTCTATTGAAAAGAAGAAAGAGAATTTCGACTTGAGACTAACTAATTTTCTTTTATTTTGCAGTTGCAGAAATTTAAAAATTGCATGCAAACCTACATGAAGGATAAGATGAAACCTTCTGGAAAAACGTCAAATTAAACGGTTATTAATGTTAATATTTTAATAATAATTTTATTCCGCCTTACTTCTTAATTAGATTGTTTCGATTATTGTTACATTTAAAATATTTTCGTTTCCCTCAAATTTGCAATAATTTCATGCTTGATTTTTCAGAATCAGAATTTGTAGAAAACATTCGAATCTGTTGAAAAAAAGAAGAGGCGATGCTTTCCGAATTGTTTGCTGAATTTATTATTGATTCGGATGATTGTGGTGTTAATGACCGTTCTCATATGAATCATATCGATCCATATGTATATGTACCTTTAGACCGATCACCTAGATGGTTCCTTGATGATAATTTAGTTAGTTTCAAAAATTTTTTATCATATAGTTTTGTATTTTTCTTTTTCATTTCATCTTTTTTTCTTGTATATTTAGCTTTCTTAATTTCAGTTCTTCAAGAATAACAATGATAATAGAACACGTGAAACTGTGCAGAATCAAGCTGCCTTCGCTTATCTTCAGGGTGATTACATCAGCTCAATGAATGTAATATTTTTTTAATCAAATACCAAATCATATAAATAAATTGCACTTTTTTTTTTCATATTTATTAAAGAATTTTCATGACTAATTTCTTGAGCAATATAAATTGATGAAATTATTTATGATTTTTATCCAGTTGATCATTATTCATTTGATACTCTTTGGACTCATTACATTAAGTGAAGAGACAAAATTCAGAAACTCTATCTTTTCAGTTATACTTTTATTTGTTGGAAAATGAACCAAAAAATGGTAATAGCAACTCTGTTTTTGCCTTAATTGATTCTATTATCCGATGTGGCTTAAAAGTAAGTTTGTCATATTCGCCTGATGAATCTGATATCTTTTTATTGTATGATGCTTGTCTGTATAGTAAGTAATAGAGTCATTTTAGATTGCTCCAATAAATGGCCCTCAATTACTTTTCTTGCTGCAAAAACTGCATGCATTAGTGTCAACATACGACGATCAGTTACAGTACTGGACAGAAAGTCTGGAAGTTTGTTTCTTTTTGTTGTACTTTCATTACTTCATTTTTTTGCATTATCGAAATTAATATTTGGAAAATCATGAAATTTGCAATGCTATCAAAGACAGAAAAAAAAAAAACTCATACTTTACCAATGATATTTCAGGTGTATTTGGCAACTGGAACAAGCACCAGTGATTATTTACGAAATGCAATTCTATTATGTGCCAGTGTCGATTTACCAGAATTTTGGATTTCAATTTCAAAAAATTCACCTGTACTTCCTTTTTTTAATTGATATCGTAAAATTATGTAATAAGATGGCGTTTATAGTGCTTCGAGATTAGTGTGAAAATAGCATTAATTTCAGGTTTCTTGCGTGAATCTTCGAATTGGGTCACTGTGTCGCGCTATTTACATCTTAGAAAATTCACCAGCGTCCAAGGCTAAATGTTTGAATTCTTATGATTTGCAGCAGATGAAAGCTGAACTTCAAAATCTTTGTAATAAAGAGAAGGTATGCCTCTTCATTCGTAACCATAATCTCATTATTTTTATAAAAGTAGCTTTTCCGAATTCATATGTCTTAACACATACCAATTTATTTCTTCAAACATAATCATCGTATACCTTTCTTTTTTCAGTTATCTGAAGCAAAAGCAGCCGTTTGTAGTGATCTTATAAAAAGCGAAAACACTAATGCAACAGAAGTCAATCGTCCTTCTCTTTCCAAAAGTTTCCTCAAAGACAAAAAAGCCGAAGATGTTATGATACTTGAATTCATTCATCGTTTTTATTGGCTCTTTGCCGACATGGATCAACAATTAGTTAATTCCATACTACAGGTATCATGAAACTTAGCATAAAGAGTATTCAAAATAAACAATGGAAAATCATTGTTTATTTCGAATATAATTTATATGCCAAAAATTTCCTATCATCAAAGTGAGAAACAACTATACAATTACATGTAAGAAATACAAAAACAATATATATACATAATCAATATTACAATAAGAATCATTATATAACATTATCACCTACAGGTGACTGTACAAATGGTTCGTCTTTTTTCTTGTGTTCCTTGTCGCGTTGTTCTTAAAAAAAAGGTATGTAATAGAAACAGCATATTGAAAGATTAAACAGAAAAGTACAGCTATGACAAAAAAAAAAAAAAACTTTTCCATATCTCATAGTGTGGTGGGGGAATGAGTTTTCCGATTGTGTTTTTCACGGTATTTCTCAGCTAGAGCAACCTTAAGATTTGTTAAATAATGTTTTAATGAAACATATAACTATAACTGTATGAATTCCGGATCGGTTCGTTTTGTGAAATGCCTTTCTGTAATTCGGAATAAAAAGGAACCAAAAAAAAAAAAAAAAATTCCAGTATCTAAGAAATGTTCTGAAACAAACGTTTTGTCATTGTGTTAAAAACCAAAACAATGCATTACTTCTTTTTTCGAGTGTTTTCCGCCAACGACGATCCAGACGCGCTTGATCAGCGCGTATATTATGGTATATATCTCTGAGCTCTTGCAGGCGTTCCTGATAACTGTTTATTAGCGCTTCCCCAGTCAAATTTTCGTCTGAAATAAAATTCTACACTTTTGAATTTCAGATTCTATATTTATATTTTTGGAGCTCAAATGGGTTAATTTTCAGAAGTGGTCGGTTAAAAATTACAATTAATCCTTGTAGCAGTGACTTCAACAATAACTGTACAATAATACATCAATAAATATGGAAGCCAACGCAAATATAAAAAACTTCCATTAACAAAAAAATTTTAACATACCGATTGGTTCTAAATTTAGTTCCTTTTCAGCATATGCCATAGCTCCTTCTGATTCCACTTTTTGCTGCATACGTACTTTCAAAGCATGCCAGCTATCCCTTACGTTTGGCAAACCTAAAAATAAATCATATAAATATAATCAACGCTGGATACAAAACACACAAAAAAAACTTTGTCTGTATGAATTTGAAAGTCTATTTCAAAGCTAAACTAAGGACACATCCTCATTACTTATTCCAAGGCAAAAATTTTTATTCATCCTCAAAATTTGCGAAAAATTAGTCTACCAATTTTATAACGTCAAACAAGCATACGAAAAACATACTTTCATCATCGCTCGATGAGCATTCCTCACTTTCTTTACTTCGCTCGTCAGTATTTACTTGTTTGTACCCTCCTTTTCCTATACCTCTACGTTCAGTCAGTGTATTCGACGCATTTCTACCAACTTTCTTCTTTTTCATTCCACGACCACGCTGTTTAAGTCCCAAAGACATTGGTGGATGCCAAGCTAAAAGTTTTCTATATGCATTATTTTTCAAACTAAACCATTTACTATTATAGAATACTCAATTTTCCTGCTAACTGACTTCTTTCACTTATAATTTGTTTGATTTCTTTAGCAGAATTCCAAAATTATTAAAATAAACTTCAGAACGCGAAATCAAAAAAAAAGCAATACTCACAAAATGAAGTGGCGAAATGAAATGCCATTTCGAAAACTATGAATTCAAGAAGAACAAAAGTTTGAAATATACATATTCTTTTAAGCATGAAAAGAATGAGAAAAATAAAGAAAAAGTAGGATTAAATGAAGTTGCTAATTTATATGACCAAGCAATTTCTTAAAACTCGTCAGAATATTAGAATCAAATTTTAAAGTTTAAGCGACACCTATTTTTTAACCATTTATCATAATAGCTTACCGTCATCATCACATTCCTTTAAAGTTACATCTTCAGCTGCAGCTTCTAATTCGAATGAGATTTCTTTAGATGAAGTTATTTTTTGAATCAGATTATCAGTAGGTACTGAAAAAAAAGGAGAAATAGATCAGTTAACATTCAAATATGAGCCTACTTAGTTTAATGAAAATCTGAAAGCATTCCGAATTATAAAAAAAAGCTTTCTATCATAACTATATGAAGAAGAACGAATATAAACATACAGATTTGCTGCACTGTACTAGTTTCCATTGGCTTGTTGTCGCTATCTTTTTTTAAATCTATTTCATCACTTTCTGTTAGAACCATCAATTTCGTTTGCCTTTCATTTCCATCCTGCAAGGGAAAATACTAACGTTTTCAAAAAAGAAGAAAAGTCAAGATATCATAAATATTATCTAAAACAAAATCTTCTGTTAATAATAGCCTTCAAGTAGGACTATTAAGCATATGATTAGCTGATTGGTGGAAGCCATGTTACACTGTTTCAAGGGAAATGTAATTAGGATTGAATGCAATCAAATGTTAGCCACTTTCAAACAAATAAAAAAAAATTTCGAGTACAAATATAACACTCATTAATGTTCTAAATGATTCTATAAAGATAGAATAAAATAATAAAATAGAACTGTTAACGTTTTTCATCGAATTCTATGTCCAATAACTCAACTCTTCCATTGCATTTTCATATAGAAGAAGCAATAAAAATATAAGCATGAGAATAAATCATTTTGTTTTTAGGAAAAAGAGGCATTCAAAAACTAACCGGATGTTGTTCTTTTTCTTCTGCAACTTCTGTTACTTCTAAAACTATCAACTTGTCATCATTTCCATCTAAAAAAAATGATGGTAATCATATAAAGTATACTATATGGCATATTCCGTAATAAAATCCAATTTATGATAAGATCTTTTCCACTAACATAAACAAACATACCAGCTCTTTCATTGGATGATGATTGTTGATCGTTTTCATACTTTGTCGTTTTTTCAGCATCAATCTGCTTAGTCCCAGATACTTCATCCAATATTACCGAAACATGATCAGCTACAACTTCTTCCTTTGTAATGATAGCAGCTACAAAATAAAATAAGTAATGCATAGAAGTATATGGTAATTATTTTCAATAATAATTTAGTTGATTTATTGATAAATGAATCTTAAAAATGATCTTTGGGAATATATTATGGAAATAAAATACAGACAAAAACAACTTTAGGTATACCACTTTCAGGAGATGTACTACATACGACAAATGGTGTATTTGTTGAATTCTCTGAAAGATCTACAACCACTGAACGGTTATCCGACATTAGTCTACGCCGCTTCAAATTTGAATTAGCTTCGGATAACTTTTCCTATAATTGATAAATTTTCACTTTTCTTCAATGATGTTTCATTATATATATTAAAAAAAAAAAAAAAGAACTAATCATGTTCAAATACTAACCTCTGCAGTAACACCGCTAAGAAATATTGTACTCGATACAAGTTCACTGGCAAAAGAAAGATGTGATGATGTTTCCGAAACTGAAGCTTCTTCCGGCAAACGATTAAGCTAAATCAATTAATATGAAAAACATACAGTCCAGATTTTTAAAGTATGCAAACACAAGCTTTTTTTTTTTCTGGTGCAATTTTTCATTCTCTTCTTTCCTTTTTCATGCATCTCTTCACCACTTTTCCGCTGCTCCCTCCTCACTCTTCCTTCTTCTGTCTCTTTCCTCACTACTACACTATACTAAAGCTTTCAGATCACTAGTTTTTTAAATTAGACTATTTATGAAAAAAAGCATACAACAATTTCCGCATCAGATTCAGTCAGAAGATTGGTGCTCGCAAGATGGATAGCACTTTGCTTCGCTGAGTCATCCGATGCTTTCAGTACCGTTGAGTCAGCCATTGTCAACGGAACTTTCTGCTAATTTTCATAAATTTAAAAACAGAACTTGAAGTGGAAAAAAAAAAGAACTATCAATTTATAAAACGCTTTAAAATCTCAAAAACATACCAAAATAAAATCTGATTCCTAAAAATAGCAAAAGAAATAGTTATCAAAAACTTACCAACACTTTTTTCACTTTTTTTTCAGAAAACGTAGTAGAACGCGAACGAGGCTCAAGATGTGTTATATGTTCATGGGTGTGCGATAGCCGCCGAGGTCTAAAAACGACATTTACACTTACGAAAATAAAATTTAATGAAATGAACAAATCCTCAAAAAAGACTTTTTACAGATTACAAAATCTAATAAATTTCAAAATAAAAAGTCATACTAATAATCAAAAATCAAAATTTCCTTAAAACATGAGGAGTGTTTCTCAACCTTAAATCAGATTTAAAAAATAGTTTTTCTCAATATCTTTCTCAGCTCAACGTCGTTATAATATATAAACATCCCATAAGAATCAATTCTACTTACTTTTTCCTTCTCCGAATTCTTACCCGAACTGAGCTGACCTTGCTTTTTCTCACTCTAAATTTCAAGTAACTTAGAAAAGCTACATATTCTTTACGTATTGTACCATATTCTCAATCTCGGTTTCAAATCAACAGTACTAAACCATCTTATCAAATCTATTTCAGACCGAGTGACCCATTTGCTTTACTGACCTCATTCCACTACTACACGCTTCAGTTGCCAAAAGTTTGACTGGATCAACTGATGAACGCCATGCCACAGCTGCTTCAAGAGTTGGAGCACTTAATTTATCTGAAGCAATCGATAAAAACTGTTCTTCCGATAGTTTCTGATCCTAAAAATTAGTTTTGATTTAAATGAAAAAATTACTTCCATCCATTTCTCATCGCAACTGTTTTTTTTTTTTCTTTTAAACTAGTAACTAAAAATCAAACTACATATTTCATACTTTGCATTTTAATTTGAAAGTGACATAGAAGAAATAAAACACTAACTTTTTCGTGCACTTTAATTTTGATTAATTCAACCCATTCATCGTAACGAGAATTCCATCCAAGGTAATGTACACAGCATGTCATTTCTCGGAGAATACCTTCTAAACGATCATTTAAGCGTGCCGATGCTCTTGTCAATGCTTCTTTTCGCTCTTTCTCATCACACTGCATTGATTCGTTGATGGCTTTGCACCTTAAAATTATCATTTGACTGTGCTACAAAAAGCAATGGACAAGTGGAATCAAAGAAATAGATATCCTTCACAATCATATATTTTATCAAATAACCAGAAATAGTTTTTTTTTTTTTAGTTTTGATTCAAGAATATTATTTTCAATTTTTATGAATAATCGACAAATAATCGATTATTCTCAAAATATGGAATGAAAAACAAACCTCGCCTCGAAGTCCATCATTGAAGAGAGGACATCACTGTGCGAAATTTTACCCACTGTAATCACTCTTGCATCATACCACTGACCATGATGATAAGCTTTCACGTTTTGTCCCATATAGAAATTCGTCAAGCTATAAAGAGTTATTTTTATCGTTACAAATGAATAATTTATACATGATCTTTTCATATCTTTCAATTAACAGCAAAAGAATGACTTCTCTTTTAGAGTGACCAATAGAAAAGAGAATCAAGGCTTAAAATGATAAAACATACACTGTAGCAGCAGAACAGTTCAGCCATGGTACACCTTCTTTGGCCTTTTCTTTCCTGAATATTTGAGGAATATCTGAATCTTTTCCTGTGGCATTCTCATCACGTTTGCTTATCGATAATTCTTTTTGCTCAACAGGAAGGCGACTTCCTCCAGCGATCAGCTTTCGAGCTTCTTTTATGCGCATTTGCCGAATGTGTGCTAAAAAATGGAGGATATTTAAGAGCATTGTTATACTTAAATACTAAATATTATTCATAGAATACTTTCCTGAGAAATAAAACCAACATTTCTTCATGATTTGAGCAACAGGTAACACTTTTTTTCCTAATGATGATTTCTTATCATGACACTAACATTATCTATACAGTTCGAAAAATTTTAAATTATGCAACAACCTCTATCATAGCCGAGTAAAAAGCAAACCTTCATCATCACTTTCGCTAAGTCCCTGCTCGGCATTTGAGACAGTTGAGACAACACTTGGAGATTTCCGCTTGATATAACACTCAGAAGATATCTTCTTCTCAGATTTGCCAATCTAAAATTCGTAAAAATGAAACAGATGAAGATAATAAGGGCAAATATAAAACAGAGAGAGAGAGAGAGAGAAAAAAAAAAGCATTAACTAAATAACCTGAGCAAAACAATGAGTTATAAAAATACCTTTGATATTTTAGTTCTTTTATCTAGATCGGAAACTTTCGAAACAGGCTGTTGCTCATCTCTACAACAGAATAATTAATTCAACTGAAAGAATTAAGTTATTAATAACGTTCTGTGTAACTATGTAACTGGTAATGGTCAGGCTTTATTAGCGAGTAAGTAGCACATCTGGGTGCATATGTTTAACTTCTTTTTAAGAAACTAGCACGAACTTATTTGCATCCTTCTCATTATCCTTTTTCTTTGGACCTCGGCATTTAACCTTCGATTCCTTTTCAATCTTAGAATTTCCTTTCTCTTTGGTACTTTCGATTGTTTCACTATCGCTCACACTTCCTCTTTCCTGTTCTTCCTCATCTTTCGTTTTGGACTTTATTTTATTACCAGGTGATAAGCAAAGTAACGGTGTTGAACTCTGCGACGACGTGGAGAGTGCACTAAAAAAGTAAAAAGTTGATTAGTACGCCAAACTATTACTCCTTTTAAATTTTTAAAAGACAAAAAAAAAAAAAAAAAAACCAATAACCAGATTATCTGTTTCTCTTCTACCAGTAAGAAGTCTTCACTTACGAGCTAGAGATCAAATTTCTGGCCACAGATTAAGTTTTAATAAGCAATAGCAGTTTAAGACTATAAAAACATGCCCATCAAGTAACAGAGTTGTATATTTTTAGTTACAGTACATTCTTACATTCAGAAGTAACAGAGAATGCAATGGAAGTCAAATTGACTGTGTTTCAAAAAATGAAAAAAAAAAAAAAAAAAACAGGTATTCGGTAAATAAAGGTTACATACCCTTTCATTTTATCGTCATCTTCGCTGATATCAGATTTCATTATAGTTCGCTCATCCTTTTTTACTTTTTCTTTTCTCGTACGTGAAATGCCTTCATCTTTCTCGCGTTTTGTTACCTTTCCTTTAGTTGAGCTTTCTTTTTGTCCCTTTTCCTTTTTCTTCGTTGTCATTAATGTCCATCTTCTTCTTTGCAACTACAAAATTATACTTATCCGACAGAAATATTGCAGAAGTTACAGAAAATTCATCAATAGCAATAAATCTAAACCTGTATATTATGACGATCTAACAAACGATTTGGACGTTCACTACGACTAGATGTTGATTGTGTAGGAGTAGACAACCAACTTGAAATACCCAAATTGCGGTAAAATGAGTTAAAATGATCCAAGTATCTGAAAAAAAAAATCTCAAGTCGTAATGAGTAGAGACTGATTAATATAAGAAAAGGTTATTCACCTCGAATAGGCATTTTTGACAGTAACTGAAGTTGCCCCCGGGCAACCTTCTAAATGCATTTTCCGCAGAACCAACTTCCATTGATTGTTTTCAGTGACACGTTTTTTACCTCCATATCGTTGAACAACATTATATAAACGAAACATGTCTATGTCTTTTCCACCAAGTATAGGTGCTCGGTTAATTGGAGTTCCTGCAAAGACGATTGCAGCTAAATGTGCTAAAAGTTCAACTGATTAAAATAAAATGAATCAAATGTAATATTTATTGCTCTTCCCGAATACTTCACTTTTTTTACCCCCCGCCCCCCACCCCCCAAAAAAAAGAAAGACCCTTAGAATTGTTCACATACTAATTCAATCTCAATTCTTGGTAAGGCACAATATATTTAAAAATTTTCATACTGCTCTTTAAGATGCAGAAAAAAAAAACCTCTTTCTTCATGGAACTTATACAGTTGGGCAGTAAATTGATCTCTTTCTTCACCATACTCTTCATCACTACTGCCTTCGCTCTCTGAAGAGCTACTTGCAGCGGAACTATAAAAAAAAAGTACTTTAACATAAAAGTAATAATCGAAATAACAATGATGCAATATCTACCATTACATACATCTAAGGGAAAAAATTAACATACATTTTCTTCTCAGTTTCTCGTTTCGCTTTTCCAGAAGTTTCCAAACGTTTTTTTTGATCAGTAGAAGAAGACCTATGATCGCGTTTCTTGGATCGTATTTCGTCATCATAAATTTGTGACCTTTCCCAACCTGCCGGAAAAATTTCTGAAAAAAGAAACTCACATCAGCTTCGCAAATTATGCAAAAACAAGTACCAAACAAGAAATTTGCTACATGGCGTAAATTTATTTACCTTTTTCAACAAAAGCGATAGCTCGATCCATAGCAGCTTTAGGCGACGAATCAGGAAATTTGAGAACTGAAGCACCTGGTAAAGACAGTCTAGTCATCGGACAAGCAAAGCTAAAAAACAAAGAGGGTTGAATTTGGAAGATATATCACTTTGTATTTTCCTTAAGAAACAAAATTCTATACAAAAATAAACATATGCAAAATTTGAAAAACTATCCAAATAAACCAAAATCTGGATCAACCAATCAGTTAATACAATATGTTACTTGAAATCATATGCAGAAGCATATACTATTTCAACCAAGCAAACATAAACTATGCCAGTTATCATATCTCCATTTTTGGATTAAACAACGTTCGGTGTTCTGGCTATTTATTAAAATAAATTTACAGCAGAATTTCGCAAAATAATTTCTAATAATCATCTAGGGAAAGTCACTGAAATCCTGAAAATCCAGCATTTGAAACATACTATTTTGAATCCCTGAAGCTTCGCAGCAAAATATCACTTTTGCCAATATTTACAGTTCCCTTTGTTGAAGCTTTAAACGATACTTCTGCAACAACAACTGCTGGTGTCCATTTACCTCTATGTGTAGCATCCTCATACACTGCCACAACATTTCCAACCTTATATAGCTGCAAATAAAATTGTCAGCAATTTGAAAGGAAATCACAGAAAGCTAAATACAACTTTTTAAATTTCGGCCCTCAAATATTCGCACCGTAAGGAAAAAATCTTACCTTTTTCGTATTATCAATATCTTTAGGCCTTTTCTTCGCCATTGGCTCCACTTCCTTATCTCGAAGTCCTTGTCGTTTTCGTTCACTTTTCCGGCTTGTGCTACTTCCACTCATCACATCCATCTTCTTATCACTTGTATGGGATTTATCATCATCATTATCATCACTACTGCAATGCTTTTTTCGTGCATGTGTTCTTCCTTTTTCCTTTTCTGTATCGTCAATCTCGTTATCATCATTATCATCACCATCACCATTATCATCATCATCATTATTATCATCACCATCATCATCATCAATATTACTGTTCTCATCATCTTTATCATAGTTATCATCATCGTCTTCACCTAACCTACGCTTACCAGAAGAGCTACTTGATTCTTTGATACGTTTCAAAGCATCCGTGGCAACTGCTGCTGCATAACGCTTTTTACGTGTTCGTGCAATAGATTTGGTGAGAATCTTATCAGCAATCATGCGTGAAACTGATGGTTTCGGTAAACGCGCAAAACGGCGCACCCTCGAATTGCCCGAACTATTGCCATCATCATTATTATTGCTATCATCATCCTCATCAGCATTTTTCAAATCACGATCACTATCACTTTGTTTGTAGAATGTAAATTCTTTACGCGTCTTGCCTAAACGTCTTGGAACTGATTTAGACGTTAATCGACGTGTACGAAGTGTACGACCTGGTTGTGCAGGGACATTTAGAGCTTCACTGATGCTGTTACTGGTGTCAGATAGGGTAGTGCTAGTAGTACTTTCAAGTGTTGAACTATCTTCGCTGGATGTCGCATCATCACCACCATGCTCACCACCATCTTCTTTATCTTCAACACTTGCTGACACTGATTGCTGTTGTTGCTGTTTTGATTGTTCCAAATTTCTCCTATGCATAAAATTCATTTACATAATACTCAAGGTGCAGTGGCATGCTGGATGCGCGCAGTGCATACTGACTAGACGAAATGCAAGTCAGTTGTAATGGTGCAAAAAAACTGTCAACATACAATTAATTCTCTAAAACTAAGCATCAATATTAGTGTTTTTTTTGTCCAGAAAAGAAAATAAAAACAAAATTTTTTTTGCACACTGCAAAACTGACGACGATGTTATTGTAGATGAAGTGTATGCAGTGGACACTAGAAAGAACATTTCCAACAATCCAATAATTGGAGGTGTGATGGGTCACCTCGAAGGTATGAAAGCTGTTAAGATGAACCACTGAAGAATATAAGAAGTAATATGTGACCTTCAGAAACGCACTCTGACCTTAATACATCACAGTTTTAAAGATCTCAGAAGCAGAAAAAAGATGTATGGAAGAGCAAAAGTACTTAAGCCTGATTAATGACCACTTGAAATCTAACAATTTTCCGAATTTTATGATCAAATCGATAATCATCCATAAATCACTTTGCATAAATGCTTCGTTGTACTTTTGTTTTCCACTTCTCTTTCTTTTAAGCGAGCAACTATACATTCATATTTCAGATAAATGAATGAGAAAAAAAGAAATTACATAACAGACGTTTGTTTTAACAGGTTGCACTAATGACAGTGATATGATGCTTATGACAATGAATGTTCAGCAGATGCAAAACAAATATGCATATTGCATAATGTGAAGAGATAAAGAAAGAGTGCAATCTTACAAAAGTAAAACAAAAGACAAAAAGAGAAAAATTAGCTTTTATAAAAAGTGAAGAAAATTTAAACTTTATTGATCGAATGAAACAATGATAAGGAAGCGAAAGGGGAGGGGAAAATGGATGACTGAATGTCCTTCAATTGTCCTATTGCAAAGAGAAAGGAAGAGAGAGAGAACAGAGAAAGAAGAAAATGAACGAATGAGTGGTTGATATTTTCTAGCGAGACCCATTTTCTCCCTTCAACATTTTGCTGTTGATATTCTTTAACTACCCGGTTGGATAAGGCAAAATTAAATTTTCCACTTTGCTATACTCTCTGATTAAAGGTAAAGTGGAAGGAGCAAGAAATGCCAAAATACTGAGAAAATGCAGTCAATATAAAGAAGAGAATTTTGAGAAAATGTTGAAATAGGAAAGAGAGTAGAGAGGAAAGCATTCTTACTACAGATAATGTGTGACATATGTTAGCGGAGAAGAAAAGCTACAGAACTGTTATCGTTATAGAAAGACGATAAGAAATCCAATGAACATTTTAGGATAGAAGTCGAGGCATAACTAAAAGATGACAGTCAATGTATGTCCTTGACTGAATTCAACATCAATACGATTTATAGTTGGCAATCTTGCCATTTTTCTACTTAATTTATATCTCCCTCTTTAGCATAATCAAATGAAGATTAATTCGCGAATCATGTCGGAACTAATGACTACAAAAAGCCATATGGTACTCGCTGTTACTTATGCTTTGAAAGGAATCTTTAGGCATAGTAAATTTGCTAAAAGTTCCAATTTCTGCATAATGTTGATATTAAATGGGCATTAATCTTTCCTCTTTTTTTCCGTTTTTAATATTTTTATGGTTGATGAGAAATTTGCATCGCCATTATAACGTAGAATGGATATAAGCTGTTAAAAATTTGCTGTTATATTTAAGTGGGAAATTTTTTGTGAGTCAAGATATATTAATATCATGACTGATTAGGATGATGCTACGGTACAGCCATCGATAAACTGCTTTGCATTATATTTAAAATTGATAAAGAAAGACCTTTTTTGTTTTCCTCTTCGATCGTCAAGAACTACTGGACTACTGAATGATTCTGGTTTGTAGAGTGGCATAGCATCCAAATTGACATCTTCATTAAAATGTCTCGCACCTTTGATGCACACTTGTGTACGTCGTAACTGTCTTTCATCGCCATCATTAAAGACTAAAAATTGTATTATTAATAGACAGTGGTGATGCCTTCCAATTAAATTCAAAACTCTATGCTCATTCAGAGTGGCAATAATTTTAATTTTCCATAAAAATGAATTGCAGTTTAAATTTTGTGACTCATTAAACTATAGGAATTTAAAAGGGGTTTACAACAGACAAACTCACCAACGACGTATACACTATTATCTTTAATATTCTGTATAACGCCTTTATAAGTGGCCCTTCCCTGTACAATTTCGACCTGTTGATTAACTTCCAAAGAACCCTTTATTTCGGTATGGTCAGCGAATATGGTACCATAAGGTGGTGTTTTCAGCAATATCTACAATTGTAAAAAAAAGAAGCTTAAACTCTTGTTGTGAAAGTAATAGAGCTACGATGATCGCCATCAAATAAAATCCTTGCTACTATATAAAGTCAGTTCTCATTAACCTCTATATATACATACCTTTCTCGATTCAAAATGTTTAGATCTTCGGTCTACAAAAAAATTTGTAGACTGGGAAGACATGCATAGAAATATAGAAAAGCATTAATTTTAACATTAAAACCACATAAATCATTTAATGAAATTAACTTACTTTACATTTCACAGACTTCGTCATACGCTTTACTTTAGCTTCACAAAAAGCTCCTTTAAATTTCGCACTAACTTCAGTGCCAACACTTAAAAACGGAGGATCATCCGACTGAAAATAGAAATTTTATTACCAAGGACATTGCTATTTATTTGTGAAATTTCCAAGGTAATTACCTCTCACAAATTATGCACACGAATCTACACCTCTTGACTCAGATATGGATTTAAACACATTTAAAAGGAAAAATTGTTTTACAGACTTTTGTGCAGATCGTGCGGAATAATACTCAAATAATTTCAAAAAGGCACGAAACAAGCAAATCACCTGCATTATTTTTTTATGCGGGAACCCAATCTGAATTACACGGAAACCTTGAGGTCAGTAACTAAGCAACCAAAAAATTTTAGATGTATATGGTGTTTAAGACCTGAAATAGCATGAATGTATTGAAAGTATCTCTAACAGCACTAGAAATAGCGCAATTTGAAAGAGTGTTGATGATAATGAGAAAGCAAAAAAAAGATGAAGAAGAAAGAGAGACAGTGGATTACGTAGTGTAATCAATTAAAATATAGCTTGAGGAAAATAGCTATAATATCATTAATTGATATTAATTGAAGTATAGCTTAGATAAAATATGCATCTAAATAACTAAATGTCAAGAATAAATAGATGAACAAATATTCAATAATTAAACGTTTCGTTAATTAAAATTATTTAAAAAAAATGACAAAATATGTATACTCATCCAGTTACCATGTAATAACGTAAATAAGCATAAAAATAAACAATTAAATATGAAATTAAATTGACTGAAAATAAATAGCAATACAATGTAATAAGAAGTAAAGTAAGATGCATAGAAAACCATCACAAAAACAATGAAAATGAGAAGCAAATGACTGATTTACTAAGTCCACTCCAACACACTCACATAATTCTGAATTTGCCACGAAGTTCTGACTTACCATTTCAAGGCCGTTGCGTGCAACAACAATGCAAACATGATCTCTTTGAAGCAATTTTTTTTAATTTGATTTTTAATTTGATTTTTTTCTTGGAAATGATGTCCCATTTACCTAATCGTTCCACCATAACATTATGATATAGAAATTTGTTTAATTGCAATTGTAAAATTTAATTCAATTAAGGAATTTTTTTTTTCAGTTATGATAAGGAATATATCATTGTGAATGAGAGCCATATTGTTTTCTCGTATTATAGACTGGCTAAAACCATTACAGTTTATCGTATCTATTCATCCTGTTATTAGCAAACGAACATTTACAGTTGCATTTATTAATCGGCAATCAGCACTGTACACTGACGTACGACGCGTACGTGCACGTCGAGATAGATCCTCAAAAAATGATAGCAGACTGCTATTTTCATCGGAAGCATCAAATAATTGGAATGAGTACTAAATTTTTACCATTTCGTTTTTTTTTTTGTTATATAGGATATTTGCTAACTTAGTTGAATTATTTGTCACATACATGAAAAATTGCGTTCTTAAAATTGATCTATTAAGCTATTATATTTTGTGCATTTATTGATCAAGTTGTCGTCGGTGATATCCTACAGCTGTTCTTATTCACAAGATGAATCCAATTGTTGATATTGTTTCGACTAAAATAAACGTCCATTGAAGAAAGAAGAAAATTGAAACTACAAGTCCGTATTCTGTAGTGTAGAATGCTAGACCAGAACTGTAATTTTATAAGTTTCTGAACTTCATAAAAGCAAATCTGATAACATAGTTCAAAAATTGTGGATTTATTATACAATTTATCATACTTATATCAATAAATTAACTGATTTGATCAAATAACGAATTTAGAGCAGCAGTAACGAAGTATTTTGTTTCAGTTTGATTAAGATTTATCCCAGTATAAAATTATTGAAATTCTTATTTACTTCCGTTATCTATTTCAGTGTTCCAATTGTAAAAGCTTTTGTACATATCCCTGATAATTTCAACAATCCAATTATAGCAGTTTATTGGAATGATAATAGCGAATGTAATCGAGTCAAGGTGCTCTTTTTTTTTTCTTTAAATTTTAATTGTTCTGGCAAACTTTTTCATGAACAAGAGCTGCCAAGACTTTCTGTAATTAAATTTCGCTTTAATAAGAAATCGAAACTATGTTATATTACGATAACGTTTGCTTATAGGAGCATTCCGTAAGATCGACAACGAAAGCTGAAATTGAAGCTGTTTGCTTGGCACTGAAACAAGTATGCTATTCTTTGTTATATGCCAAGTTTTTATTTCAATAAATTGTCCTGGTTTGATATGATTATTTCTAAAAAAAATGGGAGGAAAAAGTTGATTTTTAGCATTGTGGCATTGCAGGCAGTTTTCAAAATGAATTTACCACGCGTCCGTATTGTTACAAATTCGAAATTTGTTTGGAAGCATTTTGGTAAAACATCATTATGGTGGAGCTTAGATGAATTTCTACAACAAAAATCGATGACATTTAGCTTGTGCTTAGCCGAAGCTGGAGATTTATATCGATTACTACACATGATCGATGTATAAATGCATTAATTTAACATTGTTTTTTTTTTTTCTCATTTCAATCCCTAATGTATTTTTCGTCATATTTGTTCATTTCATGCTAAAGCAAACATTTTTCATGCACTATTTGTCATTTCCAAAGAACTTTAGTTAATCCTCCATACATTTTTATTTAAAGTTGTGGAAGTCGTAATTGACGCATGCTTTTCAGGCGACTATTGAATACAGTTCTTCCATTGAAGAAACAGCTAAGAAATTTTTCGAGAATCTGATGAACAGAAAAGTGAGCAAGCGGGAATCTGAAAATAAGAAGCCCTCTCCAATAGTTTCATTAAGAGCAACTTTGGGAAAAGTGCAGAAGAGAAGTACAGGTTAATGATAAATACTTTATATAGTAAGCAGAAATTAAAAGCAGTGAAGCGTAGGATATGTAAGCTAAATGAAATTTTTGATCATTTGTTTTTTGTTCTTTATGATTCTGTTCTAAAATACCGTTATTTTAATAACAATAGATTTCCGATTGCTAAGTTGTAGCCCATCTATGAATGATCAGATAATTCTAATTGTTTGTGGTTGAAGTCATGTTGCTGCATGTCATCTACATAATTTCAGATATATTTATACCAGAAACACCATCAGCAGATTCAAAAAACTGGTAAGCATAAAAATTAATTAAAAGTCTCATTAATCAGTTAATCAATATATATATGATGATTTTTGGTCCTGAAACAGTTTGGATTTGTTTGGTGAACTCTGACCCATTTTGCTAAACTGTAAACTGTTTATTTCTAGTGCTTCCAAAAACCTATCGAGTGATGATGTTCCTACTGTTTATACATGTGGCGTTTTACATGTCGAAGGAAATGAGAAGAAGTATGTTAAGGCAGGTTGTGGTGTTTATTGGCCACATGCGCAGGAATTAGGTACCGGAAGACGTTATAATTTCTACCCTATAACTTTAGTTCGATGTCAGTTACAAGCTATAATTGATGCTCTGCAACAGGTAATCATAAGGTTCAAATCTGTGATTATTATTATTTATTTTTTTCATATGAGCAAGCATAAATTCTATTATGCAGTCTTAAGAAGAGATTTTTAGGCTGTAAACCAAAATTACCGCAAAATTGTCCTTCGTACTGATTGCGTCTCTTTTTTGGTTCATCATTCACGTCAGTGGTTAAAAGCTAATGGATCCTATGTGAGGTATCATGATCAATATCTAAGGATTATGGATTTATGTAAAGGCATCAATGTATGACTTTCATCAGTTTGAAATCTACAAATTTAATAAGAATTGAACGACAAAGCGAATCTTTTCACTGACAGCATCAATTGCTTTGTTTGAAAATATCAGTATTTTCCAAATGATCAAAATTTTAGGTAAAATTTCAACCAGCAAATGATCGAGTTGCTTTGAGTCAAGCAGAAGCACTAGCTGAAAATGGTGTTTGCTTACCGATACCATCCAGAAGATCTCAAAAGAAAATGTATGATAACAAAACTTCAAATGCTACGGGTGTTAAATGTTCATTGTAGCAGTTGTTTGTTTGTAACTAATTGCTGTGCAATCATTTTATTTGATTATTGTTCGGTTATTATTATTATTTTTGTATATTGTTGAATTTAGCAAATAAGTCAATTTAAGAATTATAATTGAAGTTGTTTTTGCATTGATTTATCAAATTTAATGCTTAAATAAAGTATAGCAAAACGTATTCACAACTTTTCTTAATTACTGGAACATGCAAACAGCAGTGAACACAATTTTATAGTTTCATGTATTATTTTAATTTTGCTAGCAATGCTTAACTCCTTTGAGTCCTAAAATTCAAATGAATTTTTTCAAATTTATAAGAAAATATATAAATGAGCATTGCTATTATCATTCAAAACATTACATTTGTTGTGAAACACTAAACAGGTCGTTCGGTTGTTATAAACAAATAGAAGGAAGGAAAAAGCTGCTTATAATCTGATTTCAAAGTTGAATTTAACTTTTTTCAAAAGTTACTGAGATTTTGGAATGTTATAGAACTTCGATTTAGCACTAATTCAGTCTTATTAAATTTCCTCAACAAATATGTGTAAGTGGAGATTCGTCGTAAATTTTTATCATTAAATTTTGAGACTGAAAGATATTTCAGAATCAAAAACGATGAATAAAAGAGCCAATAAATCGATAAAAAGCAAAAATGATTCGCTGAATGCAATTTCGAACGGTGATTTCATTCCTTTGCTTATTATATAGAGAATGTGAAATCTTTTAATTCTCAGAAATGAATGTCGAAGTAGATATTATAACTAAAATTCGATAATTCTATTACGTGAGGTTGACGTGTTAGATACACTTTTTTAATACCAAAATTCGATAATGCTATTACGTGAGGTTGACATGTTAGATACACTTTTTTAATACCAAAATTCGATAATGCTATTACGTGAGGTTGACGTGTTAGATACACTTTTTTAATACCAAAATTCGATAATGCTGTTACGTGAGGATATATACTTTTTACGTGTTGACGTGTTAGATATACTTTTTTAATATTTCGGATATTTTTAAAAATCGGTTTCTCTTAACTTAATATTACTTAATGTTTACGAAATTTTTAGTTTTAATGTTTTCGAATTTGTTAGCTTCAGATGCTACTACACAACGATCACAAAATTCACGAACTGAGAAGATGGAACAGGCAGTAAGTCATATTTTTGCATATGAAAGTTAATTTTTTTTTTTTTGCATTTTGAAATTAATTATTATGATAGTTTAGACAGTGTACTACATGGGTAATTATTCATTTTTACATGAAGATTTACTATACATAGGTTATTTTAAGTAAATTAATTGTTCTTCACTCTATTTGAGTTGTTAATTTAATCTTTGCATTTATAAATTAAACTTTTAAAATCATTTCAAAACGATCTGATTGGCTTAATTCTTTTACTATTTTTATTTTATAGCAATTCATCCGTTTGTGCTTTTATTCTGCTCTGTTCCTCCGTATATTTCTTATGTAAATTAATTTGATAGGATTGAAAATGAAATCAATTTGATTGTTATTATTTCAAATGAACTTGTCTATGTGAACACAATAACATTGATGAAATAAGTAGGAAACAGTTGAATTGCTATGGAATTTAAAATATTAATGATAATTTGAAATTAACTATTCGAAAATTTTAAAATTTATTTGACATTTTAACTTCGTATATCAAAAACTTTTGAATTTTTTTTAAGAAAATAATTGTTTCTCATTTTAGTTGCAATGTTCAAAAGTTGAAAAAGATGATAAATCAGCGTCAATTTTGCGTAAAACACCAAGTAAATATGCAATCTCTGTTAATCTAAGACTTTAATTTACGATGATTATCTATCCGGTATGCATCCGGAAAATTATGTTACACTGATTTTAATGCTAACCAATTAGATAATACCCTTTAATTTGATTTATTATTATACTAAATTGATTTATTATACTAAATTCATTGGATTAATTCTGCCAATTATCATTCATAAAATATTTAATGTTTCGGAATAATTTATTAAATTATAAAAGTTTTTTAAAATTTCCACGAAACAATTAGTGCTTTTTCCAAATGATTAATTTTTTTTTTTTTTTTTTTTTGCAGAAATGGTAATTGAGCGACGTGTAGCAAAGGTTAGTAATACTTTTTCTAAATGATTGACTTTTTTTTTCTTTTTTTTTTTTTCAGAAAAAATGGTATAACAAAGGTTAATAATTGCATTTACAAAAATAAAATTTATATAATTCTAGGATTATCATTATTTCATGCAATGTATGCCTAGCAAAGTTGTAAATGCTAAGTGCTAAATGATTGTTAGTATTTTAGGAAGAATAAAACTAATTAAAATGCAATTTTGCAAAAGCAAATCAAAAATTTTTATTATTTTAAATACTCTGAAGTATAAGTATAAGCAAGCATGCACAAAGTAATGCACAACAAACATGCATAAAGTAGTGCACAACAAACATGCATAAAGTAGTGCATATATTGCATGCATACACAAAGTAATGCACAACAAACATGCATAAAGTAGTGCATATATTGCATGCATACACAAAGTAATGCACAACAAACATGCATAAAGTAGTGCACAACAAACATGCATAAAGTAGTGCATATATTGCATGCATACACAAAGTAATGCACAACAAACATGCATAAAGTAGTGCATATATTGCATGCATACACAAAGTAATGCACAACAAACATGCATAAAGTAGTGCATATATTGCATGCATGCACAAAGTAATGTATATATTGCAAACATAAATAGTAACACGACAAATTACTATTTAGCTAATAACATGATGCAGAAAAATAAAATTTTTTTTTTCTTTTTTAACTGTTGTAAATTTATAATTATCTGTTTGAACTGATTAATTTCTAGCATCAACAAAAAAGCAATGTTCAAAATGGTACAGATCTACTAAAAAGTGATCAGCTATCAAAAGGTTTACCTTCAACTTCAATCTAATCATCGATAATTTCAAATATACTTTTTCTTTTCCATTTTTTTTTTCCTTTTTTTTTTTGAATCAAATATTTGTACTTGTATCCAATATTTAAATAATATATTAAACATTAATAGACAGATCAAATTTTGAATGAGATAATTAAAAGTTAAACAAATACAATGTCAAATATGTTTAATTTTAAAAAATTTTTTGTTAGCAAATTTTGTTTATCAGATAAATGCATGCATTTTAAGTTAGTAATAAAGTTTATTTAAAATTGGCATTTAATTAGCACTAATTGTTTATTAGAATTAAATAATCTAATAGTAGCTTACATTGACCTGAAGAGTGACCTTTAAAGTGCTATTAATTTCCTGAATAAAATTCATCTTTTACATTAAGCATTCATTAATTTAATTTATTCAATTCTAATCAATTAGCTTTTAATCTGAATTAGAAAATTCCTTGTTAACTAACCATATCTAATACAAAATTACAAATTAGTTCAAAATTTTTTGTCAAAAATAATTAATCAGTAATATAAGCAATTAATATTGTTAATTATCAAATGTAATAAAAATACAAGAAAAAAAAAACGATATATTCGAGTCATAGCAATGAATATTTTTGGTAATAATAAATAAATTTTATATTTCAATTTATTAGTTTAAAAAAATATCATCCATTGCCTATTTGTTTGAATTTAAAATTAGATAAATAACAAGTTGAAATTGTAAAAGGATTAAAAGAATTTTATCATTCATTCTTTATCAGTTAATTTATACAAATTTTATCATTTATCAGTTAATTTATACAAATATTATCAAAAACAAATAGTAGTTATGATTTTTCCTAAACAATTAAGTGTATCAATTATTGAAGGTTGAGAAAAATTGAATTCTCTTGCAGGTATATCTCAAGATAATGAAGTGTCGTGTGAAGTTTCAGATGCTGATACTACAGATATCAAGGTTTTCTTTAGTTACATTTAATAAAAATGGGAAATATTGAACCAAATATTTTAATTCTACTTTATTATTAATTGTTATTATTATTATTATTTACATCATTGTTCTATTATTATCATTATTATTATTAATTATTATTATTGCTGTTATTATTATTGTTATTGTTGCTTTTATTTATTGTTATTTATCATTATTATTATTACTGCTAATATTGTTGCAATCATTCATTATCACTATTAATTATAAAATCAGTATCATTATTAGTTATAAAATAGCATTTCAGGGAAATCTGTCTGCTGCTACACCAGAAATTAGTCCTTCAATAATTTCTACAGTTATTTCTGGGTCTTTTTTTCATTTTCAATTTTAAACTGACATATATATATATATATTAAATTTCTAAAATATATCTTCTAAATTTTTCTAAAATATATATTTTACAGATATTTTGAAGCATTTATGTAGCAATTTTTAGTGTTATATAGATTGAATATGCAAAATATAACATAACATAAGTATAAGTATATGGAGATGTCTAAAAATTCAAACTTTTTTATTAATCTTTAATCTTTGATTTTTCTTTTTTAAAAACGAGAAAAAAAAATTGATTATCAAAAAGCTTATCATAAGATTTATGTGTCTGTAAAGATAATATTAAAGAAATGAAATTTTATACAATAGGAAAATGATTTTTTCTTTTCACTTATCCATTTCATATTTAATTAATTAATTAATTAATTAATTAATTATTTAATATTGTAAAATAAATGTTACATGTATGTTTGTCTATTTTTTCTTTCTTTTTCAGCAAAACAACAGTGAATGAAATTAATGAAATTATGGAAGAAATTTTTTCAAGAATACAATGCATAACGCTTACACGTGAACGCTTAGATAGAATTAAGAATTATTTTGCAAAATCAAAAATGTTTACATTATGTGAATCGGTTATTATCAATTTCTTCTACTTTCATTATTTAAATGCTTGATTTTAATATTGTATCAAAAATTACATTTAAACAAATTTAAATTAAAATTTTTTTTTTTTTTTTTTTGAATTTTTATTTCAATAAAATTTGAAGGATGCATTTGAATGGATAACTGATAATATGCAAACAATTTACAAAAATCCAATAAATGCATGCAAAAAATTACGTATTGCTATTGGTAGTCGAAGTATTTCAATTGATTTAGCTACAAAGGTTTTTCATTTTTGATATTTTTTTTATATTCAATTTATAATTTATATTTTTTTTTGTATTTTTTCCATTTCCAATTTATATATATATATATATATTTTACTTTTATAACTTATTTTATAAAATAAATAATGGTTGTTTTTTTCTTTCTTTTTTTTTTTTTTTTTGAAAGAAAAACGATATCAAAACTGATTATTTCAATATTAAATTGAAATATTAACTGTTTGAGAGAATTTACTAAAATACAACTTATTAAAAAAATAAATTAAAATATTTCTACCAAATTAAATAATTTAATAATATGTTTGCTGCAAATATGTAAAATAATAATAATAATAATATTAAATAATAATAATAGTAATAATAATAATAATAATAATAAGTGACTCATTTCAATAAAATGAATATTCATGTAGTGATCTTAGAATTTAATTATAAAGAATTGTGCTAATTAAAAAGTTTGAAAAGAGATATATTTGAAGTAATAATTGAAAAAATTTATTGATTACTAATTATTCAAATGATATTTCTTTGTTTCTTTTTTCTTTTAAAGGCTCTTCAATTATTTGTGGAAAATCATTCAATCTGTATGACTGATATGATAAAATATTGCTCTTATGAGGGACGAAGTGAAATAACAATAAATGAATTATCACAAATATTAAAACGTTTAATTAAAATGAATATCAAAAATATTTTATTTGATAATTCTGATCGTATTTCTACACTACTATTTCAACAAAATCCATCTCATACATATCAACTTTGAAATTATTTATTTTTAATATTTTTCTAATTGTCTCATATCTATTTTATATGATATTATTTTCGAAATAAAAATAAATTTTGACATTTCACTTACAATTAATTATTTTCTTTTAAGATTGAAAATGGAAAATGTTAATCAAAGTAGCAAAATAAAATAAATATAAATTTCTATAATATTTTAGCCTTTTTTTTTTTTATTTATATCTATCCACAATCAAATCCTAAATAAAAAATAAAATGTTATTCTGCAGAAGGAAAAAAAAAAAGAATAAAAAAAAATTATTAATTTAAAAATTTTGTTATTATAAAAAATATTTGCAAATTTTATTAAGAAGTATAATTATTAATGTTATAATTCAAATATGACAGAGAAATTTGCATAGTTTATTTGTTAAACATTTTCTACTTTTTTTTTTTTTCAATTTCAAAATGATTATTAATTATTCATATATGAATCAATGCACAGTAATTCATTTTGATACAAATATTTATATCAATTATTATATTTTAGCATTTCCAGTAAATTATAAATAATTTTTAAGTTTAGTATAATTTGCATGTGAATGAATGATTGATTTCATTTGTGTCATATGTTGTCGTTTTGAAAAAATAAAAATTAAAAAATCCATGTAAAGAGTACAGCGCAGCTTATTTTATTATGGATCTTCTGGTAGTATTTCTTCCGTTTTCTTGACTAAAAATTTAAAAATATCAAAGTATAAGTAAAAATATTTTTTTTTTTGTTGATAAGAATGGAAAAAAGAAATTTGTAGTATTTGATTCAAATATATTTTAAAATTGAATCCATCATTTTGCTTAAAATTAATGATAATCTTAGGAGAGAAAATATCGTATTTTTTCTTTGTCTTTATTATCTCATATTTTCTCCTTTATTTTTTCATAAATTTAGCTTTTTGTTCTTTTTATGTTTTTTTTTTTTGAAAAATTATAGCACTTTAAAAAAATTTTTTAATAAAATTAATATCAAATAATTGCTATTACCTTCTTTCTTGCTTCCTTTAGAAGTTTTCTTCTTTTTGCTCTTTTTACTCTTTGATTTCTTTTTTTTCTTCTTCTTTTCACCTCTACAATGGTTTAATTAAATGAATCGATTGACTTAAAAGTGAATTATTGATTGATTTATTTGAAATTAAATTAAAATGGTTAAAAAAAAAGAGAGAGAGAGAGAAAACACGTGGTATAACTTACGTGACAAGTCCTTTTTCCGGTGTACTCTCAGTTGGGACGGTTGCAGTACGTGATACAGGTGTTGTTCTTCCTTCTTCCTGATTTAATGTCGATGAACGAATAACAGTTGCACCAGTACGTGTCTCACCTTCCGGTATTGCTGCTTTATCATCATCCGATGTTCCTGTTAATTGACTTCCGGTAGAACCAGAACTTCCAACAGATCCGGATGGCAGTGCTTCAGCTGGCACTTCCTAAATACATTCATATTATCTTTTTTTTTTTCTTTATTTTACAAATTTAGATGTTTAAAAATTAATCTAAAAATTAGTTTTATTATTTAATTTTGTAAGTAAATTTAAATTAAAATAACAAATCAAACAAGAAAAAGTAAGCATTTTCCTAGGATTTTGTTTCTTTTTTTTTTTACAGTTTAAAAACTAACTGAAGTTGGACGAAGAAAAGGTTGCATCATACTATCAATAGCAACCTGAAAATGATATTTTCATTAGTTTTTTAACTTATAATTACAATTAATCTTCAGCAAATATTTTGCAAAATTTTTTCCATCCTTCAAATTATTGCTTTGCTCGAATTTCTTCTAGAATAAGTTTTTTTTTTTTTTCAAAAAATAACTTAAAAATTAATCTATTAATTTAAATTAAAATTTTCAATTTCAAAAATTTTCAAAAAACTTTTGTTCGAAGAAAAAGAATCCAAAAATTTAACTATATTTTGAGAATATCTCGAGAATAACATTTTGTCATGCAATCATCTAACTATTGAATCTGACAAAGCAATCGATAATGTTTGTGTGATTTTAATTTCAAAAAAAAAACCTTTTTTGTTTATTAAATAAAAATTAAAAAAAGATATATAATTTGAAACTAATTTTTTGTTCTGGTTGATATCGTGGTAAAGATGTTGGAGCAATTGGCGCAGTAGTACTGACCACTTGCACCTACAATTTACACTGATATTAATTATTCATTTCTAATATTAAATTATTTTTAAAACAAAATTTTTGACATTTTACATTTTATTAATTTAAATTAAAAAGTTATTTATTAAAATAATTAATGCGACCAAATTATTCATTACAAATTAATTAAAATTAAATTATTCATCATTGTTAATTATAAAATGTTATTGAATTTCTAATTTATTTAAAATCATTTTAAATAAATTCAAATATTTTAAATGATTAGATTAAATTTTAATGCAATTAAATTGCTATATAAGATAAAATTAAAACAAATTTCAATCTTTCAAAGAATTAAATAAATTTTTTAATTAAATTATAGTATTATTAATTAAAAAAGTAAACCTTTCGTTTTACAATTTGCCGAGAAGATGGTGTAACTTTTCCTTGCAATGCATCACATGCTAAAATAGACCAATTGTTGACAGCTTGTCTGCATGCTGGCTGTAAACAAAATCGAAATTTTTTAAAATAAAAAAATAAAAATCAAAAAAAAAAAAATAATATGATAAAAGATGAAATAAATATGTAAACAATTAACGAAGAAATAGAGTCAAAAGGTAAAATCATAAAAGAAATAAAATTTTAAAAAAGAAAATTAATATAATAAAAAATGAAATAGATATGTAAGCAATTAACTAATTAATTAATTAATTCAGAAAGATACTTTGGTTGAGTAAAGATAAAAAGCGCCAATTGCTGCCATAGCAATGACAAATGTTACAAATGCCATTAAATTCTTTTGCAACCGTCCAATTACAAATGTATAAATGAAAACAATACAAGCATTTATCATTTTCATTTTCAATTTATTACAAACGGAAAATTTTTCAAAAGAAAAAAATTTGAATATTTTGCATTTTTTAAAGAAATTTTTTTTTTAATTTGTTGTGAAAGAAAGAAAAAAAGAGTAGAATAAAATAAGAACAATTTTATAATTAATTAAGAAAAAATTCTGTCTTTTAAAAATTTTTTCATTAAATAAAAGAAAATGAATGTTTTCTTTTTTTTTTAAAAAAAAAAAAAAAAGATGACGATAGTAAATTAATCTTGAATGATTATGATATCATTTATTATATAATGTTTATTTTAAAATTTTAAAAGCTGTGAATTTTCAAAATTAAATGTTTATTAAATTTTCTTTTTTTGGAAATAATATTTTTTGTTAAGTTTCCAGGTTTTTATTGAATCATTTGATAGTGAGAATGTTATTGTAAAAACTAATAAAATGCAAATTTCATACTTTATATATATATATATAAAAAAATACAATACAAATACTATTAAAAAGTTATAATAACAATAACAAGTAAAAATTTATCACACGGTTCAATTAAATGACAATGTATTTGTGACAAAATCGAGAAATTAATTAATTAATATTTATAATGCATTCAAATTGAGATAATATTTGCATGGAAAAAGAAAAAGAAAAGAAAAAAATATTTTAAATGATATTAAAAAAAAAAAAAAAAAAAAAAGAAAAGTCGAATGAATGAGAGAAAAGTTATCAAAATTGCAAATGAAAAAAGAAAAATAATAATTATAACATAGTTTGAAATTACGATAAGTGAATTTGTTTAATTTTATAAATTACTTTTGAGAAATTGAAAAAGTTATTTATTAATTTTGCTTAAATGAATGAATCTTTTTTCAGATTTTTCATACTTTCAAGTATGTATGATTGTTTTTTTTTTGTTTTTTCTCACAAAAAAAAAAAGATTGTTTACACATTTTCAAGATATTTTTGCAAATAATTTACTTCATCTCGACTTATTTTCATTTATTACAAACAAATTATTAAATTTCCAAAAGTATTTTAAAATTGTGCAATTTCAAAGTATTAAATATATCTGATCCATTGCCACATTCATTATTGATTAGATCTTTTTTCTTAAATTTTACTTATAAATAAAATTATTTCATAATTTTTGAAAGAATTAAAATGGCAGGATTTTACGAGGAACACATAAAAAGCTAAAAATGAATGTAAAGATTTAATTTCTTAAAATTTGAAATTTCTGAAAAATTAAAATAAAATAAAAAAGTTGCTAGCCTTAAATATACGATAAGAAAAAGGAAGTAATAAATCAATTATTTTATACTTCAGTAAGGAATTTATTTTTATTAATATTATTATTTTTTTGAAGTTAATAGTTTCAGAATTTACAAAGAAACAGAAAAAAGCAAAAAAAAAAAAAAAAAATGTAAAATAAATATAAAATGAAACAATTGCATTATCTACCAATCAATCTATCAAATCACAGATGCTAATGAAAATCTAATTAATTAATTAATTAATTTATATTCAACTATAATTGTATGAATTATTAATGCATGCCTACGATAAAATAATTTGATAAATTATCACAATACAATTCCAATGACCTATCAAAGGCTTATCGAATAGTTTCAATGCCAATCATTAATTGCAAAAGATTTTATCTCATCTGATAAGACTCTCACCTATCATATCATACCGTATCACATATGCATTCTTATCAAATTACAAATTACCGTATGAAAAGTTAAGAAAAGTACCATATGAAAAAAAAATTATTTTTTTTTGTTTTGCAAGAATCATTAATTTATGATTTTTGCATATTGCTAATATTATAGGTATGGAAATAAATACAAATGAATAATTATAATTGATAAATTATCATAATTAATTAATTATTTATATCATTTATAAATAATCATTGATTCATGAATTTCCATGGATCAGTAGCTGCAGCATATGTTGCAGCACTTGTCGGATACTGAAAATATTCCATTGGTGTTGGAACTGTTGCTTGATAACCTCCATAGCCTACAACTACTGACACTGACGTGTAATCGAGTTTTTTTTTTAATAATTATAATTAGCCAAAAAAAAAAAGTTTTTATTTTAAACGAAAAAATTAAAATAATCTTTTTTTTTTTCTTTTTTTAAGTATTATAAAGACTAATTGCACATAGCACATCTACCAAATATTTAATTTTTAACAAAATTTTAGGTAAATAAATAAATTTTGAAAAACTTACCATATCCTTGTGGAAATGTTGCTTGTGATGTATATGCTGTTGATGGTGATATGGTACCAAAATATGGTGGTGGTAAGACGGTTAATTTTGATGAATCAATTTCAATTGGTGATGTCCTTTGTTCTGATACACTTGTTTCACTTCTTTCTGTTTTTATCTAAAAATTTTTCATTTTTCTTTACCTTTTTTTTTTTTTTTCAAAAATAAGAATTAATTCTTTTTTTAAATTATTATTTGATTGTTAACAATATTTCAAACTATCTAACCTCAGTACTGCAAGTACTAGCATTCCGGATATCAGCTGAATTAGTTTTACTAGATGAGCTACCATCATTGCTGCATGCCGGAACGACATGCAATGCAACTTCATGTTTTGTTGCTTTCTTTTGTTGTCGAGCTTTAGCACGTCGATTTTTAAACCATACCTGATGTTTCTCTGATGAAATTTGTATAAAACTTTATAATTAATTAGTCATGTATAAAATTAGTAATCCATACTAATAAATAAAATAATAATTATCCGAAAAAATATGCAAAGGAAGCAGATAATAAATAAAACTTAACAGTTGAATAAAACTAAAATGTAGAAAGAAAAAAAAAAATAGTAATTCAAGTTTTAAAATTAAGTTTGAGCATACTTGAACGCGTGATTCTGGTAATTGAATTTTCAATGAAATTTCCTCACGAATAAATATATCTGGATAACGAGTTTTGGAAAAGTAATTCTCCAAAACTTCCAATTGTATTCGTGAAAATGTTGTTCGTTCACGGCGTTGTTTTCTGAAGTTTGAACTGAAGTAAAGTGCAATGTAGGCGAATCCTCAATTATTCTCAATCACCGATTGCAACCGGTATTATTATTATTATTATTACTATTATTATTATTACAAGACTTATCCAAATAATCTGTTCTTAATCACAACAAAAAAAATCAGTGAAATTATGTTGAAACTCAATGTGATTGATTAAAACTGAAATCCTTTAATTGTCAATTTTCGGTTGATAATTAAGACTTTTTCATAATTATTAATTCGTTTTCACTTTTGCCATTCTTTAAATGAGAATGAATACTTTCAGGAAAAGCGATGACTTATAGAAATGGAATTTTAGAAGATTGATTTTAATTCCTTAATGAAAATGGAGATTTCAAGGAATGAGACTGATTCCAGTGTCAAATTTCGGGTAGAAAATTATAAATGAAGAAGGATATCCGTTATTAATAAATTGAGATTAATGAGAAATACTTCAATATGAGTGATATTTCAAAATAATATGTGAAATTTAAATTCATATCATCTTCAATGATATACTTCCGTTTCCATCAATTATAGAGATTTAATTTATTATTAAGGAAATAATTATGATAAAACTAGTTTTCCTAATTTTAGTATTAATTGTGTACGGTAATTCATGTCCAACAGCAACAACAACAACTGCCGTACGGTATTTGTTTATCGTAACCATGAAAATTTGTTTACAAGTTGCTACAGTATTGATAAACTGCAATCTTAGTAGGTTTTCCGGATGAAGTGATGGTATCTTGTAATATATCAATTGAAACCGGCAATGATTTAATTATAAAAATAAGTTAAGTAAGTGGATAAAAGTATTGAAGTTAGATTTTGTATAATTAACAATAAATTTTCTAGAAGGAAAGAAATAAAAGTAAAATTAACCTTGCTGCTTGGCTAGCATTCCAGGCTGTTAATCCAGCCGTTTGGCAATCTGCTAGTGAATTTCCAATATAACCCATTCCGCCCGGCAAAAAATTGTGCGCTGGTGTTGCGGTAAAACCAAGTGCAGCACTTGACATATGCGGCGCAGTTGCATAAGCACCATTTTTGAAGTATGCAGCCATATTTGCCGCAGAACTCATATTTGCCGCTGCGGCAGCGCTTGTTACGCTCACCGTAGGGATATACGACATTTGCTAGAATCAAAATAGATCTCAGAATTATTTATTAATAATAAATTTTGAAATTTAATTTCAATGGAAACGCTCTAAAATAAAAGAGAGAAAATCCAAATATTGCTTTATTATCAACAACAAACAAATTTTCACTAAAAGAAACAGGAATCTGAAATTTAAGTTTACACAAAACATGACATTTGCGCTCACTTTATACAAGCCATTAATTAATATTTTCATTGTCTTTAGAAAAGAAACAGTTGTAAGTTTTATTTGAAAACTTTTTAAACTTAACTTCATTATGCTTTTAAAGCAAAGAAATGCAAAAAATATTATTTATTTATACATTAGAAAGTGTATAGGTATTATACTGGAGAAATTGAAGACTTTTTTTTTTTAATTTCGTTATTTTATTGCTTATTGTTAAGAGAACAATGAGTTTATTTTGAATATTTTGAAGATGCTAAAAAGTTCAAATCATTGAATAATTTTGTCTCCTCGTTTTCTTTTTAAATAAAATTGTTCCTCACTAAAAAAAAAATATAATATAAAATAATAATAATAACAATAATAATGATAATAATAAAGAATGGTTTGAAGCACTAAAAGCACAAAGAAGCTACAACAGAAGTAAATATTATGCCAATATTTATTTCCTATGATTATCGTATATGTATTTATTAACAAGTTTTAAGATTGATATCTAATTAATTCTTATTAATTAGGCTGCAACTATTCCAAATGGTTATTTAAAAAAATTTGCTAATTAAAATTAATGAAGAATAGATATTTAAAGT